TGACACCTCCCATGCGTTGCCATTCCTGAGGACTCAGGTGTTATTCCTCTGTACCCAGTAAATTCACGCCATATCCCACCCTTCAAACCGAAACACAGCCATGCAAACACAACTACTTCACGGTAGAAACACGAATGGGACAGAGGTGCTCAAGCAAACGATTTTTTTTACAAAGTCGCCCACTTCGTTTCCACTTTCCATCAGGTCGTCACCAGGTTTCCATTAGGTGAAACGTCATCTTGTTTGCCATTCTAAGTTGCATAAAAAAGACTTTATTTAAATAATAAATAAATTTTGGGTCAGATATTTGTGTATTAAAAATGTTGGGACACTTGATACGACACGACGAACTTATGAACATTATAATAGAAGGTAAGATAGAAGGAAGGAGGGGGAGAAGGAGACCGAGACATAGTTACATCAGGCAGATCAAGGAAGGAGTTGGTGTCGTGTCGTATCAAGAGGTGAAGAGACTCGCTGAAAATCGTAGTGAGTGGCAAGAGCTCCACCGACAAGAGCGCAGCTCTTAAATAGGATAGATAGATTATTTATTTACATTTCCATTAAATTCCATTGAAATGAAATTTAATGGAAATGAATTTCTTAACTCACACCTTGTTTCCAAATCTTTTTTTTTTATACAACTTAGAATGGCAAACAAGCTGACGGCCCACCTGATGGAAAGTGGTAACCGTCGCCTATACGAGTAGATACGAGCAGTACCATGGACATAACAGAGTATACTGTTTCGCCCATGATACCCCCCATGCGTTGCCACTCCTGAGGACTCAGGTGTTATTCCTCTGTAGCCAGTAAATTCACGCCATATCCCACCCTTCAAACCGAAACACAGCTATGCAAATACAACTGCTTCACGGTTGAAACACGAATGAGACAGAGGTAGCCAAGCAATCGACTTTTGTACAAAGTCTCCCTATATCTTGACAAAGTATTAAACAGTACAGTCTGTTCAGTATATTAAACTAAGTGACAAATTAGGTTTAAATTACATATGAATGCGCGTAAAGTGGATTATAACACATGAGTGCACAGCGTAATTGGACGACACTATGCAATATACTGTGAAGATTTTTTTATACAACTTAGAATGGCAAACAAGCTGACGGTATAATAGTTTAAGGGTATAATGTTGTCGAGCGGGGGAAAAGGGATTGTTAGCAATGGAGTTTGACTGCCCCATTGCAGGCAATATGCCTTATTAGGTCGACCTCCGCGTGGTTCCCCCTGGAAACCATCGTGAACAATTCTTGTTGAATTCGTCACGATGGGCCAACTGACCTGCTTCATTCTCACCTATCATCCTTTACTGGTGCCCCGCCGGTGTATACCGATAGCGCAGGTGGGGATACCATTCCATTATCACCTATTAAAAAAAAATGTTGTCGAGCAATAGCACTGAAGTGTACGACCATTTAGTATTTCAGAAAAAATCTACAGCAGCCTTGCCCAAAGTGGGCGATAACGCCCCCTTGTGGGCGCTGTTTAAACTCATTTTCACATTTATAATTCTAAGAATCTATACAAAAACATCAAGAGAACATTTGAGAGACATTTCATTTAATCAGTGCATGCTATTTTTGGGTCAAAATCAATGAATTTTCATTAATAAACACATTTAGCGATTAAACGGACAAATGGTGAAGGCGGTGTCTTCGTTAAATGAAAGTAATAGATCACGGAGTCGAAGCCAATAATGCTGTTGCGAATGGTATAATTGCTGATTCGTAAACTTAATTACATTTGACTACTTTCTTTTTATACAACTTAGAATGCCAAACAAGCTGACGGCCCACCTGATGGAAAGTGGTAACCGTCGCCTATAGACATGAGCAGTACCATGGACATAACAGAGAATTCTGTTTCACCCATGATACCCCCCATGCGTTGCCATACCTGAGGACTCAGGTGTTATTTCTCTGTACCCTGTAAATTCACTGCCATATTCCACCCTTCAAATCGAAACACAGCCAAGCAAACACAACTGCTTCACGGTAGAAACACGAATGGGACAGAGGCACCCAAGCAATCGACTTTTGTACAAAGACTCCCTCTACTTTTCAGCCGACTTCAAAAAGAAGATACTCCATTCGGTTGTATCTTTTTTACGTTTGTCACCTCATAACTCTGTCAGTTGTAAACCGATTTGCAAAAATTCTTTTTCTCAAACAATGATATAAGTGTATAATATAAAAATAGTTATATAAAAAATATAAAAATGTTAAAAATTCTACGAAACTGACTTAATTTGAATGAATCTGTAATATTAGTCTAGTGGGGGGAAAGGAATTGTTAGTAATGGAGACTGAGAATCCCATTGCTAGCAATATACCTAATCAGGTCGATCTCCACGCGGTTCCCCCTGGAAACTATCATGATTAATTCCTGATGAATTTATCATGATGGGCTAACTGGCCTGTTTTCATTCTCATCTATCACCCTTCACTGGTGCTCCGCCAGCGTATCCCGTTAGCGCAGGCGGGGCTACCATACCATTTTCACCCATCAAAAAAAAACATATTAGTCTAGTAGAAATTTTATCAAAATCGATTCAATAGTTTAGTTTTTATATTAAAATAACTGGTTTCGCTACCATTGAAGACGGTATTTATTTTTTATTTATTTATTTATTTATTCATTAGTACAAATATGTGTACACGGCGGACTTAATGCTAAAAGCATTCTCTCCCAGTCAACCGTAGGGAAGTGTCAGAATACACGAACGCGGTACTAGTAATTATTGATATACATACATACTAAAATTACATATATAAACGAATAAATATATATGAATAACAAATATACTTACACATATATAACATATACTATATTATGCACGAAATTAAGAATAATATAAAGCACTTACTGCTATATATATATATATATATATATATATATATATATATATATATATATATATATATATATATATATTGTGAAACACAATCTTTTAGAAGACATAGAAAAAATTTTAGATGTTTTCTTTTTTTAATTTTTTTCAATAACCCTAATCGATTTATATATTTACCCTATGACATGTGGTCCCGGCATTGAATAAGCCACCTCTTCTTTTCCTGTAGGTGCCGTAAGAGGAAACTAAGGGAGGATAAGGGATGGGCATCAGCGTTCCTCAATAAACATTTACAAAGTCTAACTGCGGTTACCAACCCGCCTGCCAAGCGTGGCAACTACTGGCAAAACCCCCCAAGGGGTAGGGTTATGTTCAGCATTGTACAGTTAAAGACCGATGTGATAATTATAAACGGAACTATTACAAATATGTATTTAAAAGAACAGCCAAATTGATCCGTTTGTTCCCAAGTGATACGTAGAAATAAAAAAGAAAGCTACTATTTATAAAGAAAAGTGAAGAAAAGAATAGAGGGAAGAAATTGAAGGAATAACTAGAATTTTTTTTTCTTTAATTCGCTTTCTTTCATGTATACAGAGAAAATGATTGTCATCACAACGTAGTAATTTCATTTACAAATATTTGTTTACTTTAAAAATATTACAAAATACATTATTGGTTCAGTTATCGCATAACGCTGTTTTCGAGACCATTGTAAACTTGATTCATCGTGATACTGTGGCACCGACAAACATACTAAAAGATCGTATTTTTATATCTTTAAAATATAAAAAAAATGTGTAAGTACCTATACAGTATTATAAGTTTTTTCACCTTTATATTTTATAAATTAAGGTTTTTTTTTTTACAGATCGTAATAAATAATCTCAAAAAAATACTTAACTGATTTAAAAACTAGAGGGAGACTTTGTACAAAAGTCGTTTGCTTGGCCACCTCTGTCCCATTCGTGTTTCTACCGTGAAGCAGTTGTGTTTGCATGGCTGTGTTTCGATTTGAAGGGTGAGATATGGCAATGAATTTACACGGTACAGAGAAATAACACCTGAGTCCTCAGGAATGGCAACGCATGGAGGGTATCATGGGCGAAACAGTATACTCTGTTATGTCCATGATACTGCTCCTGTTTATAGGCGACGATTACCACTTTCTAACAGGTTGGCCGTCAGCTTGTTTGCTATTCTAAATTGTATAAAAAAAACTATGGTGTTTTGCCTTCGTACATTGTAATTTTACTGTTAATTGCCACCTTGAAATGTGAGAAATTCCTTCTCAAGTGGAACCCGTGGGAATTATTCTGGTTAATTACTAGTAAATTTGTTACAATGGCCCAACATACCTGACTTCGTCTTAAGCTATTATCCCTTACTGGTAGCCCGCCAACTTATATTGACAGTGCAGGCGGGTTGTTCATTACATTTTCAGCTATTAAAATACTAGCTGGTCAGCAAACTTCGTACCGCCTAACCACAGACAATTGGGGGGAAGGGATTGTTAGCAATGGAGTTTGACAGCCCCATTGCTAGCAATATGCCATATTAGGTCGACCTCCACGTGGTTCCCCCTGGAAACCGTCGTGAACAATTCTTGTTGAATTCGTCACGATGGGCTAACTGACCTGCTTCATGCTCACCTATCATCCTTCACTGGTGCCCTGCTGGTGTATACCGATAGCGCGGGCGGGGTTACTATTTCATTATCACCCATTAAAAAAAACCAAAGACAATTTGTGTTTGACTAATGTTACCAACGTATAAATATTGACAAATATTGACATCAATATATATACAACTTAGAATGGCAAACAAGCTGACGGTCCACCTGATGGAAAATAGTAACCGTCGTCTATAGACATGAACAATACCATGGACATAACAGAGTATACTGCTTCGCCCATGATACCCCCATGCGTTGCCATTCTTGAGGACTCAGGTATTATACCTCTGTACCCAGTAAATTCACTGCAATATCCCACCCTTCAAACCGAAACACAGCCATGCAAACACAACTGCTTCACGGTTGAAATACGAATGGGACAGAGGTACCCAAGCGATCGACTTTTGTACAAAGTCTCCCTCTGGTCTTTGCCTTCCCGGAATCTCTCCACTAACGCTTGAACTTTACAGTATGGTATTAAAGTTTAAATTGTCTTTTAAGTATTATTACGAATCGTGTGTACGTGAGTATATAAAAGTGTTGTTTTAAGACTTTCTCAGGCAATTTCTTAAATTTTTCTCTCCGTAAGAACCAACCTCGTAATTCAAGGAATATTCTGTAAAAAAAGAATTCGCGAAATCGGTTCAGCTGTTCTCGAGATTTTCGCTTAGCAACACATTCAGTGATTCATTTTTATATTATATAAATGTATAAAATAACGCACGAGAGGTGTCGTGGGCATCATATGTTGATTCATTATCATCATGACAGCCTTTAACTGTCCACTGCTGGACATATGCCTCCCTTTTGGGGGTTTTGCCAGGTTTTTTTTTATGGGTGAAAATGGTATAGTAACGGTAACTCCGCCTGCGCTAACGGGATACGCTGGCGGAGCACCAGTGAAGAGTGATAGATGAGAATGAAAACAGGCCAGTTAGCCCATCATGATAAATTCATCAGGAATTAACCATGATAGTTTCCAGGGGGAACTGCGTGAAGGTCGACCTGGTTGGGTATATTGCTAACAATGGGATTCTTAGTCTCCATTACTAACAATCCCTTTCCTCCCGGTTTTGCCAGGTTGCCACGCTTGGCAAACGGATTGGTAACCGCAATTAGGCTTTGGAGATGTTTTAAAAGGGACATTGCTACCCATCTCTTACTACTACTTACAACATCCACGGGAAAGGAAGGGGTGGCCTATTCTATGCTAGAGCTACATGCCAATATGTTGATAGAGGGGAAAGGGATTGTTAGTAATGGAGACTGAGAATTACATTGCTAGCAATATACCCAACCAGGTTGACCTTCTCGCGGTTCTCCCTGGAAACTATCATGGTTAATTCCTGATGAATTCATCATGATGAGCTAACTGGCCTGTTTTCATTCTCATCTATCAGCCTTCACTGGTGCTCCGCCAGCGTATCCCGTTAGCGCAAGCGGGGTTAACATACCATTTTCACCCATAAAAAAAAAAAGGTTGATTATGTTCTTATAATTAAACTCTCCTTTCCAGGGACAATTCTATTTATTCTATCCATAATAACAACTATTAATTGCCATGTTTTAAACAAGAGAGAAGTTTTAGAAGATGGCATTCAAGAGCCAGATACGGTAAGACTTCAAAAGGAGGTAAACATTGTCGGTTATATACAAAATTTTAAACATATAATGAGTGAATATGTAAATTCACAATACAAATTAACTGCAAACGAGTTGGAAAGAGTTAATCTGATACTGGAAGAGTTTTTAAAGAATCTAGCGACCGATCTTAAAGATGTTATGGAGAAGAATATTGATTGGGAAAAGAAGAAGATAGAGGACGGCGTGGACGATGAGAAATTTGTGGAAATAAAGAAGAAAATCATGGAAGAGTTTCATGATATAGAGGAGAATAATGCTGACGAAATGGTTTATAGGTTAAGAAAGAATCTGTACGAGACAAGACAGAAATTGGATGGAATTATTAAAGATTCAAATAGAGCTATGAAAGAGATTTCTAGCGAATAGCATTTGAAATGTTTATTGTACAAAGCATAAGGATATTATGTATTTAAAAGTAAATATATAAATATTACTGGTTTAGTTAATAATACTAAAATTAAAGAAAGAAATAAAAAATCGTTAAAATAGTTAAATTAAATTGGATTTTTTTTTTATACAACTTAGAATGACAAACAAGCTGCCCACCTGATGGAAAGTGGTAACCGTCGCCTATACACATGAGCAGTAACATGGACATAACAGAGTATACTGTTTCGCCCATGATACCCCCCATGCGTTGCCATTCCTGAGGACTCAGGTGTTATACCTCTGTACCCAGTAAATTCACTGCAATATCCCACCATTTAAACCGAAACACAGCGATGCAAACACAACTGGTTCACGGTAGAAACACGAATGGGGCAGAGGTACCCAAGCAATCGACTTTTGTACAAAGTCTCCCTCTGGTGATATTTAATTAAATTGATGAAATTGAAATTGAAGTATTTAAATCTTTATTATTTAAATTTAAGGATCGACGCCCTCCTCGCTTCTAATTTCTGCGCCCGACAGGCTCTACAATATACTTTATTAATTATTAACATCTTTCATAATAATATTGCAGAATGCAATAAATAAATTGAAATAAAAAAAAAGTATTTTTTTTTATACAACTTAGAATGGCAAACAAGCTGACGGCCCACGTGATGGAAAGTGGTAACCGTCGCCTATAGACATGAGCAGTACCATGGACATAACAGAGTATACTGTTTCGCCCATGATATCCCCCGTGTGTTGCCATTCCTGAGGACTCAGATGTTATTTCTCTGTACCCTGTAAATTCACGCCATATCGCACCCTTCAAACCGAAACGCAGCCGTGCAAACACAACTGCTTCACGGTAGAAACACGAATGGGACAGACACTCCGCCCATTTTTTAATCACGTAATAAATATTAGAACATGGCTTTATAATTATAAATATGTATTTTTCCTTCTATTTATACAATAAAGTATTCGGGCAGCTTAAACACATATAAGCGGTTATTGCATTCTGGGGCTGCCTGCAGCTCTACAAGCAAAAACAGCAGCTTTTCAATTCTGATTTACGTGCACCTTTTTAACTACGAACTAAAGAAACTTTTTCTAGGGAAAAAATTTACAGGTATGAAAGTAAAAAGACGGAGCTACTCTGAAACCTCGTTGTGCGTTTGTCTAAACAGATCAGTTACTAGTGTATGACACTTATTTGTTGCAAGTGAACCATACAGCGCCATCTAGTTTCATTCACTGTCATTCTTTCTTTTTGCTTCCATGCGTTTACTTATATGGCCGCGCTTTCTTTTCACTCTATTTGTATTTTTCTTATTTTCAATAATTAAAAAGGTTTATCATTATATTATTTTTACTTTTATTCCATCATTATTCCTATATGGTTGAACAGATATACAAAGGCTGTATTTTTATTGTAAGAAACAAGAGAAAAATTGTCCAAACTATATTAATAGTAACAATTAATACATTTATTATTTTAATTATACAGTACTATTATACCTACTTGTACAACAATTAGTCCATTACCCTAAGGTTGTCGTGTAAAGATTGCTCTCAGCAATAAGACCGCCTCACTGTACTTCATACAACTGTATAGTTGTGTTTGTAAATTGTCTTGCTTATTTCCTATATTGTAAAATGCAAGTAAAATATACTCATTCATTCATTCATTTATTTATAATTATTTTTCAGCTAATCCATTATAAATATTTTTTCTTAATAATCATTACAAACACATCTATGTATCCTATTTAAGAGCTGCGCTCTTGTAGGTGGAGCTCTTGCCACTCACTACCATTTCCAGCGGGGGGGAAAGGGATTGTTAGTAATGGAGACTGAGAATCCCATTGCTAGCAATATACCCAACCAGGTCGGCCTCCTCGCGGTTCCCCCTGGAAACTATCATGGTTAATTCCTAATGAATTCATCATGATGGGCCAACTGGCCTGTTTTCATTCTCATCTATCACCCTTCACTGGTGCTCCGTCAGCGTATCCCGTTAGCGCAGGCGGGGTTACCATACCATTTTCACCCAGTAAAAAAAAAAGACCATTTCCAGCGAGTCTCTACAGACACATAAAGAATACGTATTATACCTATGCTGACGACTTTTCTATAGTTTACTGCAAGGTTGTTCCGTTTACGGGAACGAAGATAAATGATAGAACAAAGTAGATAAAGTAGCTACCAGTATATTTAATGAATGGCCGAATGACGTATTTAAATATAAAAATAGAAAGGGAGAAATATTATGTACTTATATAGATATAAATGAAACGTCAAATCTATGCACAAACCTCGAGAACGGCTGGACTAATTCCTTAAATTTTTTTAATTAATTAATATTTTTAAGAAGCAGAAATAATGGAAAAGTTTCCCGAAAAACTTAATATTTTTCCTAGTCGAATTCCTTACGAAAATTTAAACATGTCAATCAAATGTTGACATACCATAACATATCATTTGACAGAACGACATCTAGCGGGTCATCCAGTAACTAATATTTATTTTTAATTAAAGCAAATTACGTGTTTTATTAATTCTTAATCAGAAAACCCAAGTATTAATAATTAATAAAAAATATAATTTTAACCATTATTAATCTTGTAAAAAAGAAATACCTACAGCGCAATAGTTCTGCTATAAATCTTATGGACTTATTTCAGCTTGTTTGCCATTCTCAGTTGTATTATATATATATATATATATATATATATACCACCTGATGGAAAGTGGTAACCGTCGCCTATACACATGTGCAATACCATAGACTTACTTTTTTATAAATTACTTTTTATTATATGGTTGATTATTACCTATTCTTTGTATAGCTAGGGGCAGAGTGTGGGGGCCAGAATACCGTAACAGAGGGTATCCTAGTACGAATTCTGTCCACTTCCCATGGCAATCTATAGGTATATATTATATTTTGTAAAATGTACAAATAAAGTGCCATTGTGATAGAAATAAGGCATTATTAATAGAAATACATATAGGTTTTTTCCCAATAAAAAAGTATATATTTAATGCTTTAATAAAATACCGAAGGATATTTTGGATCAATCTTTTAATAAGTTTAAAAGGGGTTAATAAAAACATTTATTGAACAAAGCCTATTACATACTAAACGAATATTTGAAAGATAAATGTGCATGGTGTTAGTTGATCTTGTATGGGCTTTTAACGACCATGTAATCTTAGTTTTAATGCATTTAAATAAATACAAATAATATTGAGAGAGTTTTAAAAGAGTAATTGTTGAGTTTCTTGCAAGCTCTTCTTAACAAATAACAACTTTTCGAACCCATCAATAGGTAAAAAAATGACGATTTAAAAGTGCTTGTAAACAAGTCTACTTGATTAAAGATGATTTAAATTCGAATTCGATATAAAAAGAGAAAAAAAAAAACAGATCAAGAAAGACAAGAATTATTATATTTATTTAATTTCTATTATGAAAACTCTCATTAAAAACATATAAGTAGATTGAAATCCAAATAAAACACAAAACAAAAAAAACAAAAAAAAAAACAAAAACAAAAAGAAAACAAACTGTTATATTATTTATTTCATTTTTAAATGACAATTTTTATCAAAACACGTGTGTAGGTTATATTCGAAATATAAAAGAAAAAGAAAAATAATAAAACAATAAACAAATCAAGAAAGACAATTTTTACGAATCACTGACTATCGCTGGCGGTCAAATTATGTGCATAGTCTGTTTTCATAGAATGTACTGAAAATATAATGAAACGAATAATCGACCATAGACAATTTGCTTATGTCTAACTGCAATACAAACTGAGAACAAGGAATTTTACATAGAAGCAATGATAAAATAAAAACTGTAAACCATATGGTCGTCTCCTTTCTTCTTATGCAAATATAATTAGTAAAAAGAGGACAAACTATGCACTATCAGTTGCTATTTTTCTCAATTCATAGCAGGCTAGTGTATAGTTAGAGAGTTATTCTCTGTTAATTCCAACAAAATTTGATTACCTTTTCAGTAAATTCTATTTAAACAGAGATGGATATTTCAGTTTAGTATTCATATATTTCTGCACGCAAGTTCTCGGGGACATCTTCGATTGTCTCGTAGCAAACGCAGATCTTTGCCACTGAATTTACTACCCCAGGTTGCTGTGCTAAACTCGTCGCGACGTCAGATACTGAAGAGCTGCTTGAACTGGCCGCTTCAGCTAATACAAAAAAAAAAAAACACTTTAAATAAACATTCAAGTAATTTTGAGGTCAGTGGTTTACTGGATATAAATTGGTGATGCACGACCATTACCGAGGGCTGCACGTGGCGAGTTGCGGAGGTAGCCACTTCGTATCCGACTCGAAGGATCATATTTTATGATTTTGGAAGACTTAAATAATGCTTTAGACTGTAGCTTTATGTGATTGTAATTAAATATATTTATAGTAAGATGAGTTCGCCGTGTGGTCCCGGCATAGAATAGGCCATCCCTTCCTTTCTCGTGGCTATCGTAAGAGACGACTAAGAACAGACAAAGAATAGACAGCAACGTCCCTCTTAAAACATCTCCACAGCCTAACTGCGGTTGCCCATCCGTCTGCCAAGCATGGCAACTACTGGCAAAATCCGCCAAGGGGAGGCTAATATTGACAAGTGGACAGATAATAATAGTAAGCAGGTGTCGATGTCGTTTGTATACGAAGTAGCCGCCGCTTGCAGCGGAGGCCTATATGAGCGCGCCACCACTGCAGTCCTCCGCGAGCAGTCCACATTGATGATCATGTGTCAACATAAATTAAAGAAAAAGAAAACGCACCAATGATTATGTATATATACTTTTTTACAAGTTTTTTTTTATCTGTATATGTCTTAAGTTGGATGAGCGGTTTCGGAAATAAGCGTGAACAAACATTAAAATGTAGTATTTTGAATTTTATAATTATCAGGCTTATGTCGATGTTATGGTAGCGTGACAAACGAACAGACAGACGAAATTATGAGGCACCATTCTGACCATTTGGCCATAAATTAATAGAAAATTTGATTAGAATTGATAACAAGACCTGATGATGATGACGAGCTAGTGGAGGTGCTGGAATTGCTACTAGCAGTTGAAGATTGGGCGCTAGAAGAACTCTCGCTGGAGGAAGTCTCGCTAGTAGAACTCTCGCTGGAGGAACTCTCGCTGGTAGAATTCTCACTGGAGGAACTCTCGTTGGCTGAACTCGCGCTAGAGGAACTCTCGCTGGATGAACTCTCGCTAGAGGAACTCTCGCTGGTAGAACTCTCACTGGAAGAACTCTCGCTGGCTGAACTCTCGCTGGCTGAACTCGCGCTAGAGGAACTCTCGCTGGCTGAACTCTCGCTGGCTGAACTCGCGCTAGAGGAACTCTCGCTGGCTGAACTCTCGCTGGAGGAACTCTCGCTGGTTGAACTCCCGCTGGATGAACTTTGGCTAGATGAGTTCTCGCTAGTTGAACTCTCGCTGGACGAACTCTCGCTGGTTGAACTCCCGCTGGATGAACTTTGGCTGGATGAGTTCACGCTAGTTGAACTCTCGCTGGATGAGCTTTCATTGGATGTGATGTTCACTTCAGATTCTAAAAATTAAATCAAAAAACATCATCTAAGTCATCGGCAAGTGTACGTTGACTCTATTGATTTCTGGCGCTAAGCACTTGCTCTTGCATGATTTTGTTCCTGTTTGAAGAGTGGGATATAGACAGTGAATTTACAAATTACAGAGGCATAATACTTCAGTGCTCAGGAATGGTAACGTATTCCCATGGATATTACTGTATCTTAATGGGATTTTCCATAAGGTTGATCATATTGGCGTGAATTTACTGGGTACAAAGGAATAACAGCTGAGTCCTCAGGAATGGCAACGCATGGGGAGTATCATGGGCGAAACAGTATACTCTGTTATGTCCATGGTACTGCTCATGTCTATAGGCGACGGTTACCACTTTCCATCAGGTGGGTCGTCAGCTTGTTTGCCATTCTAAATTGTATAAAAAAAAAATCTATCAAGTGGGTTGTCTTTGAGGTGTCAGTAAGAACTTTTGTTATGGTTATATTATTTAAATATGGATAAAATTTTTGTTGTAGATGCATAAAAAAAAATATTATGTTACATTCAGAGAGATTTCCTTCCGCGAATGCTCAGATTTCAGTACAGAATTGAAATGAGCTTCCTATTAAGAGATTACAGCACGGGGTTCTTCAAAAAAGGCGTATTAAAATTCCTTTAGGGTCGGCAACGTGCACGTGACACCTCTGGTATAGCATGCGATCATAGGTTACAGTGATTGTTTACCATCAGACGAGATGTAAGCTTGTTTGCCATCGTTGTATTATAAAAAAATATATAAATCCCATACCAATACAAACAGATATACTCATTAATACAAATATTTATAAACTTATATGTATATATTATAATCTGAATCACCGAAAGGTTGCCGTTATACCTCTTTATTATCAACATTGTTAGGAAGGTCACAAGTGAGATGAAAGAATGATTTTTACGTCACATAGAATGGCAAACAAGCTGACGACCCATCTGATGAAAAATGATAACCCTCGACCATAAACATGCATCCATTTAACTCAATAAACAGAAGAAATTGTAATATCCATGCTATACCTCATGTGTTACTATTGCTGAGGACTATTGCTGAGGATTAGGTGATTTTGAAAGCAGGAAATTACCACTAATTCCTTGCTTTCCAAATCACTTAGTTCTTGGGCAGTCGAAGTGTGGACTTCCACTGCCCAAAACAAATTTAAATTAATTTAAGGAGTCCTATTCAAAAATCTCAAAAACGCTTAATATGATATAGAAATAGTGTACCAGATGCAGTAGCAGCTGAAGAAATGACCACTGGTCTTTCATTTTCGATCACAATAGTTTCCACCGGCGTTTCATCGATAATTTCTTCTATTGGTGCTGGTTGGATGACAACTTCGCTTGGACCTGACGGAATCTCTACTACTGTTATTGATGGTGTTAACCCAATTGACGATTCTGCTGATGCTGAAGAAGTGGCTTGGACTAATCCAGATTGCACTGTAGCTGGTTGGATGACTGTCTCGCTTAGATTTGGGGGAATTCTCTCTACTGCTACAGTTTGCCCCAAATTTTGACCAACCACAACTGTTTCACTGGAAATACCTTGTAATGGAGCAATTTCTTCAATTACAGTTGGCCTTATCTGGCCAGCAGAGGCCGTTGCTTGACTGACTGTTTGTATTGGAATGGAGCTAACTACTGGAGCTGGTTGAACCACTGTCTCAGTTGGAGTTAGGGGAATTCTCTCAACTGTTACAGTTTGTCCCGGAGTAGCTTCCACTACTACTGTTCCACTGGATGTACTTTGTAATGGAGTGATTTCCTCAATTACAGTTGGTCTTGTCTGACCGACAGAGGCCGTTGCTTGATTAACTGTTTGTACTGGAATGGAGTTGATAACTCCGGGTTGTACTTGTTCAATTATGGTTGGTCTTGTCTGAAGTCCAAGAATCGAACTGGTAGAGACTGATGTGGGCTGGATGGGAAGTGTCTGAACAGACCCCAATGGTCGGATTGGTTCGTAAATAGGGTTAATCTGCCATGGAGCACCGGAAAGTTGGCCTCCGTTTTGCCAGTTATACCCTGCAGTCCAAGATGCAGGTAAGTCTGATGGCCATCCGGTTGTTTGTGCAGGCGTCTGCCATTGGTAACCTGGAGTCCAATAGTTCCACGGTCCTGCTGGAACTGAGGTTCCTGTTCGAATTTTCAAAATATCTTACAATCACATATTTTATTTATTTTTTATTGACTACATTACAAGAAATGTTTGGTACAAAAGGCATACTTTATACTATATAGTTTTCTCTCCCAGTCAACCTTTGGCAAAAGAGAAATGTAATTATGCGGTGACAAAATTGAAAATCGTTGCTGAAAAACAATTGTAATGTATTTTGTACCAGAGGGAGACTTTGTACAAAAGTCGATTGCTTGGGTACCTCTGTCCCATTCGTGTTTCAACCGTAAAGCAGTTTGCATGGCTGTGTTTCGGTTTGAAGGGTGGGATATGACGTGAATTTACAGGGTACAGAGGAATAACACCTGAGTCCTCAGGAATGGCAACGCATGGGGGGTATCATGGGCAAAACAGTATACTCTGTTATGTCCATGATACTGCTCATGTCTATAGGCGACGGTTACTACTTTCCATCAGGTGGGCCGTCAGCTTGTTTGCCATTCTAAGTTGTATAAAAAACAAAAAAATTGTACGTAAATACATATATTCAGTTGGGTCTACAAGAGATTGATTTTAAAGATTAAGCCTATTATGAATTTGATATTAATATTAAATTTTGTATACAATAAAGAATTAACTATATCACGTTATACAATATTTATTATGTTATATATAAAATTCTCGTGTCGCGGTGTTTGTCACCAAACTCCTCCGAAACGGCTTTACCGATTTTTATGAAATTTTGTGTGCATATCGGGTAGGTCTGAGAATCGGCCAACATCTATTTTTCATACCCCTCAATGATAAGGGTGACCCTCCCCAAAATATATTTTTTTATTTTTTTAACAAATTTTTCCATTTCTATTTTATTATGATTTAGCATTGAAAAATACATACAACCTCAAATTTTCACTGTTTCACGATCAACTCCTGTTTTTTAATCGCGATTTTTATATGCTGCAATAGGGTTGCAAGATGGCAATCCAATATAATAATTGTAGTAGGATAAATTTTCATGTATAGTTCTAAAAATAATGTACATATATGGTAAAACAACGTTTGCCGAGTCAGCTAGTTACATATAATATCTGAAAATATTCAGATAAACTGCAATTAAAATTTAAATAAATAAGTAATGTACCATAATATTTAAATAATTATTAAATTTATTTAAATTATTATTAATAATAATTTATACTTGGTGTAACAGCCGTTAACTGCCCACTGCTGATCATAGGCCTTTCCAATAAAAGGAGTTTTGCTAGTAGTTGGCATGCTTAGCAGATGGGTTTACAACCACAGTTAGGCTTTGGTAGTGTTTTAAGGTGGATGATTTTGCCCATTCCTTGACTATTGAGTACCCTTAGTCGCCTCTTACGACACCCACGGGAAAAGAAGGGGTGGCTCATTCCATGCCGGGATTACAAGGTAATTTTGTGTTACTTTGGAGAAAATTTCGAAAATGTCTACCAGATACCTGGTCCGCTGACGACATTCGCTTGGTTCCGTGTACTGTATTGATTCTGCCAATTGACGTTTCGTATCCCATTGTTCACGACTAAAATGTGACCATATATGTATTTATAATATATAATTACATATCTTGTCAAATAATGAACAAATGTGGCTGTAAGATTATGAGAACCTATCCCGCGATTGCTTGGGTACCTCAGTCCCATTCGTGTTTCAACCGTGAAGCAGCTGTGTTTGCATGGCTGTGTTTCGGTTTGAAGGGTGGGATATGGCGTGAATTTACTGGGTACAGAGGAAGAACAGCTGAGTCCTCAGGAATGGCAACGCATGGGGGGTATCATGGGCGAAACAGTATACTCTGTAATGTCAATGGTACTGCTCATGTCTATAGGCGACGGTTACCACTTTCCATCAGGTGGGCCGTCAGCGTGTTTGCCATTCTAAGTTGTATAAAAAAAAACAGGAAAGGTTTGTTTGTTTGTTTGTAATAGATAAACTTAAAAACTACTCCAGCAATTTTAAAAATTCTTTCACCTGTAGAAAGCTACATTATCGGAGATTAACGTAGACTTGCTTAAACAGAGAGTCTCCATACAAATGCTTCGAGAAAAACGGGTCAACTTTTTCATACAATTTTGCGTGATAAATAGTTACGAGTGATTCCTTTATAACTTCCATATTTATTTTGTCTTATAATTTCTGCACCTTTTTAATGCGTAAACACTCTTTTTATTTATTAAATAATACGTCAAGATACATTGTATGCGTAAGTATATAGAACAATGATAAAAAAAACGGCTCGGTTAATTTGACAATTAGCTGACAAAAAGTTGACACGTTTTTGAGGCTCAATGCTCCATCTATATAATCTAAGGATAGACTATAATACAATACTTTCTAAAATACTATCTACTTATGCGTTGTCGGGTCGTATTTCTAGTTAAATAAACATATATAAATAACTAGCGGCCCGTCCCGGCGTCGCACGGGTGGACATTTTTAACATTTCCCTTCACTGCTCTGCTCCTATTGATCGTAGCGTGATGAAAAGTACATATTATAACCTGCCCGGGAGTATGAAGAATAATTGTACCAAGTTACGTTAAAATCCGTCGAGTATTTATTATTTCTATAACGAACATACAGACAGACAGACAAAATTTTACTGATTGCATTTTTGGCATCAGTATCGATCACTAATCACCCCATGATAGTTATTTTGGAAATATATATCATGTACAGAATTGATCTCTCTACAGATTTATTATAAGTATAGATTACGTACCTGGCTGGTTTACAACGTTAGCTTGATTTTGAGCGATCTGTTGATTCTGCCAAGCGCTGTTTTGTATATTGTTGTTAGCTGACGAAAATAAAAAAAAAAAATTACTCAACTTAAAAAATATTTGTAAATACTGAACTGCATTAGCTGTATCCAGCGGCTTCGTCTACGTGAATCGGTACATAAAGTATATTATGTGTTAAGTTAGGATATAACCTGCCCGTGTACCAAATTTAATTCAAATCCATTCATTAGTTTTTACCTAAGAACAAGGAATTACATAGAAGGAATGATAAAAAAAAACTATAAATCATATGGTTGCCTCCTTTCTTCTTATGCAAATATAATTAGTAAAAAGAGGACGAAAGATACACCATCCGTTGCTATTTTTCTCAATTCATAGCAGGCTAGTGTACAGAAAATGTTTGATATGTCAATTATTTGTCAATGACAAATTTTACATTACTAGATTATATATTGGACACAGTTTATGTAGAAAGTATGCGAGCAGGTTGTATCTGAATTTGGTATGGTTATACGGCCGTATAACATTTTCTACACACTAGCCTGCTATGAATTGAGAAAAATAGCAACTGATGGTGTATCTGTCGTCCTGTTTTTATTAATAATAATTAAGTAATGGTGAAAGCAGGTCAGTTGGCATCTCGTGATAAATTTATCCATAATTAATCACGATAATTAGGGGGACGGGATTATTAGTAATGCGGACTGTGAGTCCCATTGCTAGAAATATATCCTGTCTGGAAACAATCGTGCTGAATTCCAGGTGTATTCATCACGATGGGCTAATGTTTTTTTTTTACAACACAGGGGGCAAACGAGCATGCGGCTCACCTGGTGGTAAGTGACTACCGCCGCCCATGATCACCCACAACACCAACAGCATTGCAGGTGTGCCGCCGGCCTTTTAAAATGGAATATGCTCTTTTCTTGAAGGTTATGTTGTCGTATCGTACTGATCTGCCTTTTTATTCTCATTTATCATCCCTCACTGGTGACCAGCTAGTGTATACTGTTACCGCAAGCAGAGTTACCGTTCCATTCTCATCCATTAAAAAAAAACCTCATTGCTTAGTTTAAATGTAACATCATTTTTTTAAATACCTTGACTATTAATAATGGCTTGATTCTGGTTGGCCTGTTGGTTCTGCCAACTGACGCCTGGTGCTCCATTGGTTACTCCTAGAAATAAGAGTAAAGTGATCAGCATTACCACCATCATCGTCATCATATTAGCCTTCAACTGTCCACTGCTGGACTTAAGCCACTGCTAGACATAGGTCTCTCCCATAAAGGACATTTTGTCAGTAGATGCCACGCTTGGCAGGGGGATTGACAACCGCAGTGTGGCTTTAGTGATGTTTTTAGAAGAATGCTGCTGCTTATCCCTCGCCCTCCCTAATCGGTTCTTACGACATCCAGGGGATAGGAACGGGTGGCCTATTCTATTCCGGGACCACATAGCCAATCACCACCGTTATCATCACCATATCAGCCGTCAACTGTCTTCTGCTGAACGTAGGCCTCCCTCATAAGGTGGAGGGTTTGCTAATAGTTACCACGCTTAGCAAGTGGCTTGGCAGCCGCAGTTGGGTTTTGCTGTTGTTCGAAGAAGGATGCTGCTGGCCATCCCTCGACCATTTAAGTAGTCCCCTCTTACGACACCCACGGGAAAGGTACACTCTCTAAATGTAATTAGTAAAAAATAGAAACGTTCAATTAATTAAATGATTTTTTAATTTTGTACTTCTATGAGACATCAGCAGACTGACAACCTCTCATTGCAATGAGCTGGTCAAATAGCTCAAAGAACCGACAACCGATGGAGAAGAAAGGTTTTTTTTTTATAGATGATAATGAAATAGTAACCCCACCCGCGCTATCGGTATACACCGGCGGGGCACCAGTGAAGGATGATAGGTGAGGATGAAGCAGGTCAGTTAGCCCATCGTGACGAATTCAACAAGAATTGTTCACAATGGTTTCCAGGGGGAACCACGTGGAGGTTGCTAGCAATGGGGCTGTCAAAATCCATTGCTAACAATCCCTTCCCCCCTGGAGAAGAAAGATTGACTTGACTGGTGACCCCGTAACAACGAAGTGTAAGATGACCCTCCCCCCCCCCCCCTCCCTACTAGATGGAGTGACGACCGCAAATGCATTGCAGTGAGTCAGTGGATATACAGGTGGCTCAGGACCATTCCTTATTGCAGTCTATGTGGGAGGCCTATGTTTAGCTGTGGATGGATGACGGCTGAGATTATGATGAATAAATTTTCATTAGTTCTATTGAATTATGGTTATACCGACATACCTGGCTGAATTGCTTGAGTTTGAGAAATCTGTTGTTGTTGCAACGCGCCATTTTGGATTCCGTTGTTGTTTACTGTAAATTACAATACACATTTATTTTTATGGATTAATTATATGAAGTAAACATTTATTTTCTTGTTATTGTGTATGTGTTATTATCATTTTAATGTAATTTTATAATTTTTATCAATATTTTATATAATTTAATGGTTTAATTTTGGACATTCTAACGTACCTGGCTGAATGGCTTGATTTTGGGAAATCTGTTGTTGTTGCAATGCGCCATTTTGGATTCCGTTGTTGTTTGCTGTAAAAAAATATTAATTTTCCTATTGTTGCGTCTATGTTATCAATCTAGTAGACTAGTAACTTATTTTTTTTGCACTAATATAGTTTAAATATGTGACTCAGTTTAAAATACACAAATGTACCTGGCTGGATAGCTTGAATTTGAGAGATCTGTTGTTGTTGCAAAGCGCCATTTTGGACACCGTTATTGTTCACTAGAAATTACATATGTGCGTATTAATTTAGGTATTAAATACACAAACACAATAGACAACTTTTTATTATGATATAAATCTGATAATATAATCGCTATATAATATTGTCTAATTTTAATTTATTTTTTTACCAAATTGATCTAACAAATGTCATTTTATCAAAAGTGCAGTTTGCGAGGGGAAAAGAGAGACAGGAGTTTTACGTCTTCCGGGTATTTTTTCTCTTCGTAATAACCTTTTTTAGACTTAAAACAATACTTGAAAAGAAATTCAAATTATCTTTATAGTTCATAACAATAAAACATCAAAATTTTCATTTTTATAACATTAATATACATAGATATGATACTCATAATGTACCTGGCTGGATGACTATATATATATATATATATATATATATATATATATATATATATATATATATATATATATATATGTATATGTATTCTTTATTGACTACGTGACAAAAATCTTTGTATAAAAGGCAGACAAAATGCTATATAACTATATTATATATAACTAAAATAAATAATACACGAATTTATAATAATAATAAATAGTAGCTAAACAGTTGATATTCTTACGTACCTGGCTGAATGGCTTGACTCTGAGAACTCTGTTGCTGCTGCAAGGAGCTACTTGAAAGTCCGTTGTTATATCCTAGAAATTACATTAGTACATTCATTATTACTGAATGCCTCATGATTACGATTGACAATTACGATTGACATAATTTTGTCTACTATTACCAAAATAGATCTTGCTGTCTGGGATTAAATGGATTTAAATTGAATTTGAAATATTAAGTTTTGTTACACACACACACACACATATTAAAAATTCTTTTATTGCGCATATGTAAAAGAAATGTTAGTATATATTTGTATGTAGTTCTTAACATGCCGACGTACCTGGCTGAATGGCTTGGATCTGGGAATTTTGTTGTCGCTGCAAAGCACTATTTGGAGCTCCAATATTATTTCCTAAAAATTACATACACACAGATTTTATCAAGAGCCTAAGACTAAAATTTATAATCTTTTTTTTTCGAACGAAACGTTAGTGACTGCTGATCAAAATGTTTGATTTTTCTTTCTTTTCTTTTCGTACCGTTATAGCTGTTGGCCGCAGATGGCCTTTACAGCTTCACCGAGCGCGTGTGCAGGGGCGAGTGCAGAAGGCACTCTAAGCCTGCGAGAGGGGAGCGACGTTAAGCGTCAGCTCTTACAAATGGACTACAAAATGTTTGACAATCTGATATACCTGACTGGACTGCTTGAGTCTGAGAAGTCTGTTGTTGCTGTAGAGCACTGGCTGGACTTCCAATGTTATTTCCTAAAAAAGAAATATGCAGATTAGTTAAATGTTTTTTATTGATAATTGTAACTCATTTTTTTAATGAAATTTTGTGAAGTTTTATAAAATAAATTCTGAACTAAATTATTTTCATTCTTACGTACCTGGCTGAATGGCTTGGGTTTGAGTAGACTGTTGTTGCTGTAAAGCACTGGTTGGACTTCCAATGTTGTTTCCTAAAAATGGAATGTGCTCAATAAATACTTTTAATTGATATTTATAACCTATTTTTTTAAAGAAATTTTGTAAAGTTTTATAAAATAAAATCTAAACTAAATTATTTACATTCTTACGTACCTGGCTGAATGGCTTGAGTTTGAGAAGACTGTTGTTGCTGTAAAGCACTGGTTGGACTTCCAATGTTGTTTCCTAAAAATGGAATGTGCTCAATAAATACTTTTAATTGATATTTATAACCTATTTTTTTAAAGAAATTTTGTAAAGTTTTATAAAATAAAATCTAAACTAAATTATTTACATTCTTACGTACCTGGCTGAATGGCTTGAGTTTGAGAAGACTGTTGTTGCTGTAAAGCACTGGCTGGACTTCCAATATTGTTTCCTAAAAATGGAATGTGCTGAATAAATACTTTTAATTGATATTTATAACCCATTTTAATGAAATTTTGTAAAGTTTTATAAAATACAATCTAAACTAAATTATTTACATTCTTACGTACCTGGCTGAATGGCTTGAGTTTGAGAAGACTGTTGTTGCTGTAAAGCACTGGCTGGACTTCCAATGTTGTTTCCTAAAAATGGAAAATGCAGATTAAATGCTTTTAATTTATATCTATAACCTATTTTTTTATAGAAATTTTGTGGAGTTTTATAAAATAAAATCTAAACTAAATTATTTACATTCTTACGTACCTGGCTGAATGGCTTGAGTTTGAGAAGACTGTTGTTGCTGTAAAGCACTGGCTGGACTTCCAATGTTGTTTCCTAAAAATAGGAAATGCAGATTAAATGCTTTTAATTTATATTTATAACCTATTTTTTAAAGAAATTTTGTGGAGTTTTATAAAATAAAATCTAAACTAAATTATTTACATTCTTACGTACCTGGCTGAATGGCTTGAGTTTGGGAAGACTGTTGTTGCTGTAAAGCACTGGCTGGACTTCCAATGTTGTTTCCTAAAAACAGTGTATCCAAATTTTATTAATGCTTATAACCTTTTTTTTTCGAAAAATTTTATATAAGTTATCCTATTAATATTATAAATGTGAAAGTAACCTTGTTTGTTATCTTGTATCGTCTTAACTATAAAATCCGATATACACATACTATATTAGATGGAGAAGGATCCCAGTCATGTGGACGAAGTCGCCGATAAATGCTAGTATAAAATAAATTCTATAGTTATTCTATTTTTTTCGTGTTCATAGGACAATTAAATGAATTTTGTACGCTAGATTCAGGTGAAGTATGTTGATGATGAACAGTATTTGAATACTATGTACCATCCTTTTTACCACTTTACAAATAAAATAAAGTGATTTGTATTTTGTACCAACTGATTTTTTTACATTCTTACATACCTGGCTGAATGGCTTGAGTCTGAGAAGTCTGTTGTTGCTGTAAAGCACTGGCTGGACTTCCGATATTATTTCCTAAACATGGCATACACAAACATTATTAAATGCACATAGATATAACCTAAAGCTAATGAATGTTGTAATACCTCTATTTAAAAATAGACCTAATTTATACCCTAAATAATCTTATTACCTAATTGAAAAAAAAAAAAAAAACAATACACATTTACAAAGTTTTGTTGAAATCGGTTGAACAGTTTTGAAGATCAGCGTTAGCGAACATGGTAACTCTGAATGTGCATATTAAGATTTCTTATTTCTTAACCTAATATGTTAATTTGAAAATCACAAAAAAAATATTATCTCATTCTCACTCAAGAACCTTTCTTCCCCATCGGTTGCCGGTTCTTCGAGCTATATGACCAGCTCATTGCCACTTCAGGTCGCTTATCCTTTGAGCTATTATAATGTAAGGTAATGACATAACATAGACATAACAGAGAGGTGTGAGTTTGAATCTTATGGGAAAGTTTTACAACTAATATATTTACCTGGTTGGATAGCTTGAGTCTGGGAAGCCTGTTGTTGCTGCAAAGCGCTATTTGGAGCTCCGATATTATTTCCTAAAAAATATACCAGAAATAATTAACCAGAGGGAGACTTTGTACAAAAGTCGATTGCTTGGGGACCTCTGTCCCTTTCGTGTTTCAACCGTGAAGCAGTTGCGTTTGCATAGTTGTGTTTCGGTTTCAAGGGTGGGATATGGCGTGAATTTATTGGGCACAGAGGAATAACACCTGAGGCCTCTAGGAATGGCAATGCATGGGGGGTATCATGGGCGCAACAGTATACTCTGTTATGTCCATGGTACTGCTCATGTCTATAGGCGAGGGTTATCACTTTCCATCAGGTGGATCGTCAGCTTGTTTGCCATTCTAACTTGTATAAAAAAAAATATAGACAGATTTTATTAGATGCCTTTTATAAAAATAGGACGATTTTTTTTCTATCATACTTATTGACTTAATATGAAGCCATCTGCCGGTAAGAATTGTATTAGTATATACTTGAAATTTGATAGTAGATAGGACAGGAGTTATAAACAAGGACAGAGTTTTTTGTAGTTGTAGTTATATATAGTATAAAATAACTTTTGTGATTTTAGGAAATACGCTTCAAAATATTCTTTGTTTTTCTGAAAATTTCGAATAATTTTCACTGTATATTTGTCATTATTTACTGAGCGCTATGTGTAATAAAACATTGCTAAGTAAATTGATTCTGAGAAGTCTGTTATTAAGTTATTAGTCTGTTAAGTAAGAGGCTTCTTTTAATTCCACCATTTCCTAAAGTTTACATTATACACATTTAATATTAAGCAATTAATATAAAAACATAATATTACAATTTATATTCAAATTTGTTATTATCAGTGTATACACTAAATTTCGTGTAAGGTAAACTCAGTAGACATTGGCTGAGTTGTTGACATTCTGACGTACCTGGCTGGACAGCTTGAATCTGAGAACTCTTTTGTTGCTGCAAGGCACTACCTGGAGCCCCATTATTTCCTGTAAATTATATATATATACATTTTTTTATTACTAAAATTCTATTGTTGTAAAATTGTAAAATAAATATCTGTAGGTATTGGTAGAGTTGTTGACATTCTGACGTACCTGGCTGGATAGCTTGGAACTGAGAACTCTTTTGTTGCTGTAAGGCACTACCTGGAACTCCGTTATTTCCTACAAATTATACATACACATTTATTCGTATCCACTTGTTCATTTATATCATTTTTTAAACTACATCTACTGTTCTCAATTCGTCTGTATGTTACGCGATATCTTTGCAAAATCTGAACCGATTTTGACTTACATATTAATTGGGCCACGTTTGAAGTCTGCATTTTTTGCGAAGCAAAATCATATTTGTTAGTTTTGTATGATTCTATTGCCCAATTTAGAATGCAATTGCTGAGAAGGATGTGTAAAAAACTCAATTGTTAATTTTTTAAGCAGAAGTTGTTTTTGCAAGTTATAAATTAGAAATACCTCTGTCCCATTCGTGTTTTTACCGTGAAGCAGTTGTGTTTGCATGGCTGTGTTTCAGTTTGAAGAGTGGGGATATGGCGTGAATTTACTGGGTACACAGGAATAACACCTGAGTCCTCAGGAATGGCAACGCATGCGGGGTATCATGGGCGAAACAGTATACTCTGTTATGTCCATGGTACTGCTCATGTCTATAGGCGACGGTTACCACTTTCCATCAGGTGGGCCGTCAGCTTGTTTGCCATTTTAAGTTGTATAAAAAAAATTTTTTTCTTTCTAATACTTTACCTTGTGGTGCAGCGCTGGCAGTTAATATCTGAAAAGATATTATTACAAGTAGTAATACGATGCGTAAATTAATATTGTTTTAATAAATCAACAACACTGTAATATAAGACACAGTAAAATAAATAAATAGTCAGAAAGAGGTGGCCCATTCTAGCCGTGTGATCCCGGCGTAGAATTGACCACCCCTTCCGTTCCCGTGGGTGTCGTAAGAGGCAACATAGCGTACTTAATGGTCGATGGATGGGCAGCAGCGTCCCTCTTAAAACATCAACCGTGAAGCAGTTGTGTTTGCATGGCTGTGTTTCGGTTTGAAGGGTGAGATATGGCGTGAATTTACTGGGTACAGAGGAATAAGACCTGAGTCCTCAGGACTGGCAAGGTAAACAGTATACTTTGTTTTGTCCATGGTACTGCTCATGTCTATAGGCGACGGCTACCACTTTCCATCAAGTGGGCCGTCAGCTTGTTTGCCATTCTAAGTAATATAAAAAAAAATCACCAAAGCCTAACTCCGATTGCCAAACCGCCTGCCAAGCGTGGTAACTACTAGCAATACCCCCTTATGGGGGAGACCTATGTTCAGCAGTGGACAGTTAAAGGCTATTGATATGATGATGATGATGATAATAATATGATCTAAATTTGTAAGTAGGTACTTACACTGAACGCACACAGGCAGACAAAAGTCTTAAAACCGCCCATCATGAGATCTTGGATCCAGATGACCTGTACGGAACCGCTCAAGTCAACAACTATACCATCAAAACAGGCTACCGAATTTATATACCAGATTGTATAAACATACATGCCAATAAATCACTTGAAAATCATACGAACAGACGTCTCCTTTGTCCAATACAATAATTAATTTTCAATAAATGTTCAGCCTTTGACATATTTACCATAAGAATTCTATAGAATGGGTAGAAGAGACATACGTATACTTTTTTTTGTGAATGCCACAATATGATCCAAATGTAACTTTATTTCCTTCAGACTCTCATAGGTTGAGAGGATTGACAAAAATGTATTCGTATTTTAAGAAACAATTGTTATTATTAATAATAATAAAACTAATACTTCCTATGCAGACCATTAAAAGAGCGGAGTCAAACCGGTCGACCTCCATGCAGTTCTCTCTGAAAATCATTGTGCTCAAATCATGTTGAATTCATCACGACACTAACTGGCATACTTTATGCTTTGAACGAATAAGTGAACGAGCCGCGCGCTCTAACCGCCACGTCTACTTCCCGCGAGCGCTGACTGTCGACTGATTTTGTTCACAACAGAACACGGGTCGGTAGCGCGGCATACTAGTTATTATTATTGAATTCACGAGAGTGTCCGTTCTACCCACATATTTATTCTAATGTATTTACCTTTCTAACTTTATGCTAAATATAAAACACATGCTTCCACATATTATTATTGTTTCTATTCCCTTAGTTTTGCCCTTTGAAGACATTAACGCAGCTGTTTCTATATTATTTCTCAAACCGTTAAGTATTTCATAAAAGTTTCAACTTCAGTGCAGTTTTAGTTGCGTATCGATTTAATTAGATTAATGCAATCAAATGCTGTATTTATATATACAGATCTTGCTTACACGTCCGTGCTTTACTTTTTTTTTAATTAGCATGGAAATACATTAAAAAAATTATGGATTTTTAGTATCACTTAAATCTCTTGGGCTTTTTTTTTAATGGGTGAAAATGGTATGGTAACCCCGCTTGCGCTAACGGGATACGCTGGCGGAGCACCAGTGAAGGGTGATAAATGAGAATGAAAACGGGCCAGTTAGCCCATCATGATGAATTCATCAGGAATTAACCATGATAGTTTCCAGGGAGCACCGCGAGTAGGTCGACCTGGTTGTGTATAGCAATGGGATTCTCAGTCTCCATTACTAACAATCCCTTTCCCCCCAACCTCTTGGGCTTGTGTGTGATACTTTACATTTCATTCTCAAATGTCAAGGTTCGATTATGACACTTATGAAGAGGATGATGGCACTTATAATGCTGTCTCGTTCTAACGCTTCTGTTATTGCGTATCAAATAAATTAGAACCTCATGTACTGTGCGCCATCTACCCTTTGTCTTTTTTCTCAATGTCTTCTACCCAAAGGTTGTCTGGAAGAGATTGCTTAGCGATAAGGCCGCCTTTTGTGTCACTTCTCATTCAAATTAACTGTACTTTTATTATTTTACAAATAGTGCAATAAAGTGTAAAGTAAATAAATAAATACTGTCCTAAATTACAAAAAAAAAAAATCAAAATAAAGATTATATATCTCTAGTGCCAAATAAAACTTATATCATTCTTTCATTCATTCTACCAGCCTTTAACTGTCCACTGCTGAACATAAGCTTTCCCTATAAGGAAAGTTTTGCCAGTTGCAACGCATGAGGGACATCATAGGCGAAACAGTATATACTCTGTTATGTCCATGGTACTGCTCATGTCTATAGGCAACGGTTACCACTTTCCATCAGGTGGGCCGTCAGTTTGTTTGTCATTCTAAGTTGTATAAAAAAAAAAGCTCCTTCCTTGGTCTGCCTGATGTAACTATGTCTCGGTCTCCTTCTTCCCCTCCTTCCTTCTATCTCACCTTCTATTATAATGTTCATAAGTTCGTCGTGTCGTATCAAGTGTCCCAACATTTTTTCCCTTCTGTCCACAATAATTCCATTATCATCCATTAAAAAATAACCTCATTATATTAAACTGATTGTTGTTTTAATGTTGTTTATTAAGTTTTTTTTTGATGGATGAAAATGGTATGGTAACCCCGCCTGCGCTAACGGGATACGCTGGCGGAGCACCAGTGAACGGTGATAGATGAGAATGAAAACAGGCCAGTTGGCCAATCATGACGAATTCATCAGGAATTAACCATGATAGTTTCCAGGGGGAACCGCGAGGAGGCCGACCTGGTTGGGGTATATTGCTAGCAATGGGATTCTCAGTCTCCATTACCAACAATCCCTTTCCCCCCTGTTTTTAAGTTTTATTTCTTGAAACTGTACTCTTCTGCACTTGTACAAATATATTAATAAGAAAAATAACAAAACTGTATAATATAATGAACAACACACAATTATAATGAGTTATTATTCTTTTGTTTTATTGTATGAATGTTTACTGCAATGAAAATAGCGAGGAACAATACTGTGGTGAAAGTAAATAAAGGTGCCGCCTGAAAATCGGCGCTGTATAGGTTTCTTACAACGCAGGGGGCAAACGAGCATGCGGCTCACCTGACGGTAAGTGACTACCGCCGCCCATGATCACCCACAACACCAGCGGCATTGCAGGTGTGCTGCCGGCCTTTTAAAAAGGAATATACTCTTTTCTTGAAGGTTATGTTGTCGTATCGGTTTAGAAATACTGCTGCTGGATGTTGATTCCAAAGAATGGTTGTGCGTGGAAGAAAGTGCTTAGAAAAACGCACGGTGGAAGACCGCCACTCGTCCAGATGATTGGGATGAAACTGGTGCATCTTGCTGGAGGTGTGCTTATAAAGCAAGGGTGGTTTTTTTTAATGGATGATAATAGAATGGTTACCCTGTGCTATCGGTATACACCAGCCCATCGTGACGAATTCAACAAGAATTGTTCACGATGGTTTCCAGGGGGAACCGCGTGGAGGTCGACCTAATAGGGTATATTGCTAGCAATGGATATATGGATTTTTTTTAACCCCTGTGTGGGTGCCGTCGCATATTTCTTGTAAAATAAAGTTTTTTTCTTTCTTTCTTTCTTTCTTTCAATGGGGCTGTCAAACTCCATTGTTCCTTTCCCCCTAGCAAGGGTCGTTAACCGGTCGATCGCGACTTTTTTTTTTAATGGATGATAATGGTATGGAAAGTTCGCCGTGTCGGTCCCAGTAAAGAATGGGCCACCCGTTCCTTTCCTGTGGGTATCGTAAGAGACGACTAAGGGGCGGCGAGGGATGGGCAGTAGCGTCCCTCTTAAAATATCTTACAAGACCTAACTGCGGTTGTCAACCCGCTTGCCAAGCGTGGCAACTACTGGCAAAACCCCCCAATCGTAAACATTGTAAAGAAACGGCCCCCGGTCCCCGGCAGCTCCGCTATTCCTGGCGAAGTTACGGGTGGCTCGGAACCGTTCTTTATGGCAGTCTATGGGGGAGGCTATTGTCCAGCAGTAGACAGATAATGGCTGAAATGAAATGTTGATGAATGGTATGGCAACCGTGCCTGTGCTATCGGTATACACTGGCGGAACACCAGTGACGGATGATAGGTAAGAATGAAAAGGCAGGTCAGTTAGCCCATCGTGATAAATTCATTTAGAATTGAACACGATAGTTTTCAGGGGGAACCGTGAGGAGGTCGACCTGACAGGGTATAGTGCTAGTAATGGGGACTAGTAGCCCCATTACTAACAATCCCTTCTCCCCTCAATTACGACTATTAGTCCAGTCGATCGTGACAAGGCAAAAAATATAAATTACTCTGCACGGTGACATATTACTAAATGCAAAGTAATCCTCAGGACTAAATTTCTAGGCATTGATTTTCAACGAGAAATATCCAAATTTTAAAAAATATGTTTATTTTATTTATTTATTTCAAGTAAACAGTTACATAGACAGTATATATACTTAGTGCTGCGAAACTGCATTGCAGTTTGTCTGCAGCTTTGCGCTCTTGTACATACAGTTTTTTAAACAATTACAAACTAATATCCTAATTCTATATACTAAACTTATATCTTTATACATACATATACACAGATATGCATATATACACATATATACACATACATATATTGATAGGTTGATTCCTACGTGTTGTGCGTGGGAGAAAGTGCCTTGAAAAACGCACAGTGGAGGACCGCTACTCGTCCAGATGATTGGGATAAAATTATAATTTATGGCGGGATATACGATGGTGAAAATCAGTACCAGTTAACGGCTGGTATAATAATAAAAATGAAATATAATAAACAGGTAAATTTATTTTCTAGAAACAGAATTGCAAGAAAAGAAACAATAAAATAAATAGATCGTGTATTTTTATATGCAGATGCATAATATGTTTTGGTATGTACGTATTAAATTACGCATAATATAATTATGCATTTGTTTACTCAGTTTATTTGCATTTTAATATTATAATATTAAAATGTAACTGTATTTTAATTAATTGTCGTAAAATGTTGTAATTCTTTGTATCTATAATAAAGTTTACTATTGCAATCTTTTGGAGGAAACATCATCGTCTTCCTATCCTTATCTCAATTATTATTTGGGGTCGGCGTAATATGTTTTTATCCATATTACAAAAAGATTTGTACAAAAGTCGATTGCTTGGGTACCTCTGTCCCATTCGTGTTTCAAACGTGAAGCAGTTGTGTTTGCATAGCTGTGTTTCGGTTTGAAGGGTGGAATATAGCGTGAATTTACTGGGTACAGAGAAATAACATCTGAGTCCTCAGGAATGGCAACGCATGGGGATACCCCCCATGCGTTGAAACTTATATCTTTATACATATATATACACAGATATGCATATATACACATATATACACATACATATACATACAGACACACATGCATATACTGTATGATGTTACTGGTATGAGTGTATACTCATAGGGGATATGGCGTGAATTTACAGGGTACAGAGAAATAACACCTGAGTCCTCAGGAATGGTAACGCATAGGGGGTATCATGGGCGAAACAGTATACTCTGTTATGTCCATGATACTGCTCATGTCTATAGGCAACGGTTACCACTTTCCATCAGGTGGGCAGTCAGCTTGTTTGCCATTCTGAGTTGTATAAAAAAAAATAGTTATACGACCGACCGCCTGCCTGACGTCAACCCTCTTTGGGAATGCATGTGAGGAAACAATAAAGAGTAACTGTCTATCTACAACCCGCCACAAACTAATGTTCCATCCCAACCATCTGGATGAGTGGCGGTCCTTCACCGTGCGTTTTTCAAAGCACTTTCTTCCACGCACAACCATTTTTTGCAATTAACGTCCAGCAGCAGTATTTCCGAACCGATACGACATTATAACCTTCAAGAAAAGGGCATATTCCTTTTTGAAAGGCCGGCAGCACACCTGCAATGTTGTGGTGTTGTGGGTGATCATGGGCGGCGGTAGTCACTTACCATCAGGTGTGCCGCATGCTCGTTTACCCCCTGTGTTGTAAAAATTCAGTGAATTTACAGGGCACAGAGGAATAACATCCGAGTCCTCAGGAATGGCAACGCATGGGGGGTATCATGGCCGAATCATTGCCGCTGTGTTGTATCGATAACACGGGGTTTTTCGGGGAGAGAGTAGGTGTTGATTCTATATACTACGAGGACTTATCGCCCCATTCGTGTTTCAACCGTGAAGCAGTTGTGTTTGCATGGCTGTTTCGGGTTAAAGGGTGGGATATGGCAGTGAATTTACAGAGTATAGAGGAATAACACCTGAGTCTTCAGGAATGGCAACGCATGGGGAATATCATGGGCGAAACAGTATACTCTGTTATGTCCATGGTACTGCTCATGTCTATAGGCGACGGTTACCACTTTCCATCAAATGGACTGTCAGCTTGTTTATCATTCTAAGTTGCATAAAAAAACCTCTGTAAATTATTATTTCCTCTCTTTCCGTGGATAGGGAAAGTAGATAAAACCTTATCTGAGTAATAAGTTAAGGGTACGATAGGACCGGGTAGGACAGGGTGGGATATATCAAGTACAATAGCACTACAATTAAAAAAAAAACTTGTTTTTCACTACTTTTTAAACCCAGAATGTTCTAGTTCAGTAAGAGAAGTTCACTTCACCACTCCGTATAAAATATAAAACAAAATGTGGCATAAAACAAAGACAAATTAGAAAACTAAATATGCAACACTCCCCCTCCTCTCCCCCTCCCTAGGTCTATGTTCATCAGTGGACAGAGAACAGATGATGATGATTAGGGTTCAAGCGGATTCCCCGCGGCTCCGGCAATAGGTGGACGAAACACCGGGGGGTTTTAGCCGATAAGAGTCCGGCAGTACCTCGGGAGAGATATGTGGGTCTGCATGAAGCATTTCCCCTCGACAAAAAAAAAGGGTAACGGATAATAAAAAAAAAATACAAAATTTGCCAATGAAAACTATATTATTAACAATTTACCAGAATTACATGCGTAAAGGGAAGGCTTATGCTCAGCAGTGTACTGTGAATGGCTACTATAGTGCAAATATTTTATTTATTTGGCTTGATATTTAGGGATAATTAAAGAATTTACTTCCAATTGCATGTCAAGACATATTTGGGATATTTAGATAGATAGATAGATGATTTATTTGCATTACTTTCAACACACAAATAACAATAAACATATACATACACAGTAAAAAGAGATAAAAGAATGCATATACAAAATATACAAAACAACAATTTCCTTCTTCATGCGTGTGCCCAAAATGGTCACAACTCAATTTATTGTTTTGCCCTCAAAAGAGCAAAACTCAAAAGAGTTATATGACGATTTAAGGTAATTTTGTAGCTATGTTCAGATAAATGAATCGAGATTGATCGTGACTAACATTGCAGTGTGAATGGAGCCCTAAGCTGCGATCTGTCTTCGCACATTCCAGGGGATATACTTAGAGTCATCGTAACAAACACAAACGTTGCCAACTTCACTCCTGTCAATCCACCTCCTTGGACCAGAATTGGATGAGCCGGATGATGGTACTGTAAAGGAAACAATACATTCAGATGTAGACGATACAGAAGTGTTGAAATACGTATCATAATAGATTTAAAAGAGCAACTGTTGAGTTTCTTATGGGTTTTACTCAGTAAACAATATTTTGAATGCAGCATTAGAATCATAAAAGATATTAATTAAGAATTAAAAGTGCTCGCAAACAAATGTATTTGAATAAAGACGATTTGAATTTGAATTTATAATCTCTGTAATGTAGTTGAGGAGAAGTAGCGAAATACATATTTGTGTGTACCGCAAATAGTGGAAAATCATCATTAAAGATTTTGTTCCAAAAAAACCGAATTCAGTTGTGACAAAGGGAGATTTTGTACAAAAGTCGTTTGTTTCGATACCTCTGTCCCATTCGTGTTTCTACCGTGAAGCAGTTGTGTTTGCACGGCTGTGTTTCGGTTTGAAGGATAGGATATGGTAGTGAATTTACAGGCTACAGAGGAATAACACCCGAGTCCTCAAAAATAGCAACGCATGGGGGGTATTATGGGCAAAACAGTATACTTTGTTATGTTCATGGTACTGCTCATGTCTATAGGCGACGTTTACTACTTTCCATAAGATGGGCCGTCAACTTGCTGGCCCGTCTCCAGAATGTCTGAAAGTCAGTCTGTCAATTCGTCAGGAACACCTTTACCCACAGATATAGCCGTTTTGCATTGCGACTGCCAGGTTGACTCAGTATTAGATTGATATTACCGTTGTATAATGGCATATCGCCCAGAATCCGCTATCTCACGTTACAATTTCGGCCACATTCCACCAGCAAATGTAGAAGGTCTTTTCACTTTGTCACAATACATACAATTTGGTGATTGTTTCATTCCTATAAGATGATAAAATTTGTTGAGTGGAACATGGCCAGATCGCATCCTGAACGTTATCACTAAGTACGAAAGACTTGTTGTTGGAATCCAGGGTATAGTCTTACAGGATAATGGTGGCAATCCTAATTGTCCTCTTCTTTGGCTCCATAAGTTCCATAGCTCCCATAATTCTTGCAAAGTGGTGTACACTAAAAAATATATACATATTAATCTATGAAATAGCCGAAGAACCCGCGAGAGTGGTTTGGTTGTAACACCACTTCGCTCTTCAAAACAGCAACAGAAGTTAGGACCTTTAGAATTTTATGTTGTATACTCTCCGATAGGAATAAACTTCGAAGAAGAAGAATTGTTATTTCAGAGAAAAATTAACTTTTTGGTGAAAATCAACACTTATATCAATTTATTGTTTTATTGTTATTTTAAAAGACTATCCTAAATTCAGGCATTAAACATATTAGGAAACAACTCTTCGCATCCAAAATTAATTGGGAATTCATAAATATTTAACAGTTATTGATTTGTAATTTATGTTTTTGCCGTGTGGTCCCGGCATTGAATGGGAAATGAATGAAATCTTCCTTTCCAGTGGACGTCATAAGAAGTGACTAAGGTAGATCGAGAGATGGGCTGCAGCGTCCCTCTTAAAACATCTCCAAAGCCTAACTGCAATCTCCAAAGTCTCCGATCCGCCTGCCAAGCATGGCCACTGCTGGCAAAACCCCCTAGGGCCTAAGGAGAGGACTTGAGCAGTGGACAGTTAAAGACTGATATAATGATGATGATTGATTTGTAAATTAATGACAATATAAAAAAAATCTTACCTAAGTTTTCTATGTCAGTTTCAGCAGCAGAAGTTGCTGTTTGTTGCAAATTGTTGCCAAGTTGTTGTACCCTGTTAAAAAATTTACAGTTAATACTAACTATAAATGGAAGTCTAGTTAAACTTTAACATTTTAGTTTTGTCACAAAGTTAATTGTTTCTATATTAAAAATGTTAAACATGAAAAAAATATCATTACCTTTCCCAAGGGTTGGTAGGAATATTCAGAGAAGGTCGTTCTGTAAAAAAGAAATAAATAATATTATTTATTAACAACCGACTTAGAAAAAAGGAGTGTCTCAATACGGTTGTATTGTTTTTATGTTTGTTACCTCATAACTCTATCGGCTCTAAATCGATTTAGAAATTTTATTAAAATCGATTTTTAAATCAAAATTATTGGGGTTTATTACAATTGACATTGGTATTTTTTTTTATGCAACTTAGAATGGCAAACAAGCTGACGACCCACCTACTATTATTTCTTCTGTAGATGAAACAGGATCACCGTTTACTATGGTATTGGATCTAATAACTTCGTAATCTGCAAATATATTTAAAATAATTAGAAACAATGTAATTTATGAATTATCGTACAGCCACTGTCAAGGCTTGGATACTTGTTTTATTTTGCACATGGGGTCGAATACTGTTTTAGTTTTCGTTTTTCTTTTGTTTTTGTTGTTTTTACTGATATTTTTTTGTTATTTACCTATTGTTTTGCGCATGCCTGTGTATTGTATTACTTTAATTGCTAATTTATGATCTCGATGGACCGGGCTAGGTGATGAGGTGCTAATTGAAAATCAGCGTTTCTGCTTCTGCAGGAACTTTGAGCTGAATTGACATCCTTTTTCATTTCCATGACACAGACCGATCTCGACTACTTTATATATAAATGTAAACTTTATTTTTCTATTTCTTTTAGTGTTGTTATTACTTGCAGTCTAAGTATAACTAAGTGTTGTGCATTACTGAAATAAATTTTCATTCATTCGTTCATGCATTATTAGCATTCTTTTATTATTTTTTTTATTTATGACAAAATACATATTTTATTTTTATAATGAATATGAATAAATTGGACCAAGAATCACGCCCAGTGAAACACCTTCAATAAGAGTAAAATAAATTGGACAAAATTGAAGAATTAAGGATGTTGTAAATGATGAATAGAGTTTAAGTGCGCTGTAGATAATCATAAAACTATACTAGCTAAAAAAAGTACTTAAAAGTAAAAAAATCTAAAAAAATTTAAAGTCTATGTAAATTGTGATATGAAAATAGATTCTTTCATTAATTTAACATTTAATGTACCTGATGTTGACGACAGTGATTGCGATAATGGAGTAACTAATGAAGTTGGTACCGTGAGCACATGTAACTACAAATATTTTACACATATACATGAATAATATGAATGAATTGTACTAAATTGAAAAACACAAACTTGTAGCAAAATGTAATAAAATTAATAAAGGTATAGGTAGACATATTAGTATAGATTTCTTCCTAAATTATTTTATATACCTGATGCCGTTGATTGTGGTAATGCTGATGACAATGGAGAAGCTGAAGTACTTGAAGAGACAGATGTATCTGCAATGATAAATAACATAATAAATTTCCTACTTATATAAATGTATGCCTCATTTCATTAATGATAGTATACATACAGATTAAAATATCAATTTCATACAAGAGATACTTGCCTACTATAACTTCTTCAGAACTTAAAACAGGACTACCGTTTACAATTCTCTCAGATGTAATAACTTCCAAATCTGTAAATATAGTATGACGTTCATAAGATTCAGTATTTACTCTATTGTTTATAGTTAATTTCTAATTATTTCGATCGATTTATATATTATCCAATGTTATATTACACTTAATACAATAAATCTAGTGTACCTGCTAAATACTGTTCCAGTTTGAAAGATGATTAAAACCCAGCAGCAGAACAAGGGACGCTTAAAACCGTTTTAAACCATATATGAGCAGTCAGTTAAGATATTGTAAATAACTAAGATCTTCATGTTATAGCTTATAGTTTGTAATCGATATCCTCAAGAGATATACCAAATGTTATGTTACCATATTAATATAAATAAAAAAAAAACTAATTATCATGTACCTTGTGTACTACGTGGCCCATAAGTAGGATATGTCGATGAACCGCTGGAACCTGGTCTTTCTATATCATTAGTGACGATAACAACATTGTCACTTGGTTGTCCAATAATCGTGTCTATTCTCTCAACATCTACTGGTGGTATCTGACTCCCTAAAGGTACTCTGTCATCAGTTAAAGATCTTACTGTCTGTCCAGATCCAACAACTGAATTTACTCTGTCAATATTTAGTGGAGATCTCTGATACCCTGAAGATAATCTGTTATTAATTAAAGATCTTATGCTCTGTCCAGATCCCACGATTGTGTTTACTCTATCAAGTTCAGGTACTGTACGTCCAGATCCAAGAACCGAGTTTACTCTATCGACACCTAGTGAGGATCTTTGATATACTGAAGGTACTCTATCTTCAATTAAAGATCTAGATCCTAACAGTCGAATAGGTTCATTATTCCAGTTTTGGGAGACAGGACGTGATAGTAGTGAATTCAATAGTGATCCTGAATTAACTGGAGATACCAAACCTCTACGGCCTACATTAGGTCCAAGTCCCCATCTGTTTGAGTTTAATCTGGCTGATCGTAACGGTCGTACAGGTCTTGGTCGTAGTGATGATCGTCTTGGATATCCTGGGAGTAAATTGTTTAATGATCCTGTTCGAAGTTCAGATCCTAAAATGACAAATCATATCTATAATACAAAATTTAATTGGTGTTTGGAACTTTGTACCAAATGATCTATAATCACATTAGCTTTATAATATAACTTTGATAGTTGAGTTACCAGAGGGAGACTTTGTACAAAAGTCGATTGCTTGGGTACCTCTGACACATCCGTGAAACAGTTGTGTTGGCATGGCTGTGTTTCGGTTTGAAGAGTGTGATATGGCATTAGTTTACTCGGTACAGAGGAATAACACCTGAGTCCTCAGGAATGGCAACGCATGGGAGGTATCATGGGCGAAACAGTATACTCTGTTATGTCCATGGTACTGCTCATGTCTATAGGCGACGGTTACCACTTTCCATCAGGTGGGCCGTCAGCTTGTTTGCCATTCTAAGTTGTACAAAAAAAAAAGTTGAAGGCAAAGTTTCTCCGCAAGATTTAAATATGGACTTACTTAAATCATTAGTGGGTGACACGGTTTCAGTAACTTGACTCGTCTCCGATCCGGGCCGTTGTATATCAACGATATCTGAAAGAATTGTATTGTATTGTAAAAATCTTTATTGTACATAACTCAGATTAAACACTAGTAAATGATTCAATATACAATGGCGGACTTATCTCATAAAGGGATCTCTTAGTCAACCTTTGAGAAGCTGAAAGAAAACTGTAGAATGTATAAGGGTAATAACTGTAGAATGTATAAGGGGAATATGAAGGATACAATCAACAAGATAACAAATAGAGAAGAAGTCAACGATCCTATTTGCATCAATACAAATTTCATATATAATTTAAAAAAAAATCTTCACTAAACATTTTTCTATTCTATTCTATTTTGAACTTTAAAATAAAGTAAAAAAAGTTAAAATGTGTTTAATTACTGAAGTATATTTGTATAAGCGCGAAATTTAGCATTAATTACTATAGTTAGAATTTAGCCTGCCCTGTAGAAAACAGGATTCGTATGATACATTAATTATGTACATGCTTAAAGAAATTAACATGAGCTTTACTTAGTATTACTGATAATTTAATTAATTACTTATATTACCTATCGAAATAAATGTTTCTAATGGAATAAATTTAAATAGTTAAAGATAAAAAAAATCCTTAAGATCACTGCCAGTTGGTAGGGCACCTAGGAGACTTGCTGCATTTCCACGCTGAATAGCTATGGAAATGCGTTGACCAAAGTATAGGCCAGCTTTCTGGTCGCCAGAGGTTTCTACCAGCCGGCGTGAAATCTCTTTGAAAAGATTCATGGCCTTGGGGCCCCACGGACCCAGAAATTCAACTCAAAACACCGCAAATATATATCCATTTCTAAGGGCTGATTATTTATATAATATAACCAAGAGGAAATATTTGATTGTTGAAGTGAAAACTTCTTTAAGCGCGTTAAGCATTTTTTGAGATGGTAAAAAAACCATTGCACTCGCGATACTGTTACCATTACCGTGACCGAAATTTCTGTATATAAGTATGCACATATATTGTGTATGTACATAAATTCCACGTAGATACACATGTATGGTGGCATTTTATGCGATGGGAAAAAACCACTGATCTTGCAACATACATAAAATAAATATAAGAAAAATTAATATAAGAGACCTTTTTGAAAGCAATAGGCGACAAAACATACTTTTTGCAATTTTTGTCCGTCCGTCTATATGTTTGTTCTAGTATCATGTTAAAACTACTACACAAAAATTTAATGCTGTCACAGTATTTTCCTGAATGCCTAACTTAAATAGTGGTTTATATTTTACTACTTCCAAACTTCGGGCAATGTGGGCAAAAACTAATCAATTATAACTAGATTTTCCTCGCATCTTTATAATTAAATAAATGTATATTAATAAATTATATAAGACATTTAATATACTAATATATATATTTATAATACCAGAGGGAGACTTTGTACAAAAGTCGTTTGCTTGGGCACCACTGTCCTTTTCGTGTTTCTACCGTGAAGCAGTGTTTGCATGGCTGTGTTTCGGTTTGAAGGGTGGGCATATGGCAGTGAATTTACAAGGTACAGAGGGATAACACCTGAGTCCTCAGGAATGGCAACGAAATGGACGAAACAATGTATTCTGTTATGTCCACGATACTGCTTATCTCTATAGGCGACGGTTACCACTTTCCATCAAGTGGGCCGTCAGTTAATTTGCTATTCTAAGTTGTATAAAAAAATACTACCTTGTCCACCTGCAAATAAATAAATAAATAAAAATATTTATTTCAAATTATTATTGTTAGGTCTATTAATAATCCGAAGGTTTCTACATATAATAGTGGATTTTACTTACCAACAACATTCGTGGGTCTGCCTTCCAAATCAAGCCTCTGATTGGTATCTGAAAAGCATATAGTTTTTCTCCTTTAATAACTTTCATCTTCAATAAACAAATGTAAAAATAATATTATTAGTAGTAGTTTATAATAACCATGTGGTCCCAGCATAGAATAGGCCACCCTTTCCTTTCCTGTGAATGTCGAAAGAAGTGACTAAGGAGAGCGAGGGATGGGCAGCAGCGTCCCTTTTAAAACATCTCTAAACTTTAACTGCGGTTGCCAATTCGCCTGTTAAGCGTGGCAACCACTGGTAGAACCCCCCAAGGGGGAGGCTTACGTCCAGCAGTGGACAGTTAAAGGCTGATATCGTCATAGTCGTAGAATACTGACGGATCTGACAAATATTACATATAAAGGATCCGTCAGTATTCTACGACTATGACGATATGACGATGAAGAAACATTAGTTCATTGAAGAGTTAATATCTAATCATTATGTACTTTTTATTACAATACTGTTACAGTAAATGTTAAAATATTTATAACTGTCACAAATCACAATTTACAATTTTGATTTGTAATGTGAATTTACAGGGTACAGAGGAATAACACCTGAATCCTCAGGAATGGCAACGCATAGGGGGTATCATGGGCGAAACAGTATATTCTGTTATGTCCATGGTACTGCTCATGTCTATACGACGGTTACCACTTTCCATCAGGTGGGCCGTCAGCTCGTTTGCCATTCTAAGTTGTATAAAAAAAAATCAAAAGCAAATGCTTGGAATGAAATAATTTTTTTATTTTTATTATTAAATTAAATTAAATTAACTATTATCCTTGGTCTCCACCAATTTACAATGTCTATTAGGCATTCAAAGGTTGACTGGAAGATATCCTTTTTACAGAATAAGTCCACTATTGTACTTATTCATTTATTAAAAACACTGTATTATTTAATACTTTACTGTACGTACAATCAAGTGTTACAAACAAACAAGTCGTCATAGTCGTAGAATACTGACGAATCTGACAAATATTAAATATATATACCCGTCAGTATTCTACGACTATGACGAAGTGTTCTAAATTGTATAAAAAAAAACTTTTTGATTCCACAATAAATACTTGTGTTGTATGTAATAAATTCCACAATATTACAATTAGAATCATCATTGTCTCCCTATCCTTATCCCAATTATTGTTTGTGGTCTGCGTAATATGTTTTTATCCATATTACAAAGAGACTTAGCTTATAGTTTTACGACCGGCCGCCTGCCTGACGTCAACCCTGTTTGGGAATGCATTTATTGATGGTTTCTGTCACCTACGGTATAGAGGAAAGGATTGAGGAAAAAAGGAAGGAATCTTTGGAAATGCGTAAAAGGATTTTTTTTATACAACTTAAAATGGCAAACAAGCTGACGGCCCACCTCGTACTGTAAATTTTTTTTTTTCAAAGTGGAAAGGAGCAATTATGTCAGCGGCTAGAGTGGTGTACAATATTGTGAGAATTTTTAAACAAAGAAACTAGACATAATTTTATATACCCTCTTACCATCTTAGTGTATCTCACTCGTGTAAATTATCATCATCATCATCATCATATCTGTCACGCCTGTGACATTCCCATTAGGGTAGGCAGAAACAATGGAACGCCAAATGCTTCGATTCAAACAAACCTCTTTCGCTTCTTCCACATTCATCAATCTTGTCATACACGCTCGTCGGTTACGGGTACTTTTAATTTGGCCCTTCTTTAGCACGTCGCCTATTTGGTCGACATACGTCCGTCTAGGGCGGCCCCTACCGACATCTCCATTCATTCTTGCTCGATAAATCTCTTTCGTAATTCTTCTTTCATTCATCCTCTCCAAATGACCGAACCAACGCAACATTCCTTTTTCGATTTTTGTCACTACATCGTCTTTCAGTCCACACTTCTCTCTAATCATCGTGTAAATTATATATTAATTATTTAAAAAAAAATGTACTCACCTAAAATATTCGAAGGTCTAATGCTTTCACTAACTTGAATCGATTCAGATCCAGGCTGTTGGATGTCAGTGATATCTGAAATAATAATAATAATAAACACTTTATTGCGCGCAATAATCAACAAGGGCATCTCATGCCCGCCAGATGATGTGTGGGCGGGCGAGGTAGGGGCCTCGGGGTATACCCCACTACCCCGGCTTCAACTCCGGAGGCGACGACCTCCGGGTCGCTGGGTTCTTCAGCCGGCATACACTGGTGGGCTGTATATGCCGGAGGCGCACAATAGAGATGTATACAAGGAGTATTTATACAGAATGTGCATATACAAAAGGCGGCCTTATCGCTAGAAGCAATCTCTTACAGACAACCTGGCATGAATACAGAGAGAAATGTAGATGGCGCTAGTCAGACACAGTAAATAAATTATTAAATAGAAATCACTTAACAACATTCGTTTTAGAAAAATCTATCTATTTATTCGTATCATTCTTAGTATTATTGTCACCTGCAATCATAAAACTAACTAATTCCAAAATTATTTGGAATATGATTAAGTAATGGTCTAAAAATGAACTTGGTTTATCACCAAACTTTCTGCCATCGTACGTGTCGCCATCGACAGGGAGTTCATCCTCATGTCTTACAGCCTCAATGGTCGCGTACTGCGCGGTTTCAGAGATGTTTCCTCCCACGAACACTCAGGTTGTGGAATGAGCTCCCTGCCGAGGTTTTCCCAAGAGACAACAGCATGGGGTTCTTCAAAAGGGGAGTAAAGAGGTTTCTTCAGGGTCGGCAACGCACGCGTGATACCTCTGGTATTGCAGGTGTTTATAGGCTACGGTAACCACTTACCATCAGGTGGGTCGTATGCTTGTTTGCCACCTCAGTGGTATAAAAAAATAATTTAAAACTATATCAGTTTTTAATATCTTTGTCAAAATGCTTCATTGATAACGGTCTTCAAGTACCCATCTTGTGAAGAGCCTTCTGCAAAGTTAATATAACCAAATTTGATAAACTTACCAACTACATCCGTGGACGTAAAAGATTCCACTCCATTCTGTTGATTATCTACAATATCTGGAAAAAAAAAACAATAAATTAGTCACAAATGCAATAATTTTCTTTTATATTCAATATTATTAGATCACAGCCGTGTGGTCCCGGCATAGAATAGGCCACCCATTCCTTACCCGTGGGTGTCGTAAGTCGCCTCTTATATTTTATACCGGGACCTCACGGCGATTATATATTAATAACTAGTATGTACTAATGGGGGGAAAGGGATTGTTAGCAATGGAGTTTGACAGCCCCATTGCTAGCAATATGCCCTATTAGGTCGACCTCCACGTGGTTCCCCCTGGAAACCATCGTGAACAATTCTTGTTGAATTCGTCACGATGGGCTAACTGACCTGCTTCATCCTCACCTATCATCCTTCACTGGTGCCCCACCGGTGTATACCGATAGCGCGGGTGCGGTTACCATTCCATTATCACCCATTAAAAAAAAGTATGTGCTAAAATAGTTTGGAACTAGATGGCGCTGTCTCGACTATTTATTTACATAAAACACAATCTTACCTCGTCGGTCGATGATATTCAGTGGACTCTGAGGGCCGTAACGGTTCAGCAAATCGATGTTCCTTAGATCCGCGTTCACTGCCAGACATTAAGAAACTTAAAGTTATTGATATCTTAAAAAATATGTAATATATATATATATATATATATATATATATATATATATATATATATATATATATATATATATATATATATATATATATATATATATGTATATAAGTGTATATAATGAGTAGGGCCAAAGAAGAAGGGCCAAATTAAAAGTACCCGTAACCGGCGAGCGTGTATGAATTATGAAATATGATTGATGAATGTGGAGGAAGCGAAAGAGGTTTGTTTGAATCGAAGCATTTGGCGTTCCATTGTTTCTGCCTACCCTAATGGGAGACAGGCGCGACAGATATGTATGTATGTATGTATAATGAGTAGGGATATATAGTTTATACCATTACATGTATCATATCTCTATATTTAGAAATAATAGAATTTCATCGTTCCTCCGATCAAACTGTTTATAATTACTCCTCCCCATCCAAAGGCTGCCTGAAAAAGATCGCTTTTAGCGATAAAGTCGCCCATTGTTTTCTCGCTGTGATTATTTCCAGTAATTGTTTATATTTATAATAAGTTTACTATTGTAATCTTTTGAAGGAAACAATAAAGAGTATCTATCTAAGTAAAAAAAAAAAAAAACAATCTTAATACCTACAATTTATAATAATAGACAAGTTAACATTGCTCCCCAAAAAGTGACTTTTTTCGAATAAATAAGATTTTACAAAAAAAAAACTTTAATAATGGAAAAATCACTTATTTTAATTTAAAACTAAACTACTAAACTGATTTTATTAAAATGTATATACTGTCACGTACACAAGGTACACTTACACGTACCTTTTTAAATAAAAAAAGATTTTTCCAAATCGGTTTAAAACTGATAGAGTTATGAGGTCAAAAATGCTACCGAATTGAGAGCCTTTTTTAAAGTCGGTTTAAGAATAATAATTCAAACTAATTGTGAATCTTCTCCTATTGAAAGCAAATTTGTTTTTTAATGGATGATAATGGAATCGTAACCCCACCCGCGCATATCAGTATACACCGGCGGGACACCAGTGAAGGATGATAGATGAGTATGAAGCAGGTCAGTTAGCCCATCGTGACGAATTCAACAAGAATTGTGCACGATAGTTTCCAGGGGGAACTACGTGGAGGTCGACCTAATAAGGCATATTGCTAGCAATGGGGCTGTCAAACTCCATTGCTAACAATCCCTTTCCCCCATTGAAAGTAAATTAAAAATAGAATACATTTAACCAAAAAATACTACCTTAGTTGTATGTGTACCTTCCAAGTAAGTCAGCTAGCTATGAAGAAGATTAGGCTTAGAGTTTCACTACATGGTGGAATTCGGAATATAGAAATGCACCAAAGAACTAAAGTCACACGAAATAGATCGAAGAATCTGCAGGCTGAAATGGTAATGGGCTGGCTATATATTACCAGAGGGAGACTTTGTACAAACGTCAATTGCTTGGGTGCCTCTGTCACATTCGTGTTCCTACCGTGAAGCAGTTGTGTTTGCATGGCTGTGTTTCAGGGTACAGAGGAATAACACCTGAGTACTCAGGAATGGTAACGCATGGGGGGTATCGTGGGCGAAACAGTACACTCTGTTATGTCCATGGTACTGCTCGTGTCTATAGGCGACGGTTACCACTTTCCATCAGATGGGCCGTCAGCTTGTTTGCCATTCTAAGTTGTATAAAAAAAAAACATATAGTTCGAAGGATCGACAACCGATGAGGAAGAAAGTTTGTGATAAATATCAGCACACGACTTGTACAAAGTCTACCTCTTTCTCTCTTTCCCCCCTTCCCTCTCTATTTCTCTGTTTTCTTTGCTTTTAGAGTGCTAATACCTTTTAATTTAACCTACAATAAACGGTACCTTGTCCGTTGATGATGGTGGCTTCGTCCTGGAGATTCAGTACGTCTCGGAGGCTTTGTATCTTCTGTAAGTTCTGCAGGTCTTGTATGTTTCGAATATTACGCGAATTCCGCCAGTTGAGATTTCGTATCTCATTGTTCAGTGCTGGAAATAACAAATCCTCATTAAATATTTAACATTGGATTCGAACATTAGAACATAAAGCAAAGTACGTCAGAGTAAAACAGAAATCAACGAATCAATCTTGTCAATAGCCATCATATAATATGACGTGAATGGTTGCCACAAAAAAAGGTATGGAAAAAAAGTTTGTAAGAGTACAAACCTCCTTCTTACGTTTTTTTTTTAATGGATGATAATGGAATGGTAACCCCACCTGCGGTATCGGTATACACCGGCGGGGCACCAGTGAAGGGTGATAGATGAGGCTGAAGTAGGTCAGTTAGCCCATCGTGACGAATTCAACAAGAATTGTTCACGATAGTTTCCAGGGGGAATTACGTGGAGGTCGACCTAATAAGGTATATTGCTAGCAATGGGGCTGTCAAACTCCATTGCTAACAATCCTTTTCCCCCTCTCCTTCTGAGGTTGTCAAAAGAATTATATAAAAAAAAAAAAACTATAGTGACATATGTGACAATGAAAATAAATTATCAACTTAAGCTATGAATTGATATGTTTTAATATACGATAATATAACATAATTGTTAGTAATTTTTTTTATAACACAACGTGCAAACGACCTTGCGGCTCATCTGATGATAAGTGACTACCGCCTCCACGATCACCCGCAACACAAGAAGCAATGCAGGTGTGCTGTCAGCCTTTTAAAAAGGAATATGCTTTATTCTTGAAGGTTATAATGTCGCTATCGGTTCGAAAATACTGCTGCTGGACGTTGATTCCAAAGAGTGATTGTGCATGGAAGAAAGTGCCTTGTAAAATACACGGTAGAAGACCGCCACTCATCCAGATGGTTAGGATGAAATTTTAGTTGGTGGCGGGTTGTACGGTGGTGAAAACCAGCAGCAGGTATCAATCCGAATACCTCAGAGCACTCCACATGATTGTTAGAGTAGCAGTTGGAAACCTATCATGTTAGAAGTAGATATACATGGAAATATGACCAGTGTGAAGGTAATAGTAGCACTTATGTAACACAATAGATTTACTCTCTTTTATAGGCCAAGTAACTGACAATCTATTTATAACAGAACACATACTAAATATATAAAACACTGTATCGCACTATTATATTAAAATATTATTAAGTTTGTAAAGACAATTTTAGACAAAAGTCAGTTTTTGGACACCAACAAATATTAAGGTTACTAGGCGATAATATTTTTCTTTTTCTATTTTAAAATTTTACTAAAGAGTTTATTAATACCTAGTTTGCACCTTAACAATGATGAACTCGGTAAAAGGATGCACAGTAATTGAGTTTCGTGGCCCCATTGATCAGCTATCCCCATCAAGTCGAGTCCCCACGCCGTTGTCTTTAAAAACCAACGTGATCAATTCCTGGTTAATTCGTCCCGATGGGCCAACTGACCTGAATTTATTCTCATCATTGTCCCTCTTCTAGTGTTCTACCAGAGCATCATCAGCGTAGGTGCATACAGTATTCTATTTTCATTAATAAAAGACAAACTGTTGCTGATCGTAATTCTAAAACAAATCCCAAAACTTACCTTGAAGATTGATGTTCTCCAATTGGATGTCACGTAATGCATCACTCTCAGTAATTTGGTAGCCAATGGAAATGACAAACACTTTTAATGAATAAATGAATGAGTTGCAATGTAAAATATGGGGAATCATCATTTTCCTACCCTTATCCCAATTATTATTTGGGGTCGGCGTAATATGTTTTTTATCCATATTACAAAAAGATTTGGCCTTAATTTTACGACCGGCCGCCTGCCTGACGTCAACCCTTTTTGGGAATATATAAAATATGGGGAATAAGCAAGACAATTAATAAATGTAACAATACAATTGTATATGTACAGTAAGGCAGTCTAATTGCTGAAAACAATCTTTTCAAGACAACCTTAGGGTTAGCATTTTAAGTCTCAACACCCTCAAAAGAAAAAGGTAGATCTGTGTCTTCACACAAAACCTGGCTGTTAAATTGTTATTTGAAATTACAGGACACAGTGGAATAACACCTTAGTTCGTCCTTCTCACCCATCATCAGCAGGGTTACCATTCTTCTGGGAATGGAAATGATGCGGGAATGATTGCGAATAGAGAAAACCATATTACGCGACCCCAAATTAGGGTAAGGGTAGGAAGATGACGATGATTGGTCCTTAGGAATGGCAACGCTTGAGGAGTACCATGGGTCTCACCGTGATGTCTATGGTGCGTCCTTTCACATCATTGGATCAACAGAATTTTCGATTTTATCTGGATTTTTATCCCTATACCTTCATCATAATCGTATTTAAAGGGAAAGTAAGAAGGCTGCTGTTAGTAACGGGGACTACATTGTCAGGTCGACCTCCACGCGGTTTCTTTGATATTATTATTGGCTACTGTCGTGATTGAAAAAGATACAATACTTACCGTTTGGAGCCGCATTGGCAGCCAAGCTCAGAGCCTTAAAAAAAAGGAAATATTTAAATTAATAGAGATTTTTGTACAAATTCTTTTAAGAATATAAAAATGAAACAAACTATTAAAATAATTACAATAACTTCTTCTAATGTTATAAATGTGAGTTTGTCTGTTACATTATAACGCCTTGACGTTTTAACCAATCACTATGAAATTTGGTATACACGTTCTACTTATATATAGGATGGAGAAGTAAATAGGCTTTAGAGGGAGACTTTGTACAGAAGTCGTTTGCTTGGGTACCTCTGTCCCATTCGTGTTTCTACCGTGAAACAGTTGTGTTTGCATGGCTGTGTTTCGGTTTGTAGGGTGAGACATGGCGTAAATTTACAGGGTATAGAGGAATAACACCTGAGTCCTCAAGAATGGCAACGCATGGGGTGGTATCATGGGCGAAACAGTATAAAAAAGGCTACTTATTATTCCGGTCAGTAAATAAATCTCCGTTCACGCGGACAAATTCGCGGGTAAAAGCTAATGAGTCTATAAAATAAAATTAATCAAAAACATAGTTGGGATAGATAGATAAACACTTTATTTGAGCCATTTATGACACACGTAAATTAACAAATGAGTTTATGCAATCAGATTATTTACATTTTTTTAAATATAAAACAAAAGATGAAATATGAGGATATGTTTTCGCCATGTGTGTCGCAGTGACCCAAATAGGCTACAGCTCAGTGATAGTTTTGCTTAAAAGCAAACCACTGATTTTCAGGATATAAAATATAAGAAATGTTTAATTTGTTTTCGTCTTTTGAAATCTCCTGATGCAGAGCATCAGACGGATTATATGCTTTATGTAGTTAACTGTCCACTGCTGAACACAGTCTTCCCACTTAGGGAGTTTTTTTATTTATTTAAGGCAAACAAACAGTTAAAATATTACATAATATATACTTAAATAGTAATTTGGTAGCCAATGGAAATTGTACAAAATAAAATACAAGTAAACGAAACACAAAATTAGACAATACAGCAACATTGTCAATAATAATGCTCAGAAATTAACTTTTTATTGTTTTATTAATAAAACATTTTTTCATAAAAACACATAAAAATAATACCTATATAACCATTAAAAAAATTGATAGTACTTTAGAATAAAAAAAAATTAGGAAAAATTAATACTTCTGACTGTATATTAAAGAAAGATTATATAAAAAAGAAATCTTTGACAACAAATTAATAACGTTAATTACTTATTACCACCATATGCCGTTTTATCTCATTCTTAAACTTTATTTTCGACCCTATAAAGGGATCAATATCGGAGAACATATTGCTAGTAATTCGAGAATTTAGACGTATTTTTGAAAAGGTTAAAAAAAAAAATACTCACACTGAACACGAATAAATAGGCCAGCTTTACACCACACATCTTGTTAGGAGACTCTGCCAAACCCAATGAAGTTATGGTGAATACGATCCATGCATTTGAAACTCGACTTTTTATACACAAAATTTAATATTAAACAAATATCTATGTAATGATTAATTGTCATTTTATCATCTGAATAAACGTGCCACCTCATTGTTACAGTCAATTGCCAATGTCTTTTGAAGTCTTTTGAGTTCATTCAAATCGATGTCAGATCTCGGGTTTGCTTATTGTTATTATATTCACTCGTAAAGGCCGGAAATGAATTGTTTTTTTTTCATAGATGATAATGGAATGTAACCCCGCCTGCGTCAACGGGATACGCTGGCGGAGCATCAGTGAATGGTGTTAGATGAGAATGAAAACAGGCCAGTTAGCCCATCATGATGAATTCATCAGGAATTAACCATGATAGTTTCCAGGGGGAACCGCGAGGAGGTCGACCTGGTTGGATATATTACCAACAATGGGATTCTCAATCCCCATTACTAACAATCCCTTTCCCCCTAGGCATATCAGTTAGCCTATCGTGATGAATATATCTGGAATTTAGCATGATGGTTTTCAGGGAGGACCATGGGGAGGTCAATCTGAAAAGGTATATTGCTAGCAATGAGACTGGTAGTCCATCACCACGTGACGCCACGTTCATTAAAAATTGAATGAACGATTATTGTAGTTAAGTCTTGATGAATTCGTCACGATGGGCCAATTGATCTGCTTTCATCCCCACCTATTATCTCTCACTGTTGCCCCGCCAGTATTTACTTTACAATTTCTACGTACCCTGTAATTTAAGTCATATCACACCCTTCAAACCAAAACACAACCATATAAATACATAATATACGCATAGGGGTTGGGGGGGGGGGGGGGGGGTATCGAAACAGTATACGCTGTTATGTGCGCAACGCGCACGTGTCATCTCCAGTGACCGTCTACCCTCAGACGAGATGTACGCTTGTTGGGTTACCAGAGGGAGACTTTGTACAAAAGTCGTTTGCTTAGGCACCTCTGTTCCATTCGTGTTTCTACCGTGAAGCAGTTGTGTTTGCATGGCTGTGTTTCGGTTTGAAGGGTGGGATATGGCGTAAATTTACTGGGTACAGAGGAATAACACCTGAATCCTCAGGAAAGGCAACGCATGGGGGGTATCATAGGCGAAACAGTATACTCTGTTATGTCCATGGTACTGCTCATGTCTATAGGCGACGGTTACCACTTTCCATCAGGTGGGCCGTCAGCTTGTTTGCCATTCTAAGTTGTATAAAAAAAAATCTCTGTCCCATTCGTGTTTTATAATATTGATAAAACAAAGTGGCTTACCAGACTGATGATGACAGATGGAATGGAAGTAGATAAATATTATACACTAGAGTACCGGGTGCACTTTAGGGGGATTTGGACGAAGGCCAGCCAGACAGATATACACTTGTTATTATATACGATTTACGAAACACAATAGTTTTTGTTTACACACGCGTTTATTTAGTTTCTCCCCGCAATGGGACTGTTAGACCTAATTACTAACAATCCCTTCCCCCCCTCATTTTAAAGAGGCTATAGTCTAAAAATGTTGCAAAACACTGTCTAATAGTAGTTAGATAATCTCTAATTCAGTGGGGAAGGGATTGTTAGCAATGCCAGTTAACAGTCCCATTGCTAGCAATATACCCTGTCAGGTCGACATCCACGTGGTCTCCCTGGAAACTATCGTGCTGAATTCCAGGTGTATTCATCACGATCGGCTAACTGACCTGCCTTTTCATCCTCACCTATCATCCCTCACTGGTGCCCCGCCAGCGTATACCGTTAGCGCAGGCGGGGTTACCATTCCATTATCATACATTAAAAGAAATCCCTAATTTAATTATCGCCGACAGATGTCGCGCTCGTAGCGTCTCGTCTAGACGTTCAGTCGTGTTTTTATTGACCTTACTAATAAAAATTAATCACCTATGTAAATATTTTAGAAACAAACGTTACCTCTAATAACAAAATAATGTATATTGTTTGTTTATTGACATTTAGCATTATATTTTACATTAGGTGGTTTCTTCAAGGTCATCAACGCGCACGTGACAACCCTAGTATTGCGGGGGGGGAAGGGATTGTTAGCAATGGATACTGAGAATCCTATTGCTAGCAATATACCCAACCAGGTCGATCTTATCGCGGTTCCCCCTATAAACTATCATGGTTAATTCCTGATGAATTCATCATGATGGGCTAACTGGCCTGTTTTCATTCTCATCTATCACCCTTCACTGGTGCTCCGCCAGCGTATCCCGTTAGCGCAGGCGGGGTTACCATACCATTATCACCCAAAAAAAAACCCTACTATTGCAGGCGTCCATAGGCTACAGTGACCGTTGACCATCTGACGGGCTGTATTTTTTTTTATACAACTTAGAATGGCAAACAAGCTGACGGCCCACCTGATGGAAAGTGATAACCGTCACCTATAGACATGAGCAGTACCATGCACATAACAGATTATACTGTTTCGCCCATGATACCCCCATGCGTTGCCATTCCTGAGGACTCAGATGTTATTCCTCTGTACCCTGTAAATTCACGTCATATCCCACCCTTCAAACCGAAACACAGCCATGCAAACACAACTGCTTCACGGTAGAAACACGAATGTGACAGAGGTAGCCAAGCAATCGACTTTTGTACAAAGTCTCCCTCGGGTGGCGGTTGTTCAGCAATTAAAGGCTGATATTGATTTATTTATTTATTCCTTATTGCACAATAAAACTTTGTACAAGTGGCGAGCTTAATGCCATATGGCATTCTCTACCAGCTGACCATTAGGTGAAAACAGAAAGCGTATGAAGGGCGGATGTGGTGAAAAATATGTGACGTAATTATAGCAACATACTGAAATAATTGTACATAATAATACATAAGAAATACACATATAACACATAAACACTACTTATAATATATAAAGTTATACTATATATATGAAATACATATATATGTGGGTCTGAGATAGAATAGGTGAGGAAGGTAGGTGAGTATGATGTGTAGAAGCGAGATAGTATGAGAGATGTGAATAGTTACGAACTAGAATGAGTGAGAGAGAGAGATGGACGTGTGTGGAAGGGAGATAGAGAGAAAAAGGAAGATAGAGGAGGAGTACTACGACGACGACGCATGTGTAAGACGTTTTTGTAAAAATAAATTCAAGAAGTGCTTGGATTATTGTTTATATTACTCCACCGAAATGTGGGGGGTGGCGTCCACCGAAATTATTCCAATCGTTTTGTCGGTGAACGGTCTTATCCCAACCAGTCTGGAACAACATCTCAGACGGTTGGGATTCCGAGGCGGCTCACTCCCGGGAAAGATGCAGAAAGCGGTGCTCTTAGACACTGCCCGCATTGTACGCCGATTTCTCTCCCTGGAGCCCTGAACCCCGGCCAACTGTGCTTCTGCCGGGGGTTAGTTTGCCATCTCCTCTCCTTAAGAGTTGAGATGAGAATTTTAGTAAAATTTAAAAATAATAATAATATTTAATCAGACTACATAAGGCCCATTTTGTTAGTTATAAATTGACTTAACCTATGTTAGTAAATGAGCGGTCATGACGCTCTTGGATTGATAACCTGTCCCACCCAATATTTTAGGATGGGACAGTGCATTTTATCAGCAATTGTCTTCAGGACGCTGTTTTAGCTAACACGCACCCTACCTAACAGCGAAACAATACGTTTGCGCCGTATTGCGTAAAAATCATCCGTATGTTCTCGTGCAAACACGTGTGACGCACTACAGCGACGAGGTAGCCCCAACAGTGGCCTGAAGGCATTATTATATTGGACTCGAAGTAAGTTTTTTGGTTACAGTTGACCGACAGGCTATTCGTGTAGAACACCTGACAAAAAACTTTAAAAAGGGGTTATTTTTACTAAAAACTATGACAAAGAATATGATATGGGAATGATGACGATTTAGAACGTTCTCTTTTTTTTAAAATCGATTGAAGTTACAGACGAATTAAGTAACTCATCTTTTTGAGAAATATTTAAAAAAAAAATAAACATATATTTCGTTAAATATAAAAAAATAAAAAAGCGAACGAAGTCAGAAAAGTATCTAGTATTTTTAATACTAAATCTTTGTTTGTATTTAAAATATTGACTTGCACTGAATGGAGTTTTATTCTATTGTTAAACTTCACACATTTTTATTGTACACTTGAGTAAATTGACAAATAGTACAGTTATTTAATTCAGTTCCTTTAATGTCTATTCATATTATATCAATATATATATATATATATAAAATAATGTATTTATAAATGTTGTGAGCAAGGGTGGACTTATCTCTGACAGAGATCTCCTTCAATAAATAATATACAGTTAAATAAAATATTTTTTTTATACAACTTAGAATGGTAAACAAGCTGACGGCCCACCTGATGGAAAGTGGTAACCGTCGCCTATAGACATGAGCAGTAATATGGACATAACAGAGTGTACTGTTTCGCCCATGATACGCCCCCATGCGTTGCCATTCCTGAGGACTCAGGTGTTATTCCTCCGTACCCTGTAAATTCACGCCATATCCCACCCTTCAAACCGAAACACAGCCATGCAAACACAACTGCTTCACCATCTTCACTCATTAGAAGAAAAAAGCTACGCCACTAATTTTATTTTTAGAATTGAAAATACTTTATGTAGCGAATCGCGCTGGCAAAGCCATGGGAAACTGCTAGCCACGATAAAACACTTACCTAACTCTTCCTTGGTGGGAGAAAGGGATTGTTAGTAATGGGGTCTAATGAACCCATTGCTAGTAATATACCCTATCAGGTCGACCTCCACGCGGCTCCCCCTGGAAACCATCGTGGTTAATTCTAGTGGAATTTGTCACGATGGGCTAACTGACCTCCTTTCATCCTCATCTATCGTCACTCACAGGTGCCCTGCCAGCGTATACCGATAGCGCAGGTGGGGTGTAAAAAAAAAAAACACTTCCTTCGTCTAACAACATAGAGCTTAAATATGATTTGACATTTGAAAATTCTTTGCTATTATCATATTTCTGTAACAAATAAATAAATCGACAAGTTTGTACAGTTGAAGCGGAAATAATTTATGGTAAACTAATGTTTGTTTAATAAAATACTTGTGGTATAAAAATTCCGTTAAGACCATCAGATAATCAGTCGGTTAAAACTAGTTTGTAAAACGAAAAAAAAACCAAGAACGAGATGAGTGGTCCGGCTATAGTTGCCTGTTTATGTGCGTTCAGTGTAAGTACATTCATAATTTTGATTTTTTTTATTTTATTTTGCTTCAAACAGTCATTACAAAAAAAATATAGTTACATTTTTTTTTTATGTTACATAATATAGTCCCATTCGTGTTTCTACCGTGAAGCAGTTGTGTTCGCATGGCTGTGTTTCGGTTTGAAGGGTGGGATATGGCGTGAATTTACTAGGTACAAAGGAATAACACCTGAGTCCTCAGGAACGGCAACGCATGGGGGGTTATCATGGGCGGAACAGTATACTCTGTTATGTCCATGGTACCGCTCATGTCTATAGGCGACGGTTATCACTTTCCATCAGGTGGCAGGTCAGCTTGTTTGCCATTCTAAGTTGTACAAAAAAAAAAAGAAAAAAGGTAGTGACTGCTAGTGAATTCGTCATACTCGTAGAATACTGACGGATCTGACGAATATTACATATAAAGGATCCGTCAGTATTCTACGAGTATGACGATTTGTCATACTCGTAGACTGTTTCTCTTTTTCTCTAGATCTTTATAAATGGAGCAACTACAGAAGGTAGGACAATTTCTATTTTCATTTATAATATATACATACTAATAAAAAGGAATTATATAATAATAATAACGTCAGGCTCCACTGGGACCGATCCATCATCACGGACAGGGCCATTCTTGCGAACAAACCTGATATCGTGGTGATGGATCGGGCACTCTCGAGGGTGTTTTTGGTGGATGTCACCATACCGCATGACGAGAAGCTCGTGAAAGCCGAAACCGAGAAGAAGAGAAAATATCTCGACCTGGCTCACGAGGTGACCGAAATGTGGGGGTGACGTCCACCGAAATCATTCCAATCGTTATGTCGGTGAACGGTCTCATCCCAACCAGTCTGGAACAACATCTCAGACGGTTGGGATTCCGAGGCGGCTCACTCCCGGGAAAGATGCAGAAAGCGGTGCTCTTAGTTACTGCCCGCATTGTTACGCCGGTTTCTCTCCCTGGGGCCCTGAACGCCGGCCGACTGTGCTTCTGCCGGGGGTTAGTTGCCATCTCCTCTCCTTAAGAGGGGGGAGATGTGAATTTTTGTAGAATTTAAAAAATAATAATAACTTTATTGTACAACCATGACTGTAAGAAACTCAGCACTGGAAGTTACAGTGAAAGCACTGCAATAATTCAGTACTGGAAACATTGTAAAGAGGAAAGGTATGTTTGTTTGTAATGAATAAACTCAAAAACTGCTTGACCGATTTTTAATATTTCTCTACCTATAGAATGCTATATTACTAGAGGATAACAAACTATATATTACTTTTTTTTATACAACTTAGAATGGCAAACAAGCTGACGGCCCACCTGATGGAAAGTGGTAACCGTCGCCTATAGACATGAGCAGTACCATGTACATAACAGAGTATACTGTTTCGCCCATGATACCCCCCCATGCGTTGCCATTCCTGAGGACTCAGGTGTTATTCCTCTGTACCCAGTAAATTCACGCCATATTCCACCCTTCAAATCGAAACACAGTCATGCAAACACAACTGCTTTACGGTTGAAAGACGAATGGTACAGAAGTACCCAAGCAATCGACTTTTGTACAAAGTCTTCCTCTGTGTTATGAGAAATTAGATTTTGAAAAAATAACGATATCGTGAATTTTTAACAGGACCGTGGAACGATCAGCCTCAGGGATATGCATGGCAAAATCCATGGTTGCCACTAGTGCCAAGGCCTGTGGGACTAGTACGCCCAGCCAGATTACAATCAAGCTCATTACCTAAAACATTACCAGCAAGAATGGACTGGCCTCGTGATGGTCTCATCCCTTCAGTTACTTCAGGGCAGTATTGGAAATCACCACAATCAAGACTGAGTTATGGACAGGATTACGATGTTATTCAACCACTAGGATCCAGCATTCAGCCGCTAGAATCTAGCATTCGACCATTAGCATCTAGGATTTCTAATTTCCAACCACTAGGATCTAACATACGATCACTAGAATCTAGTAATCGACCATTAAGATCTATCATTCTACCGACAGTGACTAATAATCAACCAATTCAATCTAGTTTTCAACCACTAACATCTAATATTCGACCTCTAGAATTTAACATTCGACCACTACAATCTACCTTTCAATCACTAACATCCAATGTTCAACCACTAGGATCTAACATTCTACCACTAGGATCTAGCGTTCGACCATTAGAATCTATCATTCGACCTCTGCAATCTACTCTTCAATCACTAACATCCAGTGTTCAACCACTAGGATCTAGCATTCGACCACTAGAATCTAACATTATACCACTAGATTCCAGCATTCGACCATTAGAATCTTCACTTGAATCTAGGATTCGACCACTAGAACCTAACATTCTACCACTAGGATCCAAAATTTCACCATTAGAATCTTCACTTGGACTTAGCATTCGACCACTAGAATCTAACATTTTACCACTAGATTCCAGAATTCGACCATTAGCATCTTCACTTGGACCTAGCACTCGACAAATAGAATCTAACATTTTACCACTAAGTTCCACCATTCGACCATTAGAATCTTCACTTGGACCTAGGATTCGACCTTTAGAATCTATAATAGATGAAATGGTATCCCCAGTGATACAATACCAACCAACCACAACAGAAGTTGAACCGATAGAGGTATTATTTGAACAACCAGGTGAAAATGTAGTAATAATAGATAATGCAATGGATCGACCAGAAGCAGTAGTTTTATCAACAGCAACCTACGGGACACTTGGAGTACCAGGTTAGTTATTATTTTTCAAATATAATAAAATTGTAACTTGACCATGTCTGTACATAATCAGGGGGTGATTAGTGATCGATACTGATGCCAAAAATGCAATCGGTAAAATTTTTGTCTGCCTGTCTGTATGTTCGTTATAGAAACAAAACTACTCGACGGATTTTAATGAAACTTGGTACAATTACTCTTCATACTCCTGGGCAGGTTATAGTATACTTTTCATTACGCTACGATCAATAGGAGCAGAGCAGTGAAGGAAAATGTTGGGAAAACGGGAGAAGTCACTTCATTTTTAAGCTTCCGTCGCGTGTGCAGCCTTAATGGCCACTTTTTTAAATATAAAAATGTCCACCCGTACGAAGCCGGGACGGACCGCTAGTATATATATTATAATTTTTGTCTGTCTCTATGTTTGTTCTGGTATCACGCAAAAACTTCTACCCCAAATAGGATGCGATTTTTACAGTTATGTTTCTGAAGGTCTAACTTAGAAACTAGTGTAAGTTTTGAAAACAGCATCTGACAATGATATTTTTTATTGGTTTTTATACTTTCGAAATGCACGTGTACGAAGTAGTAGACAAAATTTTTCTTTATAAATAAAAGATACAAAAATCTCGTGTCACGATTTTGATTTACGCTAATCTTTGAAACCGCTCGATCAATTCTTACGAAATTTTGTAAGTTTTTAAATAGATAAGTGATATTGAGAAGAAGAAGTTACTCCTGAAGGTGCTCCGCCAGCGTATAATGATTACCGGTTACTATTCCATCTTCACCTATTAAAAAGGCCATTAAACAGACCAGCTAGTCTAGCATTATAATTTTGTTCGAAAAACAAAAGTGCTGAATCAATTTCGATAAAATTTCTATAGGACCAATCTGAAAGTATATTTACCAGAGGGAGACTTTGTACAAAAGTCGATTACTTGGGTACCTTTGTCCCATTCGTGTTTCAACCGTGAAGCAGTTGTGTTTGCATGACTGTGGTTTGAAGGGTGGGATATGGCGTGAATTTACTGGGTACAGAGGAATGATGAGGGAAACACCTGAGTCCTCAGGAATGGCAACGCATGGGGGGTATCATGAGCGAAACAGTATACTCTGTTATGTACATGGTACTGCTCATGTCTATAGGCGACGGTTACCACTTTCCATCAGGTGGGCCGTCAGCTTGTTTGCCATTCTAAGTTGTATAAAAAAATATATGCCTTCAGATAAAAAAAAAATTCCATATCGGTATACAATTGTCGAAATTATGAGGTAACGAGCATAAAAAAAGAACACAACTGTACTGGTAATGAAAACCTCCTCCTATTTTAAAAAGATGGATGAATTGGGTGATCAGATAAAATGACCAGAAAGGGAGTTAATGCTGAAATGACTGCAAATAGAGATGAATGGAAGATGAAAACATATTATCTTACTTTAGCTAAAAATAACATGGAATAAAGGCCAAAGTTACCGTGTGGTTCCAGCATTGATTAAGCCACCCCTTCCTATCCCGTGAGTGTCGTAAGAGCCGACTAAGTGAGGGCGAAGGTAGATAGCAGCATCCCCCTTAACACATTTAATGCCAAATACACGGCGCCGTGGAGATGTATACGGCCGAGTACACGGCGCCGTGGAGGGGCGCGGGGCCGGGCACACGGCGCCGTGTCTTGCGACTGTGTTTTTTCTATGCATCAGTACCGCTCCGCTCGTTGAAATAGTTGTATTTAACGTACGTGGCCATATGCATAAACTAACAATCTTTTAAAATCTAGTGTTGGATTAGGGTTCGAACTATTACTTTGCAAAATACAGTCTATTGAAAAATATACTTTTTTACAGTAAAATGACTGACAAGCCAGGTCCTTCGAAACGCTCTGGTAGCGTATTAACTTCGGGTTTCCAGGCTAAAAGAGGCCGTAGTTTTAGTGCTGACAGTAGTCTGGATGACTTTGAGTGTTCAAGTGTGGAAGCTGAATTCTCTCAATGTTGTGATGAAGACGACGAGGACGATGAAGAGCAGGTTAGCGACGACAGTGCTGATAGTATTTTTGATACTAGATGTCGTATCATACAAAAACGTATGGACAGATTTGAGTCGCCAAGTCGCCAGAAGACGTCAAAACCTGAAGAGACGTTTACCCGTCAAATATCTCCAGATCGACACATGGCAACCTCACCATCTATCATTCAAGGTTATGGTGAGCTATCTGATATATCAGGCCATTTATTAAATGTTACAAGTACACCATCAGTATCCATGTTAATGTCCGATGCTCCATCGATCAACTTTCCCAGTGATGATATCCAAATCTTGCCACCAGGATCACCAGCTTCAGTCGAAACTTCACAAAATAGAGTTCTGAGGCTAGACAATCAACCATCTACGGAAGGAGCTACATCTTTTTGGAGTTCACAAGGGACAATGAAAATTATAAAATTCAGCAAATCCCAGGAGTTACTAGTTCCAGCTCCATTTGATCCATTTGAGGCATTCCAGTTAATAGTAGATATTTTAACGATGATTTATAAGATGATAATATTTTAGATTTAATAGTGCATGAAACTAATGCTAATGCTACTCGAGTACTTAATGCACCTGGTGTTAGACAACACTCGCGAATAATAGCCTGGAAAGACATAACACGAGCTGAATTATTAACATTCCTTGGGTTAGTTCTTCACACAGGTACAATCCGGCTAAACCGACTCAGCGATTACTGGAAAAAGCATTGGTTATTTAATATACCTTGTTTTGCACAATATATGTCACGTAACCGTTTTATGATAATATTGCGTTGCCTCCATTTTTCATCTGAAACAAATGAAGAAGATCGACTGGCCAAAATTCGTCCGATATTAGATCATTTTAACAACCGAATGAATAAAATTTATTACCCAGGCAAACAGCTTTCTCTGGATGAATCGGTGGTGTTATGGCGTGGACGTCTCCAGTTTAGGCAATATATTAAAAATAAGCGCCATAAGTATGGCGTAAAGTTATACATACTTGCAGAATCAGATGGCACAGTCCTCAAATTTCAAATATACGGTGGTGCAGGTGATGATACGTCCGGAATAGGACACACTCAAAAAATAGTTTTAAAGCTACTGGAAGAGAAATTGGACTCGGGACACAGTGTCTATATGGACAATTATTATAACTCGTACGATTTAGCTGTCAAATTATTAAATCGCCAAACTTACTGTACGGGTACTTTAAATAAAAATCGAAAAGGTAATCCAATAGAACTTGGTACTGTCACGTTGCGTAAAGGAGAAAATAAGTCTTTGTTTTTAAATGGTGTACATATAGGTAAATGGAAAGATAAGCGAAACGTGCTTTATATATCGACAGAGCACGACAATGAGATGATGGAAGTCACAAATAAAAGAGGCGCTGTTCTCGTAAAACCATCAGCAATTATACATTACAACAATTTTATGTCTGGTGTGGATCTGCAAGATCAAATACTTTCTTATTACCCTTGTGAAAGAAAAACCATGCGATGGTACAAAAAGATATTCTTCCACACACTGCAGATGAGTTTAAGTAATGCGTTCCTTTTATATAATAAATATAGTATAAATAGCAAAATATATTTGTATGATTTCCGTTTACATATTTTGGAAAAACTGTTACCAAAACCACCACAAACAGCAGAAAAAATGTCAACTAAACATATTTTAACCAAAATTGAGAACGTTAAGACGCGCCAAAAAAAAGAGGGTAACAAGACGAGAACTATCACAGAAGTAGTAAGAAAAGAATGTAAAAGTTGCAGAGAAAAGAAGAACCGAGTTGCTACTTTATATGAATGTAAGAGCTGCATTGGAAAACCAGGCTTTTGCATAGAGTGCTTCTTTGAAGTACATTTATAATTTTATTATTTTTTGTTACAATTGTTTGTTTTTTTTATCTGCAATTATACTTATGGTGATTATTTAATTTGTTTAATTTGTAATATCCTTTAATATTTAATAAATTAATATGAAAAACGTAATTTAAAGATTACACAATGAAAAAGAAGTAATTACACGGCGCCGTGTGTTTGGCCGCCCATACCTCCGTAGGCCTAGTACACGGCGCCGTGAAATTATTTTTTTTTTCTAAAATAATTGAATTTTTGTTATCAATATTATCAAAAAATACATATAATACTTAATTACAAATATTCAATTACTCAAGATGTATGGCCACATTACTACATTCATTACTAAAAACTGCATACAGGGATGCATCTTATAATGCAATCAGCATTGAATGTGTTAAAATATGTCTAAAGCCTGACTACGGTTTCTAAACCACCTGCCAAGCGTGGCAACTATTGGCAAAATCCCCTAAGGGGAGGCTCAGCAATGGACAGGTAAAGGCTGAATTGATGATTATGAAGGGCAAAAGTAAAATGTAGACACAGTGGACACTATTGTTGGTATATAAATCTAATAAAAAAATATATAAGTGAACCAAACTAAATAAATAATTATACAATATTTATTTTTACAGAAAGGCCTACACTAAATAATCCATGGCAGAGGTAATTAATGATTTATACATTCATATTTTTTATTTGCTCATTTAAAAACAATACAGTTAAATCAAGAAACTATTCTGGGTAACTTATGTAGGTAACACAATATCTGAAACTAGAGACAAATCATACATCCTTGTCCCTACACACACTGCTCCACAATCATAGCAGTTAATGGGAAACTTGTGTAAGGAATTTAAAATTTATTTACCAGAGGGAGACTTTGTACAAAAGTCGATTGCTTGGGCACCTCTGTCCCATTCGTGTTTCAACAGTGAAGCAGTTGTGTTTGCGTGACTGTGTTTCGGTTTGAAGGGTGGGATATGGCGTGAATTTACAGGGTACAGAGGAATAACACCTGAGTCCACAGTAATAGCAACGCATGGGGGATATCATGGGCGAAACAGTATACTCTGTTGTGTCCATAGTACTGCACATGTGTATAGGCGACGGTTACCACTTTCCATCAGGTGGGCCGTCAGCTTGTTTGCTATTCTAAGTTGTATAAAAAAAAAACTTGTTCATAGGTTACAGTGGTGGCTTACCATCTAGCAAGCTATATACTCGATCGACAGGCTCGTGAACAAATTCTATTATAATTCTTAGTCTATATGATTGGCTTTTATATTTTTTATACAAGTCATATAGTATATAGTATAATAACAAACAAACTGACAGCTCGTTTGATTGGAAATAGTAACCGTTGCCTATAGATATGAACAGTACCATGGACATAGCGGAATATACAATACTATATAGGCCCATGGTACCTTTCACGCGTTGCCTGGAGTTATGTGTTATGCAATTTCACTGTAATATCCCACCCTTCAATCCGAAAAACGAAAATACCCAAAAAAAAAAAAACTTTAAACATTCTTCAGTCTTTGGTGATAAGTTAAATTTACTTTATAAATATACTTTATAAATTTACTTCTAAAGAAATAATAATAATAATAATAACTTTATTGCATAACCATGATTGTAACAAACTCAGCACTGGAAATTACAGTAAAACTAGATACGAATTCATTTGTACATTTGGATCAGTTCAAACACCTGTGTCTGAACTAGGTTATAAAACCTGTATCTCAGACAACAGCGCTCAATCCTCATTTCATAGTATAATGTTAGTTCAGCAAAATTTTTAGTGCTACATATAGAATGTTGATTTTATATAAAGTTAGTATATCTAATTATAACAATTGGCAATAATGAAAATTGTGAAATAATGTGCTCCCTGTGTGTAGAGTGTAAATTGAATGTATGTGTGTGTACTTCTGAGGAAATAAGCTGTAAATTGTTTAAGCTGTAAAATGTTGTAAGCTGCAATGTGAAGCATTTTCGAATTTATAATTATACTATTTTGATTTCAGCACAGCCCAAGAGAATTTGAAACAAGCCACAGCTGAGGCTGACATTGAAAACTTAGGTAATAATATAATACTGTGTATTCATCATTGTAAAATACAGGCCTCTCCCTATTGGAGTGTTTTGCCGCTAGTTGCCATTCTTAGCAGACGAATTGGCAAGCGCAGTTTTTTTTTATTGGTGAAAATGGAACGATAAACCCGCCTGCGTTATCAGTATACGCTGGCTAGGCACCAGTGATAGATGATAGGTGAAGATGAAGGCAGGTCAGTTGGCCCATCGTGAAGAATTTGACATGAATTAACCACGATGGTTTCAAGGGGGAACCGCGTGGAGGTCGACATGATAGAGTATATTGGTAGAAATGGAGCTTGTTCAACCCGATACTAACAATCCCATTCCCCCATGGCAACCGCAGTTAGATTTTAGTAATATTTTAAGAGGAACTAATATATTAAGTTCCCTTTGTCGCCTCTTACGGTACAAAACACAAAGGAAAGGTAGGGGTAGCCTATCCTTACCAGAGGGAGACTTTGTACAAAAGTCGATTGCTTGGGTACCTCTGTCCCATTCGTGTTTCAAGCGTGAAGCAGTTGTGTTTGCTTGGCTGTGTTTCGGTTTGAAGGGTGGGATATGACGTGAATTTACTGGGTACAGAGGAATAACACCTGAGTCCTCAGGAATGGCAACGCATGGGGGTATCATGGACATAACAGAGTATACTCTATTATGTCCATGGTACTGCTCATGTGTATAGGCGACGGTTACCACTTTCCATCAGGTGGGCGGTCAGCTTGTTTGCCATTCTAAGTTGTATAAAAAAAATCCTATGCCGCTATATATTACAATTGTTATATTAATTTATAATTATTTTGATTTTTGAAAATGTAAAAGGTAGTTTTTTTACATAAATCGTCTGCGAGGAACGATGAATTTGGAAAAAATTTAACATCTTTCGTTTCGTTCAAACTTTTTTCCATTTTTTCAAATTATAAATTTTCTAATATCTACTACTGAACAAAAAATGGAAACCTTTTTATTTCCCTTACAATTTGCACTCATATAAATTACATTTGTATTTTGTAATTTCAGTGTATGCTGCCTTCAAAAAACTGTTGCAATTGTGGAATTCATGGAGCCAAAGTAATAGAGAAACAAACTGGCCGGGACTATCAGGTAATAAGCACTAAGTAAGTAATATTGCCGCGTAATCCCGGCATAGAATAGGCCGTAAAATGGTGGATTGGTGAAATGGTGGATGTTGTAAGAAGCGACTAAAGGTAGGCGAGAGATGGGCAGCAGCGTCCCTAATAAAACATGTCCAAAGACTAACTGCGATTGCTAATCCGCCTGCCAAGCGTAGCAACTATTGATTAAACTCCCCAAGGGGAAGGCTTATGGTCAGCAGTGGACAGTTAGAGGCTGAGATGATGACGATGATATAGTTATTGCTACCTATCTCTAACAAACACCAGTTCGCATATTCTAAACCTTTGATTTGAGAAATGTATACTTTTTTTTTATACAACTTAAAATGGCAAACAAGCTGACGGTCCACCTGATGGAAAGTGGTAACCGTCGCCTATAGACATGAGCAGTACCATGGACATAACAGAGTATACTGTTTCGCCCATGATACCCCCCATGCGTTGCCATTCCTGAGGACTCAGATGTTATTCCTCTGTACCCTGTGAATTCACGCCATATGCCACCCTTCAAACCGAAACACACGAATGGGACAGAGGTACTCAAGCAATCGACTTTTGTACAAAGTCTCCCTCTGGTAATTACGTATTTAATATATAAATTATTTGTTTTAAAGGAACGTCTTACAGTAGCCGATCACCCAGCGTTATTCCTGCATCACAGTTGAACGATAGAAGTGAAAAAGGCGGAGTCTGCGTTTGCTACGATGATTCTAGAACTATTCCGTGGAATGTTCACGGCGAGATCAGCGTGTAAATTAGAATTGGTTTACCATACAAACCATTAACGATGCCTTAATTGTTATTATCATAGTTTTTATGTGTATATATATATATATATATATATATATATATATATATATATATATATATATATATATATATATATATATATATTTTAATCAAAACTCTTAACCAGTCAAAAGTACATTTGACTAAACAGGTTGGTCAAAAGTGGTTTTGACTGAAAATTATTGGTTATTAGTACTTTTGACTGGCTGGAAGAGATCGCTGTTCAGCGATAAGGCCGTCCATTGTTGCCCCTTCATCTTGCTTTTATGTAATTTAGTTTATGTAATTGATTAATAATTTTGTTTTTTTTTTAATCTGCATTATTCTTTAAAGGGAACAATAAAGAGTTTTTACTCATACAATTTTTTTTTTAATTTCACACCATTATTCACAAGAAAAGCAACACATGATCGAAATAAATGTTTTTACTGTCGTATATTTTTTTTTTTTATTATATATTCTTTCTTGCACTTGTAAATTACATTGTTAATGCATTTATAAATATTGTGAGCAAGGGTGGACTTATCTCTGACAGAGATCTCTTCCAGTCAACCCAGTACAGTAAGAAAGCATGTTGTTAGCGTACAGCTGAAGTGCTACAACTATTAATATTTAGTGTACATAAACAAATATACAGTTAAACAAAATATTAAGATACATAATAAAATATTACATAAATATATATATACTATAAATACATATATTATAAATAAATATAATACCTACCTACTTATATAATGGATGTTAAAATAAATGAATATACTACTATTTATTTATCTTTTTTCTGATAGGATAGGCAAAAGAAGCCTTTTTAATACTCCTTTCTTTAGAAAAATCGGCATTCGGTGCATGTTTACCACCCCAGTGATATAAAAAACAAACTCGCTGCCTCATTTATAACTAGATACATAGCGAGACACAATAGAGACCGCTGACACCGCATCGCATCCAAAACTCGTGTAAATGACGTAAATGTCTAACTAGGTAGTTACTGGGGGAAAGGGATTGTTAGCCATGGAGTTTGACAGCCCCATTGCTAGCAATATACCCTATTAGGTCGACCTCTACGTGGTTCCCCTTGGAAACCATCGTGAACAATTCTTGTTGGGTTCGTCACGGTGGGCTAACTGACCTGCTTCATCCTATATCATCTTCCACTGGTACCCCGCCGGTGTATACCGATAACGTGGGTGGGGTTACCATTCCATTATCACCCATTAAAAAAAACTAGGTAGTTATTAACGTTGAAGCACGAGGCTGGTCTACGTGACGAGTTTTTTTTTCATGGGTGAAAATGGTATGGTAACGCCGCCTGCGCTAACGGGATACGCTGGCGGAGCACCAGTGAAGGGTGATAGATGAGAATGAAAACAGGCCAGTTAGCCCATCGTGATGAATTCATCAGGAATTAACCATGATAGTTTCCAGGGAGAACCTGGTTGGGTATATTGCTAGCAATGGGATTCTCAGTCTCCATTACTAAAAATCCCTTTCCCCCCACTCTATTACAGTTAAGGTCGTATTTGTACATTCGATTACCTCTGTCATATTTTTATAAATAACTGGTGTGTACAATAAAGAAACTATCATGGTTAATTACCATGATAGTTTCCAGGGGGAACCGCGGAAGGTCGATCTGGTTGAGTATATTGCTAGCAATGGGATTCTCATACTCCATTACTAACAATCCCTTTCCCCCCTACGTGACGAGTTGAAAACGCACTCCTGGTTCACACTTCCAACTGGGCTGGTCATTTAAATTATAATTAGATATAGGAAATAGGTATGAATGCGGAAATGACTGCGAATAACGGAGAATGGAAGAGAAAAACATATTACGCCGACCCCAAATATTCTTTTTTTTTATACAACTTAGAATGGCAAACAAGCTTACGGCCCACCTAATGGAAAGTGGTAACCGTTGCCTATAGACACGAGCAGTACCATGGACATAACACAGGATACTGTTTCGCCCATGATACCCCCCATGCGTTGCCATTCCTGAGGACTCATATGTTATTCCTCTGTACCCAGTAAATTCACACCATACCCCACCCTTCAAACCGAAACACAGCCATGCAAACACAAATGCTTTACGGTTGAAACACGAATGAGACAGAGGTATCCAAGCAATCGACTTAATAATTGGAATAAGGATAGGAAGGTAATTAATTTTATATTGTTACTTTTATTAATAGAATTAAATTAATTATAATAATTTTTTTTTTATTCATTCTGTTGTCATCTACATACTAAAATGAAATAATAGGGACATGAAAATTGACAGAGAGTTGTACCTCTCGTATTTTTTAATGTTTATGGTAGGTACAGTTCGTGTCTACAGGCGACAGTTACCACTTTCTATCGAATCCATGGGATCGCTATTAGTGGATACAATGAAACACTTAATGATTGAATTAATATTTATTTGTTTAAAACACATTATGTACTTAATTGACAAACTATTTCATAATATATTTTTTTCATAATTTTTTTAAACACGCTAAACCATCAGAATTATCAAAATCCACCAGATTACATGACAAAACTAAAAATATATGTTAAACTCCAATATATCTACGCACATTCCAAGGTATATCTTGTACATCACCGTAGCAAACACAGATTTTTCCTGTCTCTAAAGTGGCAGATGATTTGAGTGCACCAGAATTGCTGGGTGATGTTCTGTTGCCGTTAGATGATGAAGGGCCAGCTGGCGATGTACCGGGTGACGTCACTAGAAGAGAAGAAATCAAAATGTAGTATTGTATTGAATTCTTAAAACATATATCAGAGAGAGACTTTGTACAAAAGTCATTTGCTTGAGCACCTCTGTCCCATTCGTGTTTCTACCGTGAACCAGTTGTGTTTGCATGGCTGTGTTTCAGTTTGAAGGGTGAGATGTGGCAGTGAATTTATAGAAGAAAAATACCTGAGTCTTAAGGAATAGTAACGAATGGGAGGTATCACGGGCGAAACAATATACTCTGTTATGTCCATAGTACTGCTCATGTCTATAGGCGACGGTCACCACTTTCCATCAGTTGGGCCGTCAGCTTGTTTGCCATTCTAAGTTGCATAAAGGAAAAACACTATAAATAGCCGTATATTTGGATTGCGTTGTCTTAGAAGTATGATTTTTTCATAGCTTTAAATGTGTAATTGATATTTCAGCTTGAAAAGTGTCTTGACAGACGGACAGACAGACGATCAGCAAAGTGATCCTATAAAAGTTTCATTTTTTGAAGCATGGAACCCTTAAAAGGTTGTAATAACGTTTTTTTATTGATATCGGTATTGGTTTGTCATCTCAGTGGTCTGAGATAACAAACAAGCATACGGCCCACCTGATAGTAAGCAGTTACCGTAGCCTATAAACGCCTGCAATACCAGGGGCATTACGCGCGCGTTGCCGACCCTGAAGAAACCTCTTTACCCCCCTTTTGTGAAGAACTTCGACAGGGAGCTCTTTCCATAACCTGAGCGTTCTTGGGAGAAAACATCTTTAAAACCGCATTGTACGCAACCATCAAGGCTCTAGGGTATGGGGGTGAACTCCCTGTTAATGGCGAACTTTCAAGACGGCAGAAAGTGGCAGTGGACATCATATTGAACAATTCTTCTGAGCACAATCCATTGTACAAGCGATAGAACATTTTTTCAGGGTCGTAAAAAACTTATGTCCTGTACGTGATACTCCTGGTGATCGAAGCGTTCTTAGCCTACGACAACGGTTTACCATCAAAGAGGCTGTATGCCTATTTGCCACTTTTGTAGTCTAAAAATATGTACTCAATAATTGCAATATATTAATTATGCAATAAATGTCATAGTTGTGCAAGACACACGTTGTGTAAAACTTATAGTATTGTTTACCAGAAGAGATTTATCTATCTATCCTATTTAAGAGCTGCGCTTTTGTCGGTGAAGCTCTACCAGTAGAGACAAATGGAATAAAATTCCATTGTTAGTCCTCAGTGAGGAAACGAATACGAACAAGTGAAACTGATCTATTTTCAGTCTACGTCTACATACATATAAGTGATCTAAAAGTAATATAAAATACTGTACCTATATTTTCTGTGGCAGTTTGAGAAGCAGAACTTGATGGACTCTGGGATTTATTTGGCTGCACGACATTTGGCTGCAAACTACTCGCATTGTTTGTTTGCAAGTTATCAGGATTTTGTTGTGCACCACTTGCAGCTGGAGCTGCATTGCCTTGTGGGCTACTTCCAGGAGCTGCATTGTTTTGTGGGGTACTTGCAGGAGCTGCATTGTTTTGTGGGTTACTTGCAGGAGCTACATTATTCGGATTGTTGTTTGCAGGAGCTACATTATTTGGATTGTTGTTTCCAGGAGCTACATTATTTGGAGCGTTACTTGCAGGAGCTGCATTGCTTTGTGGGTTACTTGCAGGAGCTGCATTGCTTTGTGGGTTACTTGCAGGAGCTACATTATTCGGATTGTTGTTTCCAGGAGCTACATTATTTGGAGCGTTACTTGCAGGAGCTGCATTGCTTTGTGGGTTACTTGCAGGAGCTGCATTGTTTTGTGGGTTACTTGCAGGACCTACATTCTTCGGATTGTTGTTTCCAGGAACTACATTATTTGGAGCGTTACTTGCAGGAGCTGTATTGCTTTGTGGGTTACTTGCAGGAGCTGCATTGTTTTGTGGGTTACTTGCAGGACCTACATTATTCAGATTGTTGTTTCCAGGAGCTACATTATTTGGAGCGTTACTTGCAGGAGCTGCATTGCTTTGTGGGTTACTGGCAGGAGCTGCATTGTTTTGTGGGTTACTTGCAGGACCTACATTATTCGGATTATTGTTTCCAGGAGCTACATTATTTGGAGCGTTACTTGCAGGAGCTGCATTGTTTTGTGGGTTACTTGCAGGAGCTGCATTGTTTTGTGGGTTACTTGCAGGACCTACATTATTCGGATTGTTGTTTGCAGGAGCTACATTATTCGGAGCGTTACTTGCAGGAACTGCATTGCTTTGTGGGTTACTGGCAGGGGCTGCATTGTTTTGTGGGTTACTTGCAGGAGCTACATTATTTGGAATGTTGTTTCCAGGAGCTACATTATTTGGAGCGTTACTTGCAGGAGCTGCATTGCTTTGTGGGTTACTGGCAGGGGCTGCATTGTTTTGTGGGTTACTTGCAGGAGCTGCATTATTCGGATTGTTGTTTGCAGGAGCTACATTATTTAGATTGTTGTTTGCAGGAGTTACATTATTTGGAGCATTACTTGCAGGAGCTGCATTGTTTTGTGGGTTACTGGCAGGGGCTGTATTGCTTTGTGGGTTATTTGCAGGAGCTGCATTGCTTTGTGGGTTACTTGCAGGAGCTGCATTATTTGGAGCGTTACTTGCAGGAGCTGCATTGCTTTGTGGGTTACTGGCAGGAGCTGCATTGTTTTGTGGGTTACTTGCAGGAGCTGCATTATTCGGATTGTTGTTTCCAGGAGCTACATTATTTGGTTTGTTGTTTGCAGGAGCTACATTATTTGGAGCATTACTTGCAGGAGCTGCATTGTTTTGTGGGTTACTGGCAGGGGCTGTATTGCTTTGTGGGTTATTTGCAGGAGCTGCATTGCTTTGTGGGTTACTTGCAGGAGCTGCATTATTTGGAGCGTTACTTGCAGGAGCTGCATTGCTTTGTGGGTTACTGGCAGGAGCTGCATTGTTTTGTGGGTTACTTGCAGGAGCTGCATTATTCGGATTGTTGTTTCCAGGAGCTACATTATTTGGTTTGTTGTTTGCAGGAGCTACATTATTTGGAGCATTACTTGCAGGAGCTGCATTGTTTTGTGGGTTACTGGCAGGGGCTGTATTGCTTTGTGGGTTATTTGCAGGAGCTGCATTGCTTTGTGGGTTACTTGCAGGAGCTGCATTATTTGGAGCGTTACTTGCAGGAGCTGCATTGCTATGTGGGTTACTAGCAGGAGCTGCATTGCTTTGTGGGTTACTTGCAGGACCTACATTATTCGGATTGTTATTTGCAGGAGCTACATTATTTGGAGCATTACTTGCAGGCGCTGCATTGTTTTGTGGGTTACTTGCAGGAGCTACATTATTCGGATTGTTGTTTGCAGGAGCTACATTATTTGGATTGTTGTTTCCAGGAGCTACATTATTTGGAGCGTTACTTGCAGGAGCTGCATTGCTTTGTGGGTTACTGGCAGGAGCTGCATTGCTTTGTGGGTTACTTGCAGGACCTACATTATTCGGATTGTTGTTTCCAGGAGCTACATTATTTGGAGCGTTACTTGCAGGAGCTGTATTGCTTTGTGGGTTACTTGCAGGAGCTGCATTGTTTTGTGGGTTACTTGCAGGACCTACATTATTCAGATTGTTGTTTCCAGGAGCTACATTATTTGGAGCGTTACTTGCAGGAGCTGCATTGCTTTGTGGGTTACTTGCAGGAGCTGCATTGTTTTGTGGGTTACTTGCAGGACCTGCATTATTCGGATTATTGTTTCCAGGGGCTACATTATTTGGAGCGTTACTTGCAGGAGCTGCATTGTTTTGTGGGTTACTTGCAGGAGCTGCATTGTTTTGTGGGTTACTTGCAGGACCTACATTATTCGGATTGTTGTTTGCAGGAGCTACATTATTCGGAGCGTTACTTGCAGGAACTGCATTGCTTTGTGGGTTACTGGCAGGGGCTGCATTGTTTTGTGGGTTACTTGCAGGAGCTACATTATTTGGAATGTTGTTTCCAGGAGCTACATTATTTGGCGCGTTACTTGCAGGAGCTGCATTGCTTTGTGGGTTACTGGCAGGGGCTGCATTGTTTTGTGGGTTACTTGCAGGAGCTGCATTATTCGGATTGTTGTTTGCAGGAGCTACATTATTTGGATTGTTGTTTGCAGTAGTTACATTATTTGGAGCATTACTTGCAGGAGCTGCATTGTTTTGTGGGTTACTGGCAGGGGCTGTATTGCTTTGTGGGTTATTTGCAGGAGCTGCATTGCTTTGTGGGGTACTTGCAGGAGCTGCATTGCTTTGTGGGTTACTGGCAGGAGTTGCATTGTTTTGTGGGTTACTTGCAGGAGCTGCATTATTCGGATTGTTGTTTCCAGGAGCTACATTATTTGGTTTGTTGTTTGCAGGAGCTACGTTATTTGGAGCATTACTTGCAGGAGCTGCATCGTTTTGTGGGTTACTGGTAGGGGCTGTATTGCTTTGTGGGTTATTTGCAGGAGCTGCATTACTTTGTGGGTTACTTGCAGGAGCTGCATTATTTGGAGCGTTACTTGCAGGAGCTGCATTGCTATGTGGGTTACTAGCAGGAGCTGCATTGCTTTGTGGGTTACTTGCAAGACCTACATTATTCGGATTGTTATTTGCAGGAGCTACATTATTTGGAGCATTACTTGCAGGCGCTGCATTGTTTTGCGGGTTACTTGCAGGAGCTACATTATTCGGATTGTTGTTTGCAGGAGCTACATTATTTGGATTGTTGTTTCCAGGAGCTACATTATTTGGAGCGTTACTTGCCGGAGCTGCATTGCTTTGTGGGTTACTTGCAGGACCTACATTATTCGGATTGTTGTTTCCAGGAGCTACATTATTTGGAGCGTTACTTGCAGGAGCTGCATTGTTTTGTGGGTTACTGGCAGGAGCTGCATTGTTTTGTGGGTTACTTGCAGGACCTACATTATTTGGATTATTGTTTCCAGGAGCTACATTACTTGGAGCGTTACTTGCAGGAGCTGCATTGCTTTGTGGGTTACTTGCAGGAGCTGCATTGCTTTGTGGGTTACTTGCAGGACCTATATTATTCGGATTGTTGTTTCCAGGAGCTACATTATTTGGAGCGTTACTTGTAGGAGCTGCATTGCTTTGTGGGTTACTTGCAGGAGCTGCATTGTTTTGTGGGTTACTTGCAGGACCTACATTATTCGGATTGTTGTTTCCAGGAGCTACATTATTTGGAGCGTTACTTGCAGGAGCTGCATTGTTTTGTGGGTTACTTGCAGGACCTACATTATTCGGATTATTGTTTCCAGGAGCTACATTATTTGAAGCGTTACTTGCAGGAGCTGCATTGCTTTGTGGGTTACTTGCAGGAGCTGCATTGTTTTGTGGGTTACTTGCAGGACCTACATTATTCGGATTGTTGTTTGCAGGAGCTACATTATTCGGAGCGTTACTTGCAGGAACTGCATTGCTTTGGGGGGTACTGGCAGGGGCTGCATTGCTTTGTGGGTTACTTGCAGGAGCTGCATTATTTGGAGCGTTACTTGCAGAAGCTGCATTGCTTTGTGGGTTACTGGCAGGAGCTGCATTGTTTTGTGGGTTACTTGCAGGAGCTGCATTATTCGGATTGTTGTTTGCAGGAGCTACATTATTTGGATTGTTGTTTGCAGGAGTTACATTACTTGGAGCATTACTTGCAGGAGCTGCATTGTTTTGTGGGTTACTGGCAGGGGCTGTATTGCTTTGTGGGTTATTTGCAGGAGCTGCATTGCTTTGTGGGTTACTTGCAGGAGCTGCATTATTTGTAGCGTTACTTGCAGGAGCTGCATTGCTTTGTGGGTTACTGGCAGGAGCTGCATTGTTTTGTGGGTTACTTGCAGGAGCTGCATTATTCGGATTGTTGTTTCCAGGAGCTACATTATTTGGTTTGTTGTTTGCAGGAGCTACGTTATTTGGAGCATTACTTGCAGGAGCTGCATTGTTTTGTGGGTTACTGGCAGGGGCTGTATTGCTTTGTGGGTTATTTGCAGGAGCTGCATTGCTTTGTGGGTTACTTGCAGGAGCTGCATTATTTGGAGCGTTACTTGCAGGAGCTGCATTGCTTTGTGGGTTACTTGCAGGAGCTGCATTGCTTTGTGGGTATCTTGCAGGACCTACATTATTCGGAGCGTTATTTGCAGGAGCTGCATTATTCGGAGCTTTACTTGCAGGAGCTGCATTGCTTTGTGGGTTACTGACAGGAGCTATATTGCTTTGTGGGTATCTTGCAGGACCTACATTATTCGGAGCGTTATTTGCAGGAGCTGCATTATTCGGAGCGTTACTTGCAGGAGCTGTATTGCTTTGTAAGTTTCTTGCAGGACCTACATTATTCGGAGCATTATTTGCAGGAACTACATTATTTGGAGCGTTACTTGCAGGAGCTGCATTGTTTTGTGGGTTACTGACAGGAGCTGTATTGCTCTGTGGGCTACTTACAGGAACAGCATTGCTTTGTGGGCTACTTCCAGGAGCTGCATTGCTTTGTGGGTTACTTGCAGGAGCTACATTATTCGGAGCATTACTTGCAGGAGCTGCATTTTTTTGTGGGTTATTTGCAGGAGCTGTATTGCTTTGTGGGTTACTGGCAGGAGCTGTATTGCTTTGTGGGTTACTTGCAGGAGCTACGTTATTCTGAGTGTTACTTGCAGGAGCTATATTATTCGGAGCGTTACTTGCAGGAACTGCATTGCTTTGTTTATTAGAACTCGGTTCGGAGTTTGCGCTGTTGCCAACTTCATCAGAACTGATTTCCTGACTAGCATTGTTAGTTTCTTCTACGCTGCTTACAGAAGTTGTGTCGCTCTGTGTGTTAGTAGTGGGACTACTTTGTTGAGGTTGACTGTTGAAATAATAATGTTAATTATTTAATAATATAATTTATACCATAATACCTATCATACTAAATGTAAAAATTTATAAAGATTTTACTGAACTAGATGTTATTTTGTCCATATCACTAGTTTTGGGTAGTAATTAGAATTATTTTGTTTAATTCCACTAACATTAGTATACAAACGGTAGCGGAATTAAACATTAATTATGTCTGAATGTTTAGACGCCTGTATATTGGTTACACAATTACGCTAAAACAGCAGAACGGATTTGAATTGAATTTGGAACACGAGTATGTTTTATTCTAATTTAGAACACAGGATACTTTATGTACTGAGAAAAACATCGATGAACTTTCAAAACGATTAATGGAGTAAATCAATTTAAATTAAATAGTTACCTCTGCGTAAAACTAGTGGAACTAGGTTGGGGAGAGCTTTCTGTAACAAAAGGAGAAATCTTTGTAAAGTATACTTACCAAGAATGAACAACAAATTAGGATGTAGAACAAAATTTTCAGCATATATAATAACAAATATGATTCATCGTCATCATTTCGTCATAGTTTTAGAATACTGACGGATCTGACAAAGATTACATATATAGATCCGTATAGTATAGGTGCTATGACGACTTTTTTTATGCAACTTAGAATGACAAACAAGCTGACGGCCCACCTGATGGAAAGTGGTAACCGTCGCCTATAGACATGAGCAGTAGAATGGACATAACAGAGTATACTGTTTCGCCCATGATACCCCCCATGCGTTGCCATTCCTGAGGACTCAGGTGGTCTTCCTCTGTGCCCTGTAAATTCACTGCCATATCCCACCCTTCAAACGGTAACACAGCCATGCAAACACAACTGCTTCACGGTAGAAACACGAATGGGTCAGAGGTACTCACGCAAAAATACATTTTTTTTTTCTATATATTCAAATATTACCTTCCGGAGTCAACGATGATTCCGACGAATCTGGTAGTTCATTTCCTTGTCTCCATAATTGAAATAATTCCCAGAGTTCTTGCCAGGTAGAAAAATCTAAAAAATATATATTCGTACATATAAATATACATGTTAATTTTTTAAACAAATTTATTTAAAAACATTTTTAAAAATAAGCCTTTGCAATCTACATATTCCGTTATCTTTGACTGCAGCTATTTTTTTTATATATTAAAGGATATACAAGCTAGAAATGACAATGAACTGGTCACATAGCTCGAAGAACCGACAACCGATGGGGAACAAAGATACTTGAGTGACGACCCCAAAGGGAAAATGTAATGTAGAACATTTGTTCCCGCCACTAGATGGAGTGATGACCACCAATACATTGCAGAGAATCAGTGGATAGAGTGATGTTTCCCACGCCCCACAGGGGGGCAATTTGACAGTTAAGGAGGGGCAATTAAAAAATGGACTCGAAGCGTTTTTGACCCTCTTTCTCCGGGCCATTTAAATGCAATGCTACGAGTAGATATCGGTGTCAAATTTAACAAAAAAAAAAAGTAAATTAAAACAAATGCTGTAAATATGTATTAGGTATAATTTTGTTTGACGTTACCAAAATATTAACTGGGCGATTAGAGTCGCCAAGTAAACTTTGTCGGGAAAAATTATGTATGGGGGCATAAAAATTTTAGAAATGTTCAAGTGGGGCATGGCACAAAAAAGGTTGGGAAACACTGGGATAGAGGCACCCTATGTTCAACAGTGGACAGAAAATGGCTGATATAGTGGCTACTTTCACGTATCCTTTACATATCCTTCAATATTTTCACATACCCTCAAATGGGTTAAAGCTGAAAATCAGTGTTTTGTTCCTTGAACAATGTTCCGCGCTGAGCTTCGACCTTTTTGTATTGCTGCAGATCACACGTAATAACACAATTTTATAAATCTTATGTTGTTTTATGTATTATCTACTCTTATGAACATGTTGTGTGTGATTAGTAACAAACAAATAAACGATATATCTATCTATCTATCTACTATTGGACCTCAGTAGACTGTCTCATGGACGGGTCAGTGATTAATTTGTTTACACTAACTTGATTAAAATCCTTAAAGAAATATATACCATACCTAATGTTCCTGCTAATGCAGGAACTTCAGGAACTTCTTCAGGAACAGAAGTTGTACTTTGCGCGTTGCTTGAAGACGGCGCACTATTCAGCGGTTGACTGCTTGATGCAGGACTGCTGTAAAACACCAACTCAACATAAGCGAGTACGTACAACACTAGTATTTATCCGCGACTTCGTTCGCGTGACTGAAGTAAAAAGCCTTAGTCCTTTTCCATCCCATATATGTATATAAAATTTCATAGTGATTTGTTAAGCTGTTAAAGAGCTTTAAGGTAACAAACAAACAAACCCACTTTCACATTTATAATATTATTAAGGGCTAAATATTAATATATTTTTTATAAGTAACTTAAAGATAAAATTATTTGAAGAAATACCATCACATTAGCCATCAACTGTCCACTGCTGAACACAAGCCTCCCCTTATTAGGGGGTTTTGCCAGTAGTTGCCACATTTGGCAAACGGGTTGATAGCCGCAGTTAGACTTCGATGATGTTTTAAGAAGCACGCTACTGCCCGTCCATCGACCATTAAATCCCTTAATGGCAACTCCTTATTAGGTGATTTTGCCAGTAGTTGCCACGTTTGGCAAACGAGTTGATAGCCGCAGTTAGGTTTCAGTGATGTTTTAAGAAGGACGCTGCTGCCCGTCCATCTCTCATTCAATCCCTTAATGGCAACTCCTTATTAGGGCATTTTACCAGTAGTTGCCACATTTGGCAAACGGGTTGATAGCCGCAGTTAGGTTTCAGTGATGTTTTAAGTAGGACGCTGGTGCCTGTACATCGACCTTTAGATCCCATAGTTGCCTCTTCCGACACTCACGGGAAAGGAAGGAGAACAAAGTCTAGCTGGTTGTTCAATTAAAACCAGAGGGAGACTTTGTACAAAAGTCGATTGCTTGGGTACCTCTGTCCCATTCGTGTTTCAACCGTGAAGCAGTTGTGTTTGCATGACTGTGTTTCGGTTTGAAGAGTGGGATATGGCGTGAATTTACTGGGTACAGAGGAATAACATCTGAGTCCTCAGGAATGGCAACGCATGGGGGTATCATGGGCGAAAGAGTATACTCTGTTGTGTCCATGGTAGTGCTCATGTCTATAGGCGACGGTTACCACTTTCCATCAGGTGGGCCGTCAGCTTGTTTGCCATTCTAAGTTGTATAAAAAAAAATTCAATTATGTAAAATTATTACCTCTGGGAGTCACTACTGGAACTAGTTTGAGCAGGATTTGCTGTAAAAACAATAAATAAATAATTTATTTCCAGAGAGAGAGAATTAGAAGAAAACTCGTTTCTTGATAGTAACACGAATGGGTCAGAAAGACCTATTCGTGTTATAAATGATAATGGAATGGTAGCCCCGCCTGCGCTATCGGTATACTCTGGCGGGGCACCAGTGAGGGATGATAGGTGAGAATGAAAAGGCAGATCGGTTAGCCCATCGTGATAAATACACTTGGAAGGGGGGTAAGGGATTATTAGTAATAGAGACTGAGAATCCCATTGCTAGCAATATACCCAACCAGGTCGACCTCCTCGTGGGTCCCCCTGGAAACTATCATGGTTAATTCTTGATGAATTCGTCATGATGGGCTGACTGGCCTGTTTTCATTCTCATCTATCACCCTTCACTGGTGCTCCGCCGGCGGATCCCGTTGGCGCAGGCGGTGTTACCATACCATTTTCACCCATCAAAAAAAATACACTTGGAATTCAGCATGATAAATTCCAAGGGGGACCATGTAGAGGGTCCACCTGACAAAGTATATTGCTAGCAATTGGACTGATAGTCCGCATTATTAACAATCCCTTCCCCTCGCCGTGAAGCAGTTGTGTTTGCATGGTTGTGTTTCGGTTTCAAGGGTGGGATACAGCAGTGAAATTACAATGCACGTTAGCAAAACAACTTAGTTCTCAGAGGTGGTAATATATGAGAGATGGTGGGGATGGAATTGTTAGTAATGGGGATTCACAGCCCCATTGCTTACAATATATCCTATCAGGTCGAACCCCTTGCGGAACCACTTGGAAACTATAAAGGTTAATATTTGTGGAATTCGTCACGATGGCCTAACTGACCCGTTTTCATCCTCACCTCTCATCTCTCATTGCTACCCTGTCAATGTATACCGATAAGGCAGACGGGGTTACCATTCCATTTTCATCCCAAAAAACGTATGAGGTGTACCATGGGTATTACAGTGAATTCTATAATATCTATATCAGTTCATTTCTATAGACTATTACCATTTTCCATCAAGTAAACCATCAGCTTGTTGGTCATTCGAAATATCATGAAAAATATTAATACAAGTTAATAATTTACCTGGTGAAGAAAGCGGCGCAACAATAGGATACACAGGGGAAGATACTGGCTCTGGACTTCTTTCGGTATTACTTGGTAATACAGCAATTGTCTCAACTGGACCACTTTGTACCGGCACTGTCTCAGTCGGTACCGTATTACTTGGAGCTATTGGAGTTGTCTGTACTGGCCCAGATTGTACTGGACTTGACCCAACCGGGACTGTATTGCTTGGAGTTATGGGGATTGTTCGTACAGGTGAAGCTTGTACTGGAGTCGTTCCAACCGGTACTGTATTACTTTGAACTGTGGGATTTGTTTGTACAGGTGCAGATTGTCCTGGAGTCGTTCCAACCGGTACTGTATTACTTGGAACTATGGGAGTTGTTTGTACTGGTGAAGATTGTACTGGAATTGACCTAATCGGCACTGTATTACTTGGAGTTATGGGGATTGTTTGTTCTGGTGCATATTGTAATAGAGTTGGTCTAATCGGTAATGTATTACTTGGAGCTAAGGGGATCCTTTGTATAGATACAGATTGTACTGGAGTTGACTCAACTGATACCGTATTACTTGGACTTATGGGAATTGTTTGTACTGAAGCTGGCGTCTCCAGAGCCGGACTTGAAATTGTTTGTACAGGAGCTCGTAGAGGAATAAAATCAACTTCCACAATATCTCTTGGTGGTATGGAAACTGTTTGTATTGAGCTAGTTTGTTCCGGAACAGTTTGTACTGGGGATTCGTTCACTATACCTCTCGGTATTATGGGATTGGTTTGTATTGTTGGAACAGTTTGTGGCTGAGCTGACCCATCCAATGCTATAATTCTTGGTACTATGGAACTAGTTTGTACTGAGACTGGTTGGTTTACTCCAGGTCTTAATTCTTCAATTGTAGATGGTCTATATAGTGATTGGCCAGGTATTGTTGGTAGTGCAGGTGAAGATTGAAGTAATGAGGACTGAACAGAACTGGGTGGTTGAATTGATTCAGAAACTGGAGGTACTAGTCCATTAGTAGGCAATTCTGGTCTCAATGGTGGAGTGAGGCCTGGTGACAATCCAGCTGGGCGTATGGTCTCGACGCGCCATGATGTTCCCGGTATTTGATATGAGCTTGATTGCAAGTTAGCCACACCCGGTTGTACTGCTAATCCTATAGAAATAATTATGGAGAATGTAAGTAAGATGGAGTATTTTTGAAGAATTTATGAAATATGATAAGTTTTGTCATATAAATGAATAAATAAGGGGGGGGGGAAGGATTGTTAGCAATGGGGTTTTGACAGTTCCATTGTTAGCAATATACCCTATCAGGTCGACCTCCACGTGGTTCCCCCTGGAAACCATCGTGGCTAATTCTTGTTGAATTCGTCCCGATGGGCTAACTGACCTACTTCATCCTCACCTATCATCAATCACTGATGCCCCGTCAGTGTATACCGATAGCGCAGGCGGGGCTATCATTCCATTATCACCCATTAAAAAAAAATTATAAAGAATGAATGAATTCATTCATTCATTCACATGATAAATTTCGTCATAGTAAGATAAGTGATATAAAAATATCACTACTGTTATTATAATGTTAGAAGCCTTCGTATATAATGAAGACGGCCTAGAAACTTTTCAACACTAGAGGGCGCCACCCATCACACGAGAACAACAAAACTATAAATTATATATGTGGCCTGTATTCCACATATTAATACAGACTTTTAATTCATTCATCCATTTAATGTTGTATTGTTTTTAAAAATGAAGGAAAATTGCGTCGTTGCTAGCCGTAAGCGAAAGTGAATTTACTTGGTACAGAGGAATAACACCTGAGTCCTCAGGAATGGCAACGCATTGGGGGTATCATGGGCGAAACAGTATACTCTGTTATGTCCGTGGTACTGCTCATGTCTATAAGCGACGGTTACCACTTTCCATCAGGTGGACCGTCAGCTTGTTTGGCATTCTAAGTTGTATAAAAAAAAACGCTCCTAAATATAACGTAACAACATACCTTGTTGATTGATGTTGCTTGCTTGTTGTTGGTCGCTAAGTTGATTCTGCCAGTTGATACTGCGTAACTGATTAATCGCTAACAAAAATAAAAAAAAAAATCTTCAACGGGTTCCCCAGGGGGGAAAGGGATTGTTAGTGATGGAGACTAAGAATCCCGTTGCTAGCAATATACCCAACCAGGTCGACCACCTCGCGGTTCTCTTGGAAACTATCATGGTTAATTCCCGATGAATTCCTCATGATAGGCTAACTGGCCTGTTTTCATTCTCATCTATCACCCTTCACTGGTGCTCCGCCAGCGTATCCCGTTAGCGCAGGCGGGGTTACCATACCATTTTCACCCATCAAGAAAAAAAAACGGGTTCCCCAAGGAAAGTAAATAATATATCTATGTATACATATAATAAAATTGTTCTATATATAGGAGATATGTATATATATGTATAAAAGGAAATTTTATAAATTTACTATGTCTGTCCTTTCGGACAAATGTTTCCAAAACGAGATAGGTATTTAAGAAAAAATTGTAAGAAAAATAGAAACCAAACTAATAATTGCCAGAATGTCTGTCTGTCTGTTCATATATTTGCTCCGGGATGAAACAAATACCACAATTAAAAACTACATATCAAATAGTATGCAGTTTTTACCCTGCAGGTTTAACATAAAAAATATGTACCTATATTTTCTCAGCTACGTCTTCAAAATCCATACGATTTTATAAGCCGTTAGCATAAGCTAGGTTTATTTTTTTTTTTATTTTTTTTTTTATTTTACACAAAAGTACATTAATACAGTAGTTAAATAGACATAAATAAGTTGTTATTATATCATACCTGGTTGATTTAAGACATTTGCCTGATTTTGAGAGATCTGTTGATTCTGCAAATTACTGATTTGAATATTGTTGTTCGCTGCTGAAAATAAATATACACTTTTTAAGTAAATTGGGCATAATACATGTATTATTACTTCAATCTATACTATTATAATAAATTGGATGAGTTTGTTTGCACTAATCTCTAGATTTAGGAGATCGATGTGAAAGATTCCTTTTGCATTTGATAGCTTATGCGTAATATAAAATATATTTACAACTACATTTTTTTATACAACTTAGAATGGCAAACAAGCTGACGGCCCACCCGATGGAAAGTGGTAACCGTCGCCTATAGACATGAGCAGTACCAAGGACATAACAGATTATACTGTTTCGCCCATGATACCCCCCATGCGTTGCCATTCATGAGGACTCAGGTGTTATTCCTCTGTACCCAGTAAATTCACGCCATATCCCGCCCTTTAAACCGAAACACAGCCATGCAAACACAGCTACTTCACGGTTGAAACACGAATGGAACAGAGGTACCCAAGCAATCGACTTTTGTACAAAGTCTCCCTCTGGTACATCTACATCAGCTGTTAAATGTTTATTATATAAAATAAATTATTAACTAAAAGAATGCACAATAAGAATTATAATCATAAGGACAAATGATCTATAATCTAAATTCATCATCATCATCATATCAGCCTTTAACTATCCTCTGCTGAAGATAAGCCTCCCCCTTGGAGGGTTTTACCAGTAATTGCCACGCTTGGCAGGCGGATTGGCAACCGCAGTCAAGCTTTAGAGATGTTTTAAGAGGGACGCTGCTGCCCATCCTTCGCCCTCCCTTAGTCGGCGTTTACGACATTCACGGGAAAGGAAGGGGTGGCCTATTCTATACCGGGACCACACGGCCAGTAATTTAAATTACCATTAAATAACTAGTTTTTTATTAGTCCCAGATCTATTCATATACTGATGTTTCACATATTTGACACTATTTACACCAATTTCTTAATAAAACTATTTAACATCTTGCTACTATTACGGGCATAGCCATGGTATACAACTAGTAATAGAAGGTTCTATAATAGAAAAAAATTAAAATAGACAAAGTGATAACATAATGATACGCGTACCTAATTGGTTTAACAGATTTGCCTGATTTTGAGAGATCTGCTGACTCTGCAAATTACTGTTTAGAGCGTTGTTGTTTGCTGCTGAAAATAAAGTTTTTTTTTTTTAATTTTGGGTTGATTTAAGACATTTGCCTAATTTTGAGAGAACTGTTGACTCTGTAAATTGCCGATTTGAATATTGTTGTTCGCCGCTAAAACAAATGAACATAATAAATACACAAAAGTACGATTGTCTGACAATTGTGTTTTGTTATGTGTGTAAATATTTTTTTATAATATTATAATTTTATAAATATATTTTTTTAATAAAAATAGTAAAAAATAATCTATATCACTCGGGTGATATAAGGTTTCTAACAATACTCCATATATGCAAATGTCTTCAGGCGTTTAGATGTTATGGTGAAATAAACAAACTCACATACATACATAAGCCCTGAAAACATTACACTCCTTATTTGGGCAGTTGTGTAAAAAGATTGTGTTTCATAAAAAGAACCGACTTTAATTATGGCGAAACCAGATAATTTCTACAGGGCCAATATGTAAATATATCCTATTATCCTATCAGATGAAAAAAGACATAAACAGTACCATGGACATAACAGAGTCTAATGTTTCGCCCATTATACCCCCCATGCGTTGTCATTCCTGAGGACTCAGGTGTTATTCCTCTGTACCCAGTAAATTCACGCCATATCCCGCCCTTTAAACCGAAACACAGCCATGCAAACACAACTGCTTCACGGTAGAAACACGAATGGGACAGAGGTACCCAAGCAAACGACTTTTGTACAAAGTCTCCCTCTGGTAAATATAAATATTAAGTAAGATAATGATTGTGCCACACACCTTGTTGATTGTAGACACTCGCTTGATTTTGTTGACGCTGTTGTTGCGGCCAATTGCTATTTTGTATTTCGTTGTTAACTAAAAAAAAAATTATAAGAACACTCTATTGCATATGTTTCAGTCAAAACTCTTTACCAATCAAAAGTACTACTGACTAGCAGAGTCAGTCAAAAGTACTTTTGACCGTATGCTTTAGTCAATAATATGTTTGGCTAAAATAGCAGTTTAAAGTACTTTGCACTAAGTGATTCCGTCAAAAGTGGTTTTGCCTGGTTGTATCAGTCAATATTCTTAAAAAGTCCTACCCTAATGTAACCTAATTTACTTAAATTAGGTTTTTTTTTTTTGATGGGTGAAAATGGAATGGTAACCACGCCTGCGCTAACGGGATACGCCAGCAGAGCACCAGTGAAGGGTGATAGATGAGAATGAAAACAGGTCAGTTAGCCCATTATGATGGATTCATCAGGATAATTAACCATGATAGTTTCCAGGGGGAACCGCGAGGAGGTCGACCTGGTTAGATATATTGCTAGCAATGGGATTCTCAGTCTCCATTACTAACAATCCTTTTCCCCCTACTTAAATTAGGTTAGTTTAGTATATTTTCTTTGTATTGATCGTAATGTAAAATTTTTCGTATTAAACGATTTCACATAATAAATATCTTTTTTATTTACATTTAACGAGTTAATAATGCTTTTGACTTGCTTTATTGCAGTTAAAACTACTTTTGACGAAGGGTGTCAGTCAAGAGTACTTTTAACCGCAAATATGCAGTCAAAAGTACTAATAATCAATAATTTTCTGTCAAAACCACTTTTGACCGACCTGTTCAGTCAAAAGTACTTTTGACTGATTTTGCTAGACAATAGTACTTTTGATTAGTTACAAGTTTTATATAAATGTTAAGATTACCGTGAAGCAGTTGTGTTTGCATGGCTGTGTTTCAGTTTGAAGGGTGGGATATGGCGTGAATTTACTGGGTACAGAGGAATAACACCTGAGTCCTCAGGAATGGCAACGCATGGGGGGTATCATGGACGAAACTGTATACTCTGTTATGTGCACGGTATTGCTCATGTCTTATTTATTTATGTATGTATTTATTGTATGTATATTTATATTATATGAATATATCAAATATTGCTTTTTTTTTTCTCTCTTGTCAATAATGCACCGCCTACTTATTTTTCTGTTTGCCCAATGCTCGACTGGTAGAGAACACCGTCCGGTGTTAAGTCCGCCATATGTACAAAGAATTTTACTGTGCATTAAAGTTTAAATAAATAAATTTGAGTTTTTACCATTTGGAGGGGCTCCACTGACGGCGAAGATCTAGAAAAGAGAAGAAAATTACTTCTATAATTGGTGATGAATTTGTACTATAATATATTGTTATAAAAACTAGAAAGGTAAGCTGGGGGCCTGCCATGAAATGAAATTCCGAAGTTTCGGACTCAATTTCGTGTTTTTGTTCACACCTAAATCGAGCCAGTAAATGGAGCTTAACATTTCGTTCGTCATAAATCCTACCATAAAAGTCCCAAAGAATAATATTTTCATATTTTATAATATTTTTAAACGGTAAGTATTATGTAATTTTAACATTAAATTTGTGTAAACGGAAATTTCGGAAAACATTTCATGGTAGGCCCTCTGGTTTTCAAGAAGTTTTCTTTTTTTTTTTATACCACTGAGGTGGCAAACAAGCATACGGCCCACCTGATGGTAAGCGGTTACCGTAGCCTATGAACGCTTGCAATACCAGAGGTATTACGCGCGCGTTGCCGACCCTGAAGAAATCTCTTTATCCCCCTTTTGAAGAACCCCATGCTGGTCTCTTGGGAAAACCTCGACAGGGAGCTCATTCCATAACCTGAGTGTTCGTGGGAGAAAGCATCTCTGAAACCGCGTTGTACGCGACCATTTAGGCTGTAAGGTTTCTCACGCGAACGCTCAGATTGTGAGATGAGCTCCCTGTCGAGGTTTGTTTCAGTTATATTTTGATGTTTAGCATCATGGGTGCTTCACACCCATTATTTAATGGGTGCTGGAGGGAGGAAAGGGATTGTTAGTAATGGATACTAAGAATCCCATTGCTAGCAATATACCCAACTAGGTCGACTTCCTCGCGGTTCTCCCTGGAAACTATCATGATTAATTCCTGATGAATTCATCATGATGGGCTAACTGGCCTGTTTTCATTCTCATCGATCAACTTTCACTGGTGCCCCGCCAGCGTATCCCGTTAGCGCCTGCGGGGTTACCCATTCCATTTTCATCCATTTAAAAAAAAAAGCTATTTGTTGTTTAGGTCGAGCCTTTTTAGATTAGGGTACGATAAGGCTGACATATTCTTATAGGATAAAGGCCTCTAAATAAAAAAAATAAAAAAAGGTCGAGCCTGTCTGTCCAGCACGCAATATACATCTTTTAGCTAGAATAACGTACCTAGTTATTAAAATAGCTTGAGCACTCACGTAATTTTCTAAAAGCTGGAAACAGATTGGTAAGCCTATGAGTGTTACCAATTTTATCCCATTAAAAAAATTAATGTTTAAAATTCAATTTAGAAATACTTGTGATATAAAAAACTTACGCAAACAATGCAGAACCAGAGGACTGTCCCGTGAAAATTCATCGCTGGATCTTGGACCGTGCAGATCCGTTTGAGACCGATGAAAACACAACGAATATATGTCACTTCCGAGCACAAACGAATTTTATATCTTTCAACTAAACAAACATATTAAATGATAAATCATTTTCGGATCATCTGAGTAAACACGTCAAGAAATTATTTGAAACTTTAAATTGTATTGTCTAAATCTATGTTTACCTTATACTACCTTATACCTTATAGTACTGCGTGTACTAGGTGTTTCCTGGATTCGCTCATATTTATCATGGGGGGTTTTGTAGTTGCCATGCTTAGCAGACGGATTGGCAACCGCAGTTGAAGATATTTTAAGAGCGCATCCCTTGACCTCCCTTAGTCGCCTCTTGCGACGATGCCCACGGGACTATGCCGGGACCACACGGCAAATTTATTACTCTAAAACGCTTCATATTTATACTAGTTTAGTTTTTTTATTTATTTATTTTACGATGTTTTATGTGTATGTGTGTATACGATAGGTAGCTACGATAAGTATCAAATAAAAATTCTTCACATTCCATATATTTACGCACGTCAACATAATGTTTACGTATTGTTCCATTGTTCGAAACTACACAGTTTTCGTATACACCTGTGTAATCGTTTCAATAATGAAATTATTTAATTTACTACACACAATTATAATGAATTATTATGGCTTTATTCAACGTTTACAAAGTTTATTGTAAAAGATACTGCGAATAATATTATTTGTAGATCAGTATTGAGGAATATTCTTTTATTTGATAATGGCAAACAAGCTGACGACATATTAACGCGAAATAACTGACGTAATTTTTTTTTTATTTAATTTCATTAAAATATTTGTAGATCAGTAAATAAATAAGGTAGTACGAGAGTAATTACGTATGAGGTACGTAATCAGTCCGTACAAATATGTAAACAGTTTGCGATAAATGAAAATTGCGTGATATTTACTGCTGAACTTTGATGCTAACGATGGTGCTGCCTCTACTGAGCGATTTAGGGACTAAAATTATTATTGTAAATTGCTATAATTGCAAATCCTTGCTAATTAGTTCTATCCATTAGGTATCACTTCACAAAAAATTACGTTATTTGTCAACGAAATGAACTTTTCACTTCGTCGACAAACAATGTAATTTTTTTGTAAGGTTTTTTGAGATGCGAATAGAATTATAACACGTCTCGTATACGTTGGAGGAGAAGCAGTAAATGAAGATAGATAAGTCAGTCAGTCGTGACCCAATGATTTTTAAGCAAGACCGCGTGAACCTTACTGGGATTTTTGCTGACAATAAATCGATGGGGAGGGACCCCATTATCAGCCTTTAACTGTCCATTGCTGAACACTTGGAGGGTTTTGCCAGTAGTTACCACACTTGGCAGGCAGATTGGCAACCGCAGTTAGGTTTTGGTGATGTTTTAAGACGGACCCCGCTGTCCATCCTAGTCACCCCGTCATGTTATCTCAAAGTAAATGCAATAATATGGAATCCCCATTCTAGAAAAAAAAATACAAAATTTAGTTTAGTTTTTACTGTCATAATTTTATAATTATATCTGTAACGTCCTATTCTGCTACCTCTTTAAAACCGCGCCAACAAATTTTATGTCAGTTTTATATTATATTAAGACTCTTTTCATCGATAAGAAGAAAATTTGACGTTTATTTATTTATTATTTATTTTATTCTTTATTGTACACAAAAAATTATAAAATATAATATATATAAAATAAAGATGTACAACAGGCGAGCTTAACTCTGTAAGAGTTCTCTTCCAGCAAACCCTGAGTGGAAAGGAGCATTCATTATTAGCGGGCAGTGTGCGTACAATTTAGTTTTAGCTTTACTTAATTCTTTCTTCAATATAATATTAAATTCTGTTTAAATGTTATTAACGTTTCCCGATTACTTACTTCCTTCTGTCTTTCAACTGCGGGATTCATCAAAAAAACTTCAAGCAAAGTTAGTGACTGAGTTCAGTAAATATCCTAGGTTTTTTTTATACAACTTAGAATGGCAAACAAGCTGACGGCCCACCTGATGGAAAGTGGTAATCGTCGCCTATAGACACGAGCAGTACCATGGACATAACAGTATACTGTTTCGCCCATGATACCCCCCATGCGTTCTCATTCCTGAGGACTCGGGTGTTATTCCTCTGTACCCTGTAAATTCATTGCCATATCCCTTCAAACCGAAACACAGCCATGCAAACACAACTGCTTCACGGTTGAAACACGAATGGGACAGAGGTGTCCAGGCAAACGACTTTTGTACAGTCTTCCTCATGTAGGTCACTATAATAACTAAATAAAATAAATAAATAAAATAAAAATAAATATTTAAATTAACAGACCGTTTTCTTACTGCATTGCACGCACTTACATATATATTATTTATTAACATTATAAACTAGCTATATCCCGCGGTTTTACTCTCTTGAATCAGTACATAAAATATCCTTTATGCTAACTTAAAATATAATCTACCCATTTACCAAATTTATCAAATCGCTTCAATAGTTTTTGCGTGAAAGAATAACAAACATATCCAGACATCCATTCTTACAAATTTCACATAAAGTTGGCGATATATATATATATATATATATAATCTAAATAATATAAATAAAATATAAATAATCTATAAAATTATGGTATAAGGCAGAGGGAAAACAGCGAGGCACAAAAGATCCTTAAATAAATCAGGTCTAGCTACAGCCCTGAGATACAGTAAGCTGTCCTTAAAAGATAGACATATGCCATCGTGAACTTTTTTGTAGACCTATAAAAAAGAAACAATCCCACCATACATTGTTTTATAATATCTCAAACGGATTCTTTTTATGGATGGCAATGGTATGGTAACCCCGCCTGCGCTAACGGGATACGCTGGCGGAGCACCAGTGAAGGGTGATAGATGAGAATGAAAACAGGCCAGTTAGCCCATCATGATGAATTTATCAGGAATTAACCATGATAGTTTCCAGGGGGAACCACGAGGAGGTCAACTTGGTTGGGAATATTGCTAGCAATGGAATTTTTAGTCTCCATTACTAACAATCCCTTTCCCCCCTCTCAAACGGATTAGGCAGTGTTTTCGACGAAAGACAATCGACTTGATTTCATTCAACATCTTGAATAATTATCGTCATATTTCAACAAATTAGCATAAAATAATATTAAATTAAAGTAACCATCCCATTATCACCCATTAAAAAATAATAATATAAAGTAAGTACTTTATATTATTCTCAATTTCGTGTATAATATAGTATATGTCATATATGTATAAGTATATTTGTTATTTATATATATTTATTCGTTTATATGTGTAATTTTAGTATGTATGTATATCAATAATTAGTAGTACCGCATTCGAGTATTCTGACACTTCCCTATGGTTGACTGGGAGAGAATGCTTTTAGCATTAAGTCCGCCATGTACACATATTTGTACTAATGAATAAATAAATAAATAAATAAATAAATAAATAAATAAAAAAAATCTTATTCATTAAAACGTCAAACCTGTCATAAACCTATTGAAGTGTTTTGTCTCTTTCTTTTAAGTTGAATTCCCATTTTGTAAGAAAGTGACAAAACATTGTAATAGTGCTTTTTAGGAAGTTTTAGCTTTTATGAATAAGGGAGTTATATTATAGAGAGGAAAGACTTGCGTTATTTATTTGTAAAATTAAAATTTGCTTCTTTTTTCACAGTTTTTCTTTCATAAATTATTGTATTTCTACTATTTATATTATATATTTGGTTGTGTGGTACCAGCATATATTAGCATAGCATATAGCATATAGAATAGGCTACCCCTTCCTTTCTCGTGGATGTCGTAAGAGGCGACTAAAGGAGGACGAGAGATGGGCAGCAACGCTCCTTTTAAAACATCACCGAAACCTAACTGTGGTTGTCAACCTACCAGCAAAAGAAGCAACTACTAACAAACCCCCCTTTATGATGAAGGCCTTTGTTCAGCAATGTACAGTTAACGGCTATATCGTCATCATCATATATTTAACTAGTGTTAGAACATTAAAACAAGTACATTCAAATATCCCGCGCCCTCCCTTTCCATTCAATCTGTCAGCGAATGCGACCAATCAGAGCTGCCCAAAATGACAACATTCGAGAAAAAACAAAAATCGTCGATGGCGGCCGTTTCGCGCGTTCAGAATAAAATAATTATCATCAAGGTGTTTCAGTGAGGCATTCATCCAAGTTTGTGGCTAAAAGTGAACCTAAGACGATCGACAGCCCGTACACTTGTGGGCAGCTCCAGGCAGATTACAACAAGAATATTCCGTAAGTCCTTACCTTTCTACATCTTGTCTGTACTTGTTCACTTGTGCCGGTATTTTACAGCAGTGATAAAGCCCTATTTAAGTTTCTACAGTCCACTTAAATCAATTTTTATACCAACTAGGTTATAATAAATGGAAAAAGAAAATACATAATTTTTAATTGCACAGAAAGTTTATTAAAAAGAAAACAAAATTTTCAATAGGAATACAAATTTTTTTATGAATTTATTAAAAAAACAAAATGCATCGTTATAGGAAAGTAAGTTAAACAACTTTAGTCAATTAAGATCGCCTGGTCGATTGTCTATAAACCATTTAGTTAAATAAAAATATATACATAAATGTAGGTGTGATGGATTTTTTTTTAATATAATAAATTGTAACATCTCAAATGTTCTTAATAATCTCAAACGTTGACTTGTCTACGAACGTTCCAAGGAATGTTTTCGACCCTATCGTAGCAAATGCAAATTCTGCCCACAGGTCTAACAACGCTCGATGCAGAACTTGCACTGCTGCTTGATGCAGAACTGCTGCTGGACGCTGCAGCGCTGGATGATGCACCACTAGATGTTACTGTAAATTAAATGGTGCGTTGTTAAGGCAAATCACTATAAATACATTGGGAACTTTTACTAACTGGTTCTTTCTTAAAAGCGTTCATAACTACCCGCCAGCGAAGCGTGGCAATTACTGGCCAAAACCCCTCTTGATGGAGGAGGCCTATCTTCAGCAGTAGACAGTTAATAATGGCATAAGCCATGCCTTCCTTTCCCAAACAAAAGAAATTTAATGGTCGAGAGATAGAAAAGGACGCTGTTAACAAACATCACCAAAGTCTAACTGCAGTGGCCCAACCCACTTGAGATGGGGGGAAAAGGATTGTTAATAATGGGGTCAAATAGCCCCATTACTAGCAATATACCCTGTCAGGTCGACCTCCACGTGGTTCTCCCTGGAAACCATCGTGGCTAATTCTAGTTGAATTCGTCAGGATGGGCTAACTGACCTGCTTTTATCCTCATTAGTCATCAATCACTGGTACCCAGTCACTGTGTACCGATAGCGCAGACGTGGTTACCATACCATTATCACCCATGAAAAAACCCACCTAAGAAGCATCAGAACTACTTGCAAAACCCTTCTTTATGGAGGCCTATCTACAGCAGTGGACAGTTAAAGACTGATTTTATCCTCAACATTGTAAATATTTTTTTTACCTGCGTTAGGTTGAGTGACGATACTTGATGAGCTCTGCGCAGCGCTTGAAGATTGTGCATTGCTTGCAGAAGCTGTATTGCTCTGTAGATTGGTTGCAGCCGTATTACTCTGTGCACTGCTTGCAGAAGCAGCACTGCTTTGTGCATTACTTGCAGCTGCATTACTCTGTGCACTGCTTGCAGAAGCAGCACTGCTTTGTGCATTGGTTGCAGCTGCGTTACTCTGTGCATTGCTTGCAGAAGCAGCACTGCTTTGTGCATTAGTTGCAGCTGCATTACTCTGTGCACTGCTTGCAGAAGCAGCACTGCTTTGTGTATTAGTTGCAGCTGCATTACTCTGTGCATTGCTTGCAGAAGCTGCACTGCTTTGTGCATTGCTAACAGGTGCTACATTATTGGGTGCAGTGCCTACAGAAGTAGCACTACTTTGTGCGTTGCTTGCAGAAATGGCACTGCTTTGTACGTTGTTAACTGGAGCTACATTGCTCTGTGCGCTACTTGCAGAGGTTGCACTGCTCTGTGCACTATTAGCAGGAGCTATATTATTCGGTGCGCCGTTTACAGGACCTACGTTACTCTGTGCGCTGCTTGCAGAAGTTGCACTGCTCTGTGCACTGTTAGCAGGAGCTACGATAATCTGTCCGTTGGAACTTTGTGAGGAGCTTGTGCTGTTAAACGAAGAGTTATATTATTAATTATGTAACAATTAGATATAGCACATTGTAATCTAGAAAAAATTACTTAAAATGAAGCTGAATTTGATGTTAATAAGCTTAGCAATGAGGATACGACTATTTAAAATAAGAAAATTTATGTAGGTACTGTTTACATAAAATGGCGTCATAGTAAGTCCTGATAGTGTTTTTAAAATATTTGTCAACAACGCGAAAATTTAAAAATAGATATCTTCTCTTATGTTACAAACGCAAAAAATTTCAGACAAAGGTTCAATAATCATCTTAATTAAAAAGTAACCTTGAGTTTGGGAGTCTGGTGAATGGTAAGACGGGTATCGTAGCACCGATACCAATCTCTCACAAAGATTGTTTTAAATTTTCTAAAATACATTGCTAAACTTTTTAATATCATAAAAATTATTACCTTTGCGCAGCGCTACTGGAGCTAGCTTGGCTCTCTGCAAAAACAAATTAAATTTCATTTTACTACAGCTTATTAATAGCTGTAAAAGAAATTCGTGCAATATTATCTGCGTGGATATCTCTATCTGCATGCAGCTATACTTGTACGAAAATGTTTTAGTTTAAAAGAATAGGATATGATAGTAAAAAATTTGATAACGCTTAAGAGACATCATTGATGGGCATTGCAGAGTTTTCCGTTACCACCAAATCCACTGTCAAATCTATAAATGATAATTAAAACCAAATATTTAATTCCTTATTCTTAGATTACAACTTTCCATTTGTTGGCCTGTCATTTTGTATGTCATTCCAAGTTGTACAAAAATTAATATTATTAGAAACATAAAAATTGTTAAATTTCCTAAATACTAAATAGGAGAAATAAAAATCTCTTACGTGCTCTCTCCTGATTCCATAACTTCCACAGTCGCCATAACTCTTCCCATGTTGAATACGCTGCAACAGCATAAATTCAGCATTAACATAATAGTACGTAATTGTTACTTATAAATTGAAAAACAAATAAAAATAGGCTTCCTATGTTGACAGCCATAAAGAATGCTTCTGAGCCATCTGCATATATATGCATATAGACGTTATAACAGTCACTATATAGATATTATAAATAATTAATGAGATAAAAGAATTTACTACTTTAGTAAAAAATATTAAAGTTGTACGGATTAAAAAAAAAATTTCAAATGTTTAGAAAGACTTACTTAATCTATCAGAATCGCTCGTAGATGAAGAACTCGACGAGCTTTGGGCGCTGCTTGAAGACTGTGCGTTGTTTGCCGCAACAACGCCTGATTGAGAACCACTAGCTGCATTGCTTTGTGCACTTGTTCCAGAAACGACATTGTTTTGACCATAAGAACTTTGAGAAGAGCTTGCACTTTGACTAGCTGCAGTAGAACTGCTTGATTGTTGAGCATTACTGGCATATTGTTGTGCGTTACTTGCAGAAGCTGCACTGCTTTGTGCGTTGCTGGCAGAAGCTGCATTATTCTGTGCATTAGTACTTTGAGAAGAACTAGAACTCTGGCTACTTGCAGCAGAATTGCTTGATTGTTGAACATTGCTACTGTTCTGTTGTGCGCTACTTGAAGAAGCTGCATTGCTCTGTGCATTACTTGCAGAAGCTGCGTTGTTTTGTGCGCTAGAAGTCTGAGAGGAGCTTGCACTCTGGCTAGCTGCAGTAGAACTATTTGATTGTTGAGCATTACTGCTATTTTGTTGTGCACTACTTGTGGACGCTGCACTGCTTTGGGCGTTGCTGCCAGAAGCTACATTGTTCTGTCCATTTGAACTCTGAGAGGAGCTGGAACTATTGCTGTTGCTAGCTGCAGCGGAATTACTTGATTGTTGTGCATTACTACTGTTTTGTTGTGCGTTACTAGCGGAAGCTGCATTGCTCTGCGCATTACTTGCGGAAGCTGCATTGTTTTGTCCATTTGAACTCTGAGAAGAGCTTGAACTATTGCTGTTGCTAGCTGCAGCGGAATTGCTTGATTGTTGTGCGTTACTGCTACTTTGTTGTGCGTTGCTGGCAGAAGCTGCATTGCTCTGCGCATTACTTGCGGAAGCTGCATTGTTTTGTCCGTTTGAACTCTGAGAAGAGCTTGAACTATTGCTGTTGCTAGCTGCAGCGGAATTGCTTGATTGTTGTGCATTACTATTATTTTGTTGTGCGTTGCTGGAAGAAGCTGCATTGCTCTGCGCATTACTTGCGGAAGCTGCATTGTTTTGTCCATTTGAACTCTGAGAGGAGCTGGAACTATTGCTGTTGCTAGCTGCAGCGGAATTGCTTGATTGTTGTGCATTACTGCTACTCTGTTGTGCGTTGCTTGCAGAAGCTGCATTGCTTTGTGCGTTGCTTGCAGAGGCAGCATTGTTTTGTTCACTAGAACTCTCAGAAGAACTTGAACTATTGCTATTTGAAGAGGAACTGCTGGAACGTTCTTGAGAATTGCTATAATAAAAAAAAATATTATTATTATGATCATGTTAAAATCGAAGGATCATAAATCTGAATATTTTCACAGTTAGTCTTTTTTTTATATTCAGTCGAAGTCGAAAACTATAAAAATTGAGATTCACGGCGTATTCTGCCGAGTTGGTATTAATTTACGAAATTCACATTTAAAACCTGTTCTAATTTGAAATTTTATTTAGTGTGTTAGCACACTACTCAAAATGGTACTCATCATCTTCCTACCCTTACCCCAATCATTTGGGATCGGCGTAATATGATTTTATCCATATTACAAAAAGATTTGGTTTTTAGTTTTACAACCGGCCACCTGCCTGACGTCAACCCTCTTTGGGACTTCAAAATGGTACTAATGATTCAAATTTCACTTAAATTTTGTTTCATTTTATTTTATTAACACAATACAATTGTAGAAAGTAGACGATGTCTGTAGATAAGAAATATTTAAGAAAAACAAATTTAAGAGATCGTATACGATAAAATTAAAAAGAAACCACAACAATATGTTTTAGATTTTTAAATTTTGTTTGTCTGCCCCTCTGTCTGTCTGTATGTTTGTTGTGACATCACGCAAAACTACTGCATTAAATACGATCCTCACTGCTGTGTTCCTAAAGGACTAACTTAAAAACTGGTGTATATTTTAATCATAATACATGATCTAGAAGTGGATCTGTTTCATTAATTCCCCGTCTTCTGGCATCTACACTTACGGAATGGCTAACAAAAATGGTTAAAATAAAAAAAAAATTGTACAGATTAATTGAAAAGAAAAAGAAGTGCTGATACAACACCTGTGTGAGGAAGAGCTGGAATTGGATTGACTACTGGAACTGGATTGGCTTTCTGTAAGTAAGAAAATACATTTTTGAAATCGTTTTTATTGTAGTAATTAAAGACGCCTCCAAAAAAAACGACTTTAATTGTGACTAGTCATTTTTATTTAAAAAACTAATCTATCTATCTAAGATTTTGCTAAAATTTCTATGGAACGAATAATAATAATAATAACTTATAATAACTTTATTGTAGCTAAAAGGACGGGTACACAATTTCTTATACAGTGATTACTACACTAGGCTCGTAGGCCTGTATCGTATTAGTCAGTGAGTGGCTAATTTAGTTCATATTTATTGCCATTTACAGTCCGGTTCTTGTGCAATTTTATCATTTAGGTACTTACTCGAAAATTAAAATACATTTGAAATTAAATAAAAAAATAAAATACATAACTAAACAAGAAAAAAAAAAGAAAAAATAAATCTGTAAGTATATCCTTTTAGATGGAAAAAGAATCTTCTAAATCCATTTGGATTTTTTATTTACGTTTGTCACCCCGCAACTGCGTCATTTAGAAACCAATTAGAAAAATTTTATTTTTATCTGAAAAGATAATATTCTCGAATTCACGGGAATTTTATTAAATTTAGTTCCTTAGTCTAGTTTTCAAACCAAAATTACTGGTTTTGCCAAGATTGAAGAAGAAGAAATTTTTTGGAAGGAAATGTCAGTGATTTTGCAAAACAAATTTTTTATTGCTATGTGGTCCCAGAATAGAATAGGCCACCACCTCATTTCCCGTGGGTGTCATAAGAGGCGACTAAGGGAGGACGAGGGATGAACACCAGCGTCCCTCTTAAAACATCTTCAAAGCCTAACTGCGGTTGCCAATTCGCCTGCCAAGCGTGGCAACCACTGGCAAAACCCCCCAAAGGAGGCTTATATTCGATAGTGGACAGTTAAAGGCTGATATGTTGATGATGAATCTTTGTTAATTGAAATAGGGAGAGGAAGAGGGAGACTTTGTACAAAAGTCGTTTGCTTGGATACCTCTGTCTCATTTGTGCTTCTACCGTGAAACAGTTGTTTGCATGGCTGTTTCGGTTTAAAGGGTGGGATAAGACAGTGAATTTACTGGGTACAGAGGAACAACATCTGAGTCCTCAGGAATGGCAACGCATGGGGGGTATCATGGGCGAAACAGTATACTCTGTTATATCCATGGTACTGCTCATGTCTATAGGCGACGGTTACCACTTTCCATCAGGTGGGCCGTCAGCTTGTTTGCCATTCTAAGTTGTATAAAAAAAAGTAGGTGTTTTTCTTTAGGGAACAAAGTCTACTTCTCACCTTCTGATCCCGATGCCGTATGATACGAGTGTTCGCTGGAGCTGTTCTGTTGTGTGCTTGTGTTTCCGTTGGCGTCGGTCTTCTTGTCGTAACTCTGCTCACTGTAGCCGTTAGGGTCGTTGCTTCTCTTATCCCAACTAACTTCTTTGGGCTTGGCTGAAAAGTAAACATTTTGCATTAATTGTTAATTTCGAACAAGCGTCCAGTGAAGTTTGACACGTAACAGGTGGGGGGAAGGGATTGTTAGTAATAGCATCAAATACCCCTATTACTAGCAATATACCCTGTCAGGTCAACCTCCAAGTGGTTCCCCCTGGAAACCATCGTATCTAATTCTAGTTGAATTCGTCAGGATGGGCTAACTGACCTACTTCATCCTCACCTATCATCCTTCACTGATGCCCCGCCGGTGTATACCGATAGCGCGGATAGGGTTACCATTCCATTATCACGCATTAAAAAAACCTAACAGGTCGTGGTTCCCCTACAAAATCGTCGTGGTTATTTCTTGTTGAATGCATCACAATGGGCCAACTGACCTCATGCTGCCACTGCTTTAATCTCACCTGTCAGTGTATATCGTTAACGCAGGCGGTGTTACCTTTCCATATTTTTTTTTAACAGTTATTAAACTTCTGTTCCTGCGATAATTTCGGAAAAAAATTGTTTACTTTTTATTAAGTTCTTTTGAAACAGAATACAGTATCAAATAGTTGCATTTGAATAATTATTTTAATAACATATTGTAGTTAGATAAAATATTATTTAGTATAAAAGAAATTAATTAAAAGAGAACAAACTATATCCTCCTAAACAATAAAAATATTATACACTAATTAAGTTTTTATATTTTTAGGATTTTTTAATTAATTTATTTACAAATATTAAAAATACCAGAAGGAGACTTTGTACAAAAGTCGTTTGCTTGGCCACCTCTGTCCCATTCGTGCTTCTACCGTGAAACAGTTGTTTGCATGGCTGTTTCGGTTTAAAGGGTGGGATTTGGCAGTGAATTTACAGGGTACAGAGGAATAACACCTGAGTCCTCAGGAATGGCAACGCATGGGGGGTATCATGGGCGAAACAGTATACTCTGTTATGTCCACGGTACTGCTCATGTCTATAGGCGACGGTTACCACTTTCCATCTGATGGGCCGTCAGCTTGTTTGCTGTTCTAAGTTGCATAAAAAAATAATAATTACCGTTTGGCGCAGCTTGCACGCTCAAGATCTGAAAAGCAAAATGCGTCCAATTAGAAGCTATACTAGCGACCAGCCCCGGCTTCACACGGGTGCACATCACATCACATTAGAAACCTCTAAAATTATCAGTGTTTCTCTACAATATTATGCATGTATTATACATATAAACCTTCCTCTTGAATCACTCTATCTATTAAAAGAAACCGCATCAAAATCCGTTGCGTACTTTTAAAGATCTAAGCATACATAGGGACAGACAGACGGGAAGCAACTTTGTCTTATACTATGTAGCGTTTTACTTTGCTTTCCTTATACAAAAATGGAAACTTTATTATTAATAATACATTTTTTTATAACATAAGGGGCAAACGAGCATGCGGCTCGCCTGATGGTAAGTGACTACCGCCGTCCATAGACACCCGCAACTTCAGAGAAAATGTAAATGTGTCGTCGACCTTTCAGAAAGGAATATACTCTTTTCTTGATAGCTTCAATGTCATATATTTTCTTTAAAAATTTTTTTTCTGTCTTGTTTTAACACTTATTTACTTTATTAATTAGACACAAGTCTTCAAAAGGACAAAAATTTGTAAAATGGACTGACTTTTTGAATAATAAAATAAAAAAAGTATTTTTCCCTAAAAAAGTGACCTTGACATTGACCTTGATGATCTTCATGATATGAGAAAAAAATATTAAAATAAAATATAAAAAAAATAAAAAGGAAGCTAAGCTGGTTAATTCAAGTTGATTGCTAAAAGCTTAATGCATTTTAATTGTTATTTTTTTTTTAATTTAATTTATATTTTTTTTTGTTAAAATGCATTTTTCAAACTTACACTGAACGCGCAAACTGAAGCGAAAACGTACAACCAACGCATCGTGGTATCTTCTGACTTCTGCACTTTCCGATGAAGTCAGCCAGACTATAACTAAAAAGTCAGCCAATAATTTTTATACTCGAAACTGTTGATCGTGTACTTGTGTATAAAAGTAATAAATTAATTTTATTTGATCCATATCAACAATTTAACAATACGTACTTTGTTAATAACATTTATATTGCCTGGAAAAGTGTGTAAATTACGACAAAAGATTAACAGCAATAATAAATACTCTTCAAACATCTGTAACGTAAATTATCTGTGACATATTTACCATAGATTGGTATGAATAATATCAATTATAAGGAATTACACGCGCGTCTCACACACAGTCGCATGGAAATAATAAAATGGGCTACCCTGTCCTTTCCGGAGGTCGTACAGGGGCATAGCATAGTTCAAGGGTTCAAAAGAACTTTTTAGTAGGCAGAAGTCATAATTAAGTGACTTCGAAAAAGCGATACTGTCTAATTTTCTTGGGGCCTTCCATTTTAAGGTAGGGCATTGAGCCTTTTAGGGTTTTTTTTTTTTTTTTATTGGATGAAAATGGAATGGTAACCCCGCCTGCGCTAACGGGATACGCTAGCGGAGCACCAGTGAAGGGTGATAGATGAGAATGCAAACAGGCCAGTTAGCCCATCATGATGAATTCATCTGGAATTAATCATGATAGGTTCCAGGGGGAACCGCGAGGAGGTCGACCTGGTTGGGGTATATTGCTAGCAATAGGATTCTTAGTCTCCATTACTAACAATCCCTTTTACCCCAAGCCTTTTAGGGTTGGACATTACCCCTCAATGTCCCCCTCCCCTAGCTACGGCCATGATGTCGTAAGAAGCGACTAAGTGGGCTTAATGGTCTAGGAATGGGTAGCAACGTCTCTCTAAAAATATCTCCAACGCCTAACTGCAGTTACCAATTTGACTGCCAAGCATGGCAACTACTCATATTGACAAAATTCCCTAATAGGAAGATTCCTATGTTCAGCAGTGGACAATTAGCGGCTGATATTTTATGGAGTGTTGACTTCAAATGCATTTCAGAGAGTCAATGGATGCATGTGGCTCAGGACCGTTCCTTATGGCAGTCTATGGGGGAGGCTTATATTTAGCTGTGAACAATAATGGCTAAAATGATGATGATGACGTTGCAGGCATCAGTCACCGTTTACCATCAGTATGCTGCTGTGAAGGCTATATCCTTGTTTGCCACCTTCCATCTTTAAAAAAGTTGTAAAGAGGTTTCTTCAGGGACGGCGACGCGCGCGTAACACCCCTGGTATTGCAGGCGTTCATAGGCTACGGTAATCACTTACTGTCAGGTGGGCCGTACGCTTGTTTGCCATCTCAGTAGATTAAAAAAAATATAAATGGTAAATATACAGGCAACTGCGTACGGGTAAACACAGTGTGGGACGACCCCCCCACTAGATAGAGTGACGATCTGAAATGCATTGCAGGGAGCCAGTGAATGCAGGTGGCTCAGGACCGTTCTTTATGGCAGTGTATGGGCAAGGCTTTTATCCAGCTGTGGACGAATAATAGTTGAAATGATGATGTTGATGAAATATACAGGAAGTTCCAATGAGATGAGTTCCAAATAGATATAGGAAAAGGGCAAGAAGATAACAATAAGGTTGATTCTGAGACGCCATACCTCTAGATTTTATATATATTCTTTATTGCACTTGTAAATTACATTGTTAATGTATTTATAAATATCGTGAACAAGAGTGGACTTATCTTTGACAGAGATCTCTTCCAGTCAACCCGTCAGTACAGTAAGAAAGCATTTCGTTAGCGGGCAGCTGAAGTGCTACAACTATTAATACATAAACAAATATACAGTTAAACAAAATATTAAGATACATAATAAAATATTACATAAATACATATACTATAAATAAATATAATACCTACTTATACAATGGATGTTAAAATAAATGAATATACTACCTACAATAGAAATTTAGTTCAATGATTTTAAAGTTTGACAGTTCAGTTACAAAAATAAATAAATTAAGATTATGACTCAAACGAAAGGAAATGTAACTTCAACCTTTTCTTGAAAGAGGTAATTGAAGGGCTCTCTTGTATGTGGGAAGGGAGTTTGTTCCATAATTGGGCAGCTCGATACGAGAATGAGTTGCCCATAAAATGTGTTCTACACAAAGGTAGGTCGAGAATCCTGGACTGAACTTGACAGGAGCGTTTAGGACGGATTGGTTTTGAATTGAAATATTTCTCTACAATTAAAATTTCCATTTCATGATACAGCCTAATCTTTATGCTAAGGTCCAATATGAATTCTATTTGCAGTAGATGTCAGTGAAAATTATTATAAATTTTGTTGTATGAACGTTCCTTTTTTTTTTTAAATGGGTGATAATAGAATGGTAACCCCGCCTACGCTAACAGTATACGCTGGCGGAGCACCATTGAGGGATGATAGGTGAGAATGAAATAGGCAGGTCAGTTAGCCCATCGTGATAAATACACCTGGAATTGTTTCACACGTTATATCACACAATAGTTTCCAGGGGGAACCGCAAGGAGATCGACCTGATAGGACGTATTGCTAACAATGGGGGTACTAATTCCCATTTTTAATAATCCATTATCCCCCCTGTTGTATGATGATTATATTGTAAGTTTAGTTTATGAATTAATTATTAATAGACAGTAATTTTGGTAAACAAGTTAAGACATAAGTTTCGGAAAACACCTGATTCCTCAGAAATGGCAACGCATGGGAAGTATCAGGAGCGGAACAGTATACTCTGTTATGTCCATGGTACACGCTCATGTCTATAGGCGACGGTTACCACTTTCCATCAGGTGGGTCGTCAGCTTGTTTGCCATTCTATGTTTGAATAAAAAAACTATTATTTGCCCCCTGTGTAATAAAAAACATAAGCCGTTCTGGAGATTAACGTGAACAAGTATTAATATATTAATATATATATATATATATATATATACATATACATATACATATCTATATATAATATAAATAATAGCATATATATTAAAATGATATTAAGCATACTATTTACAGTACAAATACGTTAAATAACAAATAATTCACACAGTAGTCGCATTGTCTGTAAGCAGTTCTGAATAATACTCTTTTGTTCGTGTAATTAACAAAGCTCTGACCACTTGTGCAAACTTATTAATAATTAAATGTTTGACTTCAAACAATAGATTTTCTGGAACGCAACGTCTTCCGTTGGATTTACGAGTTTGTACGAACGCACAGTCTGTTGACTGAAGACGATGACAGTTTGTAATGACGTGATTATTATTGTTATAAACTAATATTATAATAAAGAATAGAAGAGCCAAAATGCTGAGCCAACTTATACGACTTCTAGCAGATCCCTCATCCGACAATTCGAGGCTGGTGTATGATTTTTTTTTTACAACACAGGGGGCAAACGAGCGTGCGACTCACCTGATGGTAAGTGACTACCGCCGCTCATGATCACCCACAACACCGACGGCATTGAAGGTGTGCTGCCGGCCTTTTAAAAAGGAATATGCTCTTTTCTTGAAGGTTATGATGTCGTATCGGTTCGGAAATACTGCTTCTGAAAGTTGATTCCAAAGAGCGGTTGTGCGTGGGAGAAAATGCTTTGAAAAACGCACGGTGGAGGACCGTCACTAGTCGGTATCTTTTTTTTAATGGGTGAAAATGGAATGGTAACCCGCCCGCGCCATCGGTATACACCGACGAGGCACGGTGATGGGTGAAAATGAATGCAGGTCATTTGGCCCACCATGATGAATTCGACAAGAATTAACCATGATAGTTTCCAGGGGGAACCATGTGGAGATCGACCTGAGAGGGTATATTGCTAGCAATGGGGCTATTAGAACTCATTACTAACAATCCCTTTCCCCCAAACACTAAGTGTCATGTCGTATGGGGAGGTTAAGGATATAGCCTGAGATAGAGCTGGCTGGAAGATGCATGAATTAGTTGTACCGGCAAGAGGAAACTCTTAAATGAAAAGAGAAATCTGTCGTGGTGTTTGTTACCAAACTCCTCTGAAACGACTTTACCGATTTTTATGAAATTTTGTGTGCATATCGGGTAGGTCTGAGAAGCGGCCAACATCTATTTTTCATACCCTTCAATGATAAAGGTGGGTCACCCCTAAAATTTTTTTTTTTATTTTTACAACAAAATTTTTTATTTTTATTTTACTGAAAAGATATATTTACCAGAGGGACATTTTGTACAAAAATCGAGTGCTTGGGTAGATAGATAGATAGATAGATAGATAGATACTCTTTATTGTTTCCTCCAAAAGATTACAATAGTAAACTTATTATAAATATAATGAGAAACTGACGCTTCACGTTTTTTTTTTATTTTTTTATGATGCTGTCATTGTGAAGTGCGATAATTTATTCAGAGTTTATTCTTCTCGGTTTTGGTTGTAATTTTTTGTGTATTTGTTGTAATGTTTTATGTATTTATTGTAATGTTTTATGTATGTGTTGTAATGTATTATGTATTTGTTGGTAAGCGTGTTGAGTCTCCCATCCGAGAAATAGGTATTAGCGATCCGCACGCATGCTAAAGGTAAAGAAGTTAAGGGGCCGCCTGAAAATCAGCGCTATATAGGTACATCTCGCTGGAGCTGTACATATATAGCAATAGCTGAGGCGGCTCCTATTACCAGCAACATTAATTGTTTTTTTTTTCCTTTTTGTTGTTTTAATTTCTTAGTAATGGTAATAAATGTCATCTATCTATCTATCTATAAATAATTACAAGAAATAATCACAATGAGAAAACAATGGGCGACCTTATCGCTAAGAGCGATCTCTTCCAGGCAACCTTTGGATGGAGAGGAGTAATTATAAACAGTTTGGTGGGAGGCACGATGAAAAATTTTGTTAGTTCTAAATATGGGAGATGTGATACATATAATAATATAAATATTATCCCTACTCATTATTATATTTATATACATACACCTACACACACATATATATATATATATATATATATATATATATATATATATATATATATATATATATATATATATATATATATATATATATATATATACATATTATACATATACATATACATACATGGACATAAACGCCTACACAAATACATAAAAATATATAAATACTGTTCACGAAAAGTATGCAAGTAATAAGTATGCTAACCAGACATATAAACACATTAAGAAGATGACAACTTGCTCAAATAATAGTTCTTCAGTTTTGTTTTAAAACCAGCCGTACATTTTATATTTCGTAAGGAAACTGGTAAAGCATTCCAAAGCCGTACAGCTTGCACCGTAAATGATTTGTCATAAAAATTTGAGAAATGTACCGGAATCTTCAGCTGAAGGCCCTCAGAAGACCTAAGATTAAAAGAATTGACGGTATGCAAGAATTCAAACCGCTCTCTGTCCCATTCGTGTTTCAACCGTAAAGCAGCTGTGGTTGCATGGCTGTGTTTCGGTTTGAACGGTGGGATATGGCGTGAATTTACTGAGTACAGAAGAATAACACCTGAGTCCTCAGGAATGGCAACGCATGGGGAGTATCATGGGCGAAACAGTATATTCTGTTATGTCCATGGTACTGCTCCTGTCTATAGGCGACGGTTATCACTTTCCATCAGGTGTGCCGTCAGCTTGTTTACCATTCTAAGTTGTATAAAAAAAAAAGATATACTATTAAGATATTGGTCCTATTGAAGTTTTATCAAAATCGTTTCAGCAATTCAGTTGAAACGATTGAAACGATCCACAAAAGAAGCCAGTGTTTGTTGTGAAAAAAAAATCTTAAACTATTTACCCATTTATTTAACTATTTATCAATTCGTTTAAAAAAAAAGATAACAGAATTGGAATCAAATCAAATATTTTTTTTTTACAATTTGGCTTTTACTACGAAGTGGCCAGTTATTTTAAAAAGGTATAATAAAAGAGGTCGTGTATTAAACACATATTTCTCAAGCTTTATTAAATTACATTATGATTATAACATGGTACATATAATATGGTAGGATAATAACAAGCAAGTAACATTTCAATCTATTCCCATAAACAAATCTTATGGTTTTTAGACAAGTGGCAAATTACAGCATACAACGCGGTTTCAGAGATGTTTCCTCCCACGAACACTCAGGTCATGGAATGAGCTCCCTGCCGAGGTTTTCCCAAGAGACTAAAGCGTGGGGTTCTTCAAAAGGAGGGTAAAGAGGTTTCTTCAGGGTCGGCAACGCGCGCGTAATACCTCTGGTATTGCAGGCGTTCATAGGTTACGGTAACCACTTACCATTAGGTGGGCCGTATGCTTGTTTGCTACCTCAGTTGTATAAAAAAGAAATTCAGAATTTCATTTCGTGGTAGACCCCCAGATTAACCCCTCTAGACAAATAGTAAACGAATCCATCGATGGGATTGTCATCGCTCGCGAATCAATGAAATAGAATGAATGGTATCTCATTGGAATTCATGGTCTCCATTGAAGCTGGGATTCTACCATATAATGAAATTCTGAATTTTCGGACTCAATTTATTGTTTTCGTTCATACCGAAATCGGGCCAGTAAATGGAGTTTAACATTTCGTTCATCATATATCCTACCATAAAAGTCCAGAGGAATTATATTTTAACATTTATAATGTTCTTAAACGCTATGTATTATGTAATTTTAACAACAAATATTGTGTTTCGTTCGGCTACGAAATTTACTACTGCAATATAGATATATTAGAATTTCAGTTATTTTTTTTTATACAACTTAGAATGGCAAACAAGCTGACGGCCCACCTGATGGAAAGTGGTAACCGTCGCCTATAGACATGAGCAGTACCATGCACATAACAGAGTATACTGTTTCGCCCATGATACCCCCCATGCGTTGCCATTCCTGAGAACTCAGGTGTTATTCCTCTGTACCCAGTAAATTCACGCCATATCCCACCCTTCAAACCGAAACACAGCCATGCAAACACAACTGCTTCACGGTTGAAACACGAATGTGACAGAGGTGCCCAAGCAATCGACTTTTGTACAAAGTCTCCCTCTCCCTTCAATAACAAATTATATAATATTAATATTAATACATTAATAAATATATTAATAAAAAAAATAACACTCAAATCAATGAATAATCATAATATATATATATATATATATATATATATATATATATATATATATATATATATATATATATATATATATATATATATATATATATATATCAATTAATTTATAATCATAATCCTACTTAATACAAATCATTATACAATTTGAAAATCGATAAAACATATAACAAAATATCGTAGATTTCATCAAATTTTTTTTCTTGAATTTTATACTTATATTTCTTTTACTTTTTATGTTACAAATTCTTCTCTTACATTTATTTCGTCATATTTTTAAAGAAGGACATAAGCACTCTCTCCACTATGCTGTTGTACGTAAACAAGTAAAGGATTCACTTTCCTTCCATTGGTTTCCAAGTCTTCCAAAAGAGCTCTTCCGTTTTCTGCTAGATTCAATGCCATTAATTCTGGGGCTCTCTTCTCTCTTGAATTGTTAGAAGAATCATTAACGGCCGATAAATTAGCTTCGTTAGAAGAATTAATATTGATTTCAGAATTCTGTGATGTAACTGCATTGCTGATTGGTTCATTTTGTACATAAACCAATAAAGGATTTACCTTCTTTCCTCTCTGTTCCAATGTTTTTAAAAGATTTATACCGTTTTCTTGTAAGCGCAATATCTTTAATTGAGGTGCTTTTTTGCCTTTTGTATTATCCGTAGGAAGATTACTTACATTTTCATTATTTGATTCATTACTTGAATATTGCTCAACACTTTCGTTAGAAACATTAGAGGTGTTGTTATTTTCATTGTTTGAGTCAGTTTCTGTTTTTGTATTATTATCACCAGCATCTTCTACTGATGTTTCAGAAACGTTCTCTTCTGAATTCTCTGGTATATTTGCTCTGTCGATCTGTTCTGTTTGCTCTTGTTTTTCTTCTACTATCGTTGGATATTCATTGACATTCGTCGTATTATTTATATTTTCGTTATCTGAATTAGTGTTTGCGGATTCGCGGACGGTTTCGTTGGATAAATCAGGAGTGCTGATCTCCTCAATTTGATTTTCATTATTTGCCAAAGGTTCATTATGTTCACTATTACTATCTCTGTCTTCTGCAGAATTTCTAGAATCAGGAAGTATAACATGGTCAGAATTGTTATTCACAGAATTCTGTGGTATTACAATTACTTTGTCAATTTGATCTTCATGTTCTTCTACATATACCAGTACAGGATCAGCGTTCTGTTCAATTCTATTTTCTTGTAGATCTAATACCAATACCTGTGGGACTGTTTTGTCGTCTGAGTAGTCCTTGGGAAGATTGACGTCTCTCGTATTACTTACATTTTCAGGGATTACATTAGAATTTGTAACTGATTGATCAGTTTCATCGGAAGAATCGGCGGTATGGTTTTCTTCGTTATTTTCATCATTAATTGGAGTATGTTCACGTCCATCATCATTATTATTATTGTTAACATCCTCTATTGATTTATCCGATCGTAAATTACTTTCAGGGTCATTATTTTCAGGATGGTTTACTTCAATTTCTTGATTAATCTCCTTTATATTATGTGCATGTGATTGATATACCTCAGGACAGTTATTGACTGTTATTTCTAATTGGATATCTTTTTCTTCTATCTCATCGTCTGAATGTGCTTCAATATCGAATTTGACAAGGCGAATATCTAAGTCTTCGTGTTCCAGCATAATATTATTTATATAATCTGTTAGTTTATCAATTATTACATTGATTTCTTCGTCTCTCTCTGGACTCATTGGGATACAATGTTCAGTTCGGCTAGTGTTGGCATCTAGAAAAACATATACGTTATTTTTTACAGACATGGGACAGATAAAGGAAACACTAAGTGTCATGTCGTATAGGAAGTTTAAAGATATGGCCTGAAATAGACTTGACTGGATGAGAATGAATGAATTAGTAGCCTCGATAAAAGGAAACTCTTAAATGAAACGAATAATAATGGTATATGTAAAAATAACATTGATAACTGTCACTTATAGACATGAACAATAATACCATGGGCATCATTGAATGCCCATGATAATCCATTCCTGACAATAAAGCTATTGTGTGCCTCTGTATCCTGTAATTTCTTGTAATAGGCCATCCCTTCCTTTCTCGTGGGTGTCGTAAAAGGCGACTAAGGAAACTTAATGGTCGAGCATCACCAAAATCTAACTGCACTTGCCAATACGCTTGCCAAGCGTGGCAACTACTGACAAAATCCCACAACCAGAAGAGACCTATATTCAGCAGTAGACAGAAAAAGGCTGATAGGGTGATGATGTTGATTATGATAATTTATAATTTTTGATAATTCTATCAACTCGTGCGAAGCCGAGTCGCACCGCTAGTTGCAATGATAGAGGACAGAGAGATTAATACTTGATTGTGGGGGGAAAGGAATTGTTAGTAATGGAGACTGAGAATCCCATTGCTAGCAATATACCCAACCAGGTCGACCTCCTCGCGGTTCCCCCTGGAAACTATCATGGTTAATTCCTGATGAATTCACCATGATGGGCTAACTGGCCTGTTTTCATTCTCATCTATCACCCTTCACTGGTGCTCCGCCAGCGTATCCCGTTAGCGCAGGCGGCGATACCATACCATTTTCACTCATAAAAAAAAATACTTGATTGTAATATAAATGTTAAGATTACCGTGAAGCAGTTGTGGTTGCATGGCTGTGTTTCGGTTTGAAGGGTGGGATATGGCGTGAATTTACTGGGTACAGAGGAATAACATCTGAGTCCTCAGGAATGGCAACGCATGGACGTATCATGAACGAAACAGTATACTCTGTTATGTCCATAGTACTGTTTATCTCTATAGGTGACAGTTACTAATTTCCATCAGGTGGGCCGTCAGCTTGTTTGCCACTGTATAGTGTTGCATAAAAAGAACTTATGCAAGCTAACAATCCTAACAATTTATTTAGAGAACAAAAAATAATTACCAGATTCAGTTTGCGCCAAAATGTTGTGAATTATCTGAAACAAACAAAAGAAAAAAAATTCACTCATATATATATATATATATATCGTCATAGTCGTAGAATACTGACGGATCTGACAAATATTACATATAAAGATCCGTCAGTATTCTACGACTATGACGATGTATAACTGCAAAGAAGCCAGTTTCGATTCTCTACTCCAGAAGTACTGGAATGCTATTTATTGTCACGAATCCAGTGCAGTTGGAGACGGATAGCGGTCCACGACGACTCCAGCGACGTATGGGGGGAAAGGATTGTTAAAAATACCGAATACTTGTTGTTGATAATGGCTGAAAATATTTGATATTTATAGATTTTGACATAATTTTTAAAATTATTGTCCTATATCACTTTTTGTCTTGTCATTCGCTCTTCTAATAAAAAAATATTTATTTATTTAACTCTTTATTGCACCATAAATAAAAATATACAATGACAAGTGAATAATTCAAGTGAAATACAGTAACATAAATACAGATTGAAATATACACATAAAGGTACAAAAGGCGGTCTTATCGCTAGGGCGATCTCTTACAGACAACCTTTAGTTAAAAATGCACAATTCTCTCTGAATAAATTTTTCCTTTCTAATAATCTTTTATTTTTTTTTTTAACTCTCCGTTTAATTTGGGATTTTTGTTTTTTAACATGTCAGTCCCATAAAATCTAAACAAGTTATCTACTATTACAATTATGACTAAACAATACTGCTTACTAATTCACTTAAGCACAAAGCAATTTTGGTAGTAGGAGCATGCATTATGCTCTAAACAATCCACACATCAAATTTATTACTATTAAATGTTTTTAAAAATGTTTCCCTTCCCCTTTGGTTCCTATCACATTCCATCAATAGGTGCTGTACATCTTCAACTTTTCCACAGACAATGCAATTTGGTGAATTTTCGTTTTTTCATTAAATATGCTAACTTTTTCTAATAAGTCTAATATATAAAATTCTCGTGTCGCGGTGTTTGTTACCAAACTCCACCGAAACGGCTTTACCGATTTTTATGAAATTTTGTGTGCATATCGGGTAGGTCTGAGAATCGGTCAACATCTATTTTTCATACCCCTCAATGATAAGGGTGACCCACCCCTAAATATTTTTTTTGTATTGTTTTGACAAATATTTTTATTTTATTATTATTTAGCATTGAAAAATACATACAAATGCAAATTTACACGCTTTTACGATCAACTGTTTTTTAATCGCGATTTTTATATACCGCAATAGGGTTGCAAGATGGCAATCCAATATAATAATTGTAGTACGATAAATTTTCATGTATAGTTCTCGAAATAGTGTATATAGTAAAACAACGTTTGCCGGGTCAACTAGTCATTTTATATATTCGACGATTTACAACATTTGTCGCATTGCTAGCAATATACCCAGCCAGGTAGACCTCCCTGGAAACTATCCTACTGAATTCGAGATGTATTCATCACGATGGACTAACTGACCTTTTCATTCTCACCTATCATCCCTCACTGGTACCTCGCCAGTGTATACCGATAACGCAGACGGGGTTACCATCCCATTATCTTCAACGATATATAAATGAAATAGTGTATTTTTTTTATTTACATACATACTAAAATTACATATATAAACGAATAAATATATATAAATAACAAATATACTTACACATATATGACATATACTACCTTCTACCCAAAGGTTGTCTGTAAGACATTGCCTAGCAATAAGACCGCCTTTTGTACTACACTATACGTATTGAAAATTGTTCAACAAATCATGTTATGTTGGTGCAATAAAGTGTTAAATAAATAAATAAATAAATACTATATTATACACGAAATTGAGAATAATATAAAGCACTTACTGCTCGGATAAAGTAAAAATGTGAGCGTGAACGCTTGCTTTGAAAAATAATGTTTTAAACGTAATATACAAAGAGTTCTTTATACTGCGTTTTAAAATTTCCAAACGAAATTTTACTTACACAGAATCCGAGAAATATGTATAAAGGCAACTCCATGTTGATCCAAATCTAATTGGTTTTGTTTAGGATGAGCGACGCAAACGGATTACAAAACACAACTGAATAATTCGACTCGAATAAACAACGTTAATTGTGTAAAATAATTTTAAACAATTGTACAAACAAAATTATTTTCGAATAATAATCGTAGCTTAGGACAGTTATTCTCAATGTGAACAGTAACAACCGTTCGGGGGTCAAAGCGAGGTAATAAAAAACTCAAATAAAACCGTGAACTAATGTCATTGACGTAGGTATTTAGAATTATTTATCTATCTATCTATCTGTCTATCTATCAGTCAATCAACCAACCAATCAACCAACCAATCGACCAACCAATGGACCAACCAATCGACCAACCAATTGACCTACCAGTCGACCAACCAGTCGACCAACCGGTCGACCAACCAGTCAACCAACCAGACAACCAACCAGTCTACTAACCAGTCAACTAACCAGTCAACCAACCAGTCGACCAACCTATCGACCAACCAATCGACTATCTATCTGTCTATCTATCAGTCTATCAGACAACCAACCAATCAACCAACCAATCGACCAACCAATCGACTAACCGGTCGACCAACCGATCGACCAACCAGTCGACCAATCGATCGACCAACCAGTCGACCAATCGGTCGACCAACCAGTCGACCTATCGGTCAACCAACTAATCGCCAACCAGTCGACCAACCAATCGACCAACCAGTCTACCAACCGGTCGACCAATCGGTCAACCAACCGGTCGACCAATCGGTCGACCAACCAGCCTACCAACCAATCGACTCATCAGTCGACCAATCAAGTAACCAATCTATCAACCAATCAAGAACCAATCAAGCAACCAATCAAGTAACCAATCAATCATCTCTAAGCATGAATACAATAACATAAAAAGAAATATTACACAAAAATAACAAATATAATATAAAAATCTTTAACTAAAACAAAAAACGTCTCCCACATTGGTTACGGAATGAGCTCCCTGCCGAGGTTTTCCCAAAAGACTACAGCATGAGGTTCTTCAAAAAGGAAGAGAGTAAAAAAAGAGGTTTCTTCAGGGTTGTCACATTTTAATTTGAAAATTAGTTGTGTTACATTAAAAAAAATGTATTATTTGACGCACATAAATGCAAGATCATCATTTTCTTTAATATAACATATGATTTTGTTGAAAATTATTTATAAATACATTATCACAATATGATATGCACACTTGTTACAAACACGTGTTCAATTAAGCTTAAATTTGCTTAAACTTGTCCATTTTCATATTTCATATATGTTTCATATTTTTTCTAATTTTTATTACAAAAAATTAGAAAAAATATAGTGTGACTACTCAAAAAAAAAATTACATAAAATTATCATGATATTTAATAAAAAGACATAATATTTTTGACAGCTGACTATAGTTTTATTTAATTATTTATTCATTCATTCATTCATTCATTCATTCATTGCACCAATTCAAAATAACAAATACAATTAATTTAATTAGAAGTGATACAAAAAACAGTGTTATCGCTAAGCAATCTCTTCTAGACAACCTTCGAGTAGAGGGGGGAAAGGGATTATTAGTAATGGAGACTGAAAATCCCATTGCTAGCAATAAACCCAACCAGGTCGACCTCCTCGCGGTTCCCCCTGGAAACTATCATGGTTAATTCCTGATGAATTAATCATGATGGGCTAACTGGCCTGTTTTCATTCTCATCTATCACCGTTCACTGGTGCTCCGCCAGCGTATCCCGTTAGCGCAGGCGGGGTTACCATACCATTATCACCCATCAAAAAAAAACCTTTGAGTAGAGGACATTGAGAAAAAAAAAACAAAAGACATAGTTAACCGTTTATGATCTATAGGACTCGACAAGTTGTAACATAACAATAAACTTATTAAGTATTTGTGAATAACACTCTATTTTCAACGTTCAATAGGATTACATAACGTTTTTACTAAAGAGCTTGTTAGACCTACAATAAGATTTTTTACAAATAAATCTGTAACTTTGCTCGCAAATTCGTCAACATGGTAAATTAAAAACATAAACGTAAAATAGCAGGTAGCAAACCCACGCAACACCAATACCGGTTGTCGACATTCAAAAATACTTTTTTCCTCAAACATGCTTGGAAATGTGAGCATTATTTTGACAATCTTCTTAGAGATAAATCAAAATTGCCGTACTGGCCAGATACATGCGGGCAGCGGCCGGCAAAACTTGTATGAAAATCCATATCTGTCGTGTTTTGCGGCCAGATAAATTACTATGTAAACTCATATCTGTCGTGTAATTTAAAAATGGAATGACCTTTTACTTCGAAACATGGCTACCAAGGAAGTAACTAATAAAATGTTTTATTTAAATTTCGAACTAGCTTGCAAATAAAAAGCTGTTTATTGAAAAAAAAAACAAAAGAACATTATGGCGCGTAAAAAATTATTATTGTTCGTTATTCGTCATTGAACTTAAAAAGTAAAATTGTGTTTTTGATTTCCGCGCATTGTTTGAGAAAAGTACTATACAAGCCTTGGCCACAACTAGGCATTGATGGACTCACGTGTATGTGCCTCGACTACGCCTCAGCCCACATGTGCACGTTCGTCCATCAATACCTCACTCAAATGTTACTGGCCGCTGCAGTAATGTATAGTACATTACTGCAGCGGCCAGTAACATGTAGCCATTTTAAAGAAGTTCCGATACTGGAAACGAATTGTTTTTCCATAACAGCACTGATGACAGCGTCATCAATGGAATTGCTCGGTAACAATGATGCGGTCCGACGCGATCTTTTTTTTATGTAGATCAAATCAATTATTAAATAAACACATTTACGATTCAGCTTTAAAAGCTTTTACCACGTCATATTTTCTCTTTCTTTCTCATAAAAAAAAAAACAAATCTACAAGATTTTTAACCCATACATTATAGTTTTACTAGCAGCGCTCGTTACGTCTCTCCTCTTACGAAATTTA